GACTTAGTTACTTCGGGTAAGTCGTAAGAGTTCTCTCGTGGTCAAGTAATCTCTCTCAGAACTTTTGTGAACAGATTTGGATTACTCAAAATTCGTATGTAGGCATCACTTTGAGCGTCATACTTTGGTTTAATTTGGGCTAACTGATTCGTACCACCATGGTGCCAGTCTCATAACTAGTACTGAGTCGGTGACTTACAATAATAGTCAGCAAGAACGATCTAAGACAATAAAAATTTTGCGCCCATCTTCGAAGACTTGCTTGGATCACGTTTCATCTAAGTGTGCACACATTCTGTGGGTGCATAACTGAGGCTAACTGCCTGAATAACTAGTTTGGATAGTGACTTGATGTCAGTCTATGTAAGAGATAAAATCTTTATCCTCGTCATTGGGATGTAAAATCTTTCCGTCGTGGGAACAATTCCATTTTTGGTACTGCCTAGCTCAGAACGCTTAAATACGCTTAGTTTTATTTGCTCGAATAAAACTTAATGCAGTATCTGTATCCTAAAAGCCCAATCTGCAACCAAACGGTTATTTACAGACGGCTTATAAAAAATGTCGCTTGTCTAATTTGGAATTCATATTGATTTTTTAAAAATAATTGTGTGTCCATTCTCGAGGTAATCAAGCATACATTTTTTCCAGGTTACTGCTTCCACCCATGGTGAACTTCACAAGGTTTGTAGAGGCTGGACGTGTTGTATTCATTGCCTCTGGACCTTATGCTAAAAAGGTGGCAATCATCGTAGAAATAATTGACCAAAGACGTGTTCTTATCGATGGGCCATGCTCCGGCGTTCCTAGACAAGAAATAAGTATAAACAGACTGCATTTAACAAAATTAAAGTACAAACTTCCACATGGATGTGGTACAAATTCAGTCGAGAGACATTGGAAAAGGTACGACATAACTAAGGATTGGGAGAACACTGTGTGGGCACGAAAGCTTCATCGCAAATCCCTGCGAGCGTCTATGACCGATTTTGACAGGTTTAAAGTCATGGTAGCTCGTAAACAGGTGAGTCGACAACTATTATGATGAGATTTTGGAAGAGCCGTCTGTGCTTCTTGATGATTTCAATTTACTGACAAGTTGTATTTGTATAACTAACTACATTTTATTTCTCTTGCAGCGCAACAACATTTTGAAACAGTTCAAGTTGAAAAAGCCGGTCGAGAAAACTTCAAAGCCTGTAAAGAAGGCTGTAAAAAAGTAAACTAATAAATACGTTATGTCGAATTCTCTTTGTTGTCGGCTTCGTTTCCCGTTATTCATTTCTTTACGCGATCCCGCATCTTGGGTTAACCCTTTTATACTGCTTGTAGCCCAATTCGCTAGGCAAATATCCAGTGATTCTTTGAGACCCGTACAGTACGTCAGTTCGAAGGACGCCTATGTTGTCCATTCGTAATTAGAAAAAGCCACTCAAACCCAAATGCTAATACTAATCGCGTCAGATTGTTCCACTTACTAGGAACGACTTCACAAAAACATTGCGAAACGTTTTTGTGCTTAGTATTATGATAAAGCTAGTTGGGGCCGGGTCATTGTCTCAAGATCTCAGCCGAGACTACTGTACGTTACATAGTTTTGCGGTCCGCTCCAGGGTTATATCTACGTTTTTTAGTAGTAGGTTGGTGCCTCGAGGTGTAGGCGATCTGTATGATTTCTTATAAAGTTAGTGGATGAACCCAGGCTGTTTTTCCGGAAAACTGGTTCAGTCGTATCAGGGGCTACTAGCGACTGTGAGGACTTCGTAACGTGGCTATTGATGTAATGTGAGCATAAAATGCGCTGCAGTCGAAACTTGGTTTTTGTTCGTGGTGGTCAATGCGACGGATGTATAGACCTGTACTGTGGCAGGCATATTTAATTACTAGGATTAATTGGACGTTTTGTGTATCTCAGTGTTCTCTTGAACTTCTTTGGGCTTGCAGCTTGTAACCAAGCGTTATTTTCATGGAGTGTAGAAGGTAAGCTGGTAGAAAGTACCAGTCATGACTCAATGTATTGGTTTGTAGCATAGTAATTCATTTAGTCGAATGCTGGTCAACCACAGTTTGTTGACGCATATGATCAAAGACAATTCAGTGAAGGAGATTCCCTTTTGACGTAATTTACTCCGGCTATCCAGTTGTATTTACAGTTAACAATCAAAGTGGTCATTTGAAAAATGGGGTGGCGATTAAACCTAGTCATGTCAAAGAGAGTTGCTTTATATTCGAAAATTTGCAGTGACAAATATGAGAAAGGTAAGGAGTAAACTACAGCAGTGGTGATAATTAAGATTCCTTAAAACAATCCTTCGATGGTATCTCTTGAACTCAAAGTTCCTGAAGAATTCTCTTATGAACTGCATGGTGTCGCACAGCTTGCAATTTAGGTTCGCCTTTTACCCATCAAGCCTGGGTCTGTATCCATGTTTGGGGGATATCTATTGCAGCTTGGATAGGTCCTCGTCTATCATGTCTTCGGAGCATCCCTGGCAGCCATCAATCGTCGGCTAAGACACTGCATGCACAAGATTGGCCATGAAGTAGTTTGCTCGAAGAGGACCGGGCGGTGGACCCCTAGACATTATACTGCCTGTGGAACTCATTATTAAATATAAACTAGACACTGAATGTACATCTTAGGAGTAGCTCCTTTAGATAGTGTTTTGGAACACCAGTATCAAGGGTGTTGTTCTCAATGTCATTACATAAAAAACATGGTTTACGTTGAAGGGACATTATACCTAATGATGTGATTCCCATTGTGGTTACATTAACATCAGTAATTGAATAAGTTGGATTAGTTGGGTGTTCTGTATTTGTTGAGCTGATTTACAACAGGTTATCCACGCTGAACTGTCTTCAATTCTTCTTTAGTAAACACCATGGGTTACTTTCTATATCTTAGGACACATGGTTGTCAAAATTGCAAGTGATTGTGGAGTATGGCGAGTTCAACCCGTTACCCTGGGACCGTAGTGCTGAAATGATGTTAAAATAGGAAACCGGGAGTTGCTTGGCTGAAGTCCTAAGTATGATACAACTCGGTGGCTTGAGACTTCGTCATACGTGAGTCAGAATAAAAGCCGATGGCAGCCCTGCTGAAACTTTCTCCATATAAATGAGAGGCACTTATATGACTGGAAGTATTCATTCTAATTGCATTCACACTAACTGAACCGCTCCTAGTACTATCTCCACTCACGCCAACTCATTCTTTGTAATGGGGCATAGCAGGTAGGTTGATTTGCGTTAACTCTTGTAAAAAGCACCTCATTGTAGATCCTACTTTCTTTTAGGTGTTTGCTAACTGGGTAGATACTACCTGCTTGCGCAAGACGTTCCAGTCGTTTATGACTCGGTGAAAAAGCAGGAATCCCGAATCGAGTTGCCTGTCATGATTTATGAACGCTTTTTGATAACCTCAGTTGTTATTCTTAAAAGGAACCAGAACAATGAAACATGTTAACACCCCGGACAATACTTAAGATCTGGATGTGTATGTCCATTCCTAATTCACAATAACGGACAGTTGTCCATCATTTGAAGGGATGATCGTCGGTTCCGATCGTTTGTGAAAAAAAAACCAACACAACTAAGATAGTATATTTAATTGCCCGGAACATAAAACTAGTTAATCTCGTAAAAACAAGCAAATGTAGTGAGGATTCCGCATAACAAGTGGTATATACAAATTACACATGACGACGAACATTGGTGTTTAACGCCGAAGTATTAGCTACTTCAGAAAAAGATCTCGACTCAAACCATCTTCTTTTGTTCGCATAGAAACATAATTCATTTTGAGATCATTAGTAGCTCCAACACTAAATGTTACATTGGATGCGATTTCTATAATTCAGCCAACCATTGTTCCAGTCAACTAATAGGATTATTTAGATTTATCTACTACAACTTCTAAGATCTTCAGTTGCGTTCTAAGAAAACCTAGCAGATTTGAAATTTGTGAGTTGATTAAAACTTTACTTACCATAATCCAATATTAGCTATACACACTGGCTTAATAATTTTCCTCAGCCCTGTAAATCGTAAAGCTCTTCAGAAGTGTAAATAAATGTCAAACAAAATTTACAGTTTACTTAGTCATATTTAATCAGATCCAATCGATCGTGGGGACCATCTCAGATAACATCATACTGGCTATCCGTTAAATATGGTTTAATTTCCATTTAAGAGCAGTATAAATCTAACTGAGGAAGTCAATGTTCATCTTTAATCACATAAGGACTGACCATCTACTCGATTCTGACACGTTCAGCACAGCCATACGGAAAACGATATGATAGCCGGAATACTTTCAGCACCCATATGAAAGTTCTTAACAAACTCTACACAATTTGTGGAATGACAGATCTTCATTGCCCACCTACGCCAATATCTTTACTAACAAGAAATGACTCGAGATTAGTGGGGCGTTAACTACTCATTTGGGTCGGCTGATGAGGAGGATTCAGAAACTTATCAGTTCTTTGATCTAGCCTTTAATCATAGTTACGAAGTAACCATGTGGTTAGAAAATAATGTACGTGTTTAAATTTAGACCATAATCCCAACATTAATTCTACACAACTAACTACTAATTAGAGCTAATCAAACATCCTACTAATTAGCTTTCACTTTGAAAAGGTCTGTTGAGTTAACCTATTTGCTGTTGCTTTGTGCTGAGAAAGTCAAGAGATACCTTTTAAAAACATAAAAAGGCTCAAATTAGAATTACTCACCAGTTATCTATTTTTGATAAGGCTGCGTGTCAGAATGTAGTAAAACTGAAGATGAAGGTGACTAGACGAGTATGATTAGTCAGGACACTGGTAACACCATAACTAAAAAGACGTTTTCCAGTAACTAAGGTATAATCTTAACACAGTAACAACCGTAATGTAAACGCACGTTAAACAGCTTTAAGAACAATGTCTTGCAAACATACACTGGAGCACTAAATAATTTTACGAAGACAATCAACTTCAGTTAGGATATAGTTATTCTACGCTAATTTTTATAGAACATAAATCATCCAATCCAGCTTCAATTTCATCACCAGATTTCAGAGGCCCTACACCAGCAGGTGTACCGGTTAAAATTAGATCTCCATATTGTAGTGAGATCCTCTTGGTAATTATCGATACTAAATCTGCTGGTGTCCAGACCATCATATTCAGTTTTGATCGTTGTCGTTCCAACTGGTTTACTTTTAACCAAATCTCATTATCTACTTTTTGGAATTCCTGACGAGAAGTTAAAATACCGGCCGGTAGTGATTCCAATGGAAGAATTGGCCCCACAGGGCAAGCTGTGTCGAAGCATTTAGCCAACGTCCATGGTAGTCCGCTTGCTTTTAGTTGATTCTGAAGTGGTCGATCAGTTAGATCTAACGCAACCACATAACCTAATATTGCTGAATAAACCTAAATAAAACAAATATTAAAATGTATACGAGGAAATTTAGCATTGAATGCAAAAATATGAAAGTGATTCATCTGTATATTCATTTGGGTTACTAAAGGTCAAGACAGCCATGTGACTGTTAGATGTACGAATTCAATCCTATTAATTATCTTGTGTCCAGTTATGTGACTAGTTCAGAGCCTTTAGCTGTATACCGTACTAACACACCTTTTTGTGTCTAACTATCCTGACTTTTCTGAATAGTGGACGCTTGAAATACATTGCTTAGTGAGAACACCGTGGTTTACATTTTCGTTCAATATAATTCAGAGTGAATCCATCCGATACAATTCTGGATTTATTTGTAACCTTACAATTCCGGACAATTTCAACCCTACACAACTATTGTACGTTTCAGCACGTGTCATTACAGTTCCAATATATTAAAGAGATGGTCTAATTCTAGTGATAGGCTGATAATTTCAGCATATTAATGCCAATCATTTTTATCAAAAGCTTATTCTCTTTATTAATTGCACCCTTGCTTTAACCATTAAAATGCATATTTAGCATTAACGCTACTCAAATGTATACAGATGAGTTATTCTTACATATGTACATTCGCTACGCGAAACTTAAGGGATAAATACAGCGTTTCCCAACCTCCTTATTTTAGGGTTTTCCCAAAAGTTGTAAGAAACATGGTAGTTATCCTCAATGTTCGGGCAAAAACCAAGGCTTCCCCGGAACTTTTGGGATTTTCCCCAGACCTGGAAAAACTTTGAGGTCTTTGTACCATGTTTTCAAAGTTCTGTTTGGCGGTTTCCCCACAATCTCCCCAAAACAGACAAAATTTCCCCCAAAAACAGAGAGGTTGGATTAAATTGAGTGGATCTTTTACTTCTTCTGCTTTGACATTTGTCAGTGATTTCCCAATTACCAAACCAAGTTCGACTTCATGATGGACTTCACTGGCCCCATTTGGTAACTACATATTAGCGATAAATGATTAAGTAAGGATTGCCACAAAAACTTTAATTTTTCCCTCTTCAATGATGCAACTAGAAGGCTTTAAAAATATAGCAGGCGAAGATTCAACTTTATTTCCCAATTCTTTTGCATGGTCTCTAAATATAGGCACTTAGTAACCACAACCGTACGCATAGTTTCGTCCAACTGCCACTACTTTTCGACAAATATCCTTCAGATTTTTTGACATTAGTTATACACAATATACTTCTTGTAAGTTGGAAGATTCAAATTATCCTTGTTGAACAAAAAATAAGCTAATATAAAAGTACTTCAACCTACGAAGTCTTCATTACGCAAATGAAAAAGCAACGTTATTCTTAAAATGGGCGGTGGAATCAAATATGTTTGTAATAAGTTTGTATATGTGGCGGTTCGCATCCAGCCAAAATATACTTTGTTCACTAAGGGAACATATGAATTCGCGTGAGTGAAGGGAATTGGGTGAGGGAAGAAAAAGTAAAAGTGAGTCGAAAACCTACCAAGTGCACACGATGCACCTACATTTTTGTAGTAAAGCAATTAACAACAAACAGAAATAACACACGTCCCAGATTATGACAGTTTTGAGGTCGGAATTAGAAGCGCACAGTTTAACTCGCTGCACTAGACATGGTTCGCATAAATTCTGTCGATTTTATATGGCCCCCTATTCTGACTCAGTTTTGAGTGAATATATAAATATACGAGGCTAGCCGCGTTTGTATGGCGGCCGTAATAATAAGCTTATTACAGGTTGAGTTGGATGAATCTATTTCAAGCGCTCTGTTATCCAAACAAACCATCAATCAGACGAAGAAGGGAAGTAGACCGAAAGAGGCAAGTGTGCCAACTCCACTTGATAAATCGTTATCCGATATTTATATGCAAACGAAAACAAAGTAATGCACACACATACGTTCAAGTAAGAAGAATAAGGATTAATAACCGGATGAATAACACGGTCGAAATGCGACATGAAAAGAATTATTGGACCGGTCTGTCTGGAAGTTAGAATAGCCCATATGGGCTTGACATGGTACTAGAGACTACAGACTAATCACACTAATACAACATACATATAAAAGGTCCAAGATGAAATTAACTTAAGATATCTACATTTCAGACATTCGTGTGGGCAGACGAACAGAACGAGTAGAAATTAAGATTGAATAGGCGTAGACAGCAGTGGTTTTAAATATCAAAACGACCAATAACAGGGGAGTTAGTCTGTATGAGAGTGATTAATGTATGATTTACGGGTAACAAATTAGAGTGCAGAAGATGGATATACGTGGTGCGAACACAATTGGAAAAGATTAAAAGTTAACAGTGTATATTCATCAAGAGTAAGTATACGAAAATAGACAAGTAATACTGCAAACGGATAAAGGCATACAAGCATACGATATAGTCAGTAAAGTTGGAATTAAACCTTCAAATGTCAAACGACAGTCTATATCAATCTGTCATACTAATTCACTAAACGATTGTGAAGTTGACAGTTACAAACTGTGGCCATCCCTTAGCGGCTGAGCTACACTGTCTCGCGTTCACCTTTTCTGACCTTCTCCAAATGTTCAGCTGCCAACGTAAGTCTGCCCAGTCACTTTGTGTTTACTTTCAAGGATCGCGTGGTTCGAAACCAATGCCACTTGAAGTGTAGTGCCAGTGAAGTAGCACTGAGAGCTATCCAAAGCATGCAGGAGGCAGATGATTGAGTTTTGGACAGTTTACTGGGCCTCATCAAGATCAGGGGCAACAAACGCCCATCGATCATGCCATGAACTGACCCATTTGGTAGACGTTACAATCGGTTTCTCAGTGTATACTGACTATCAAGTTTCTTTTGTAACAACTTGTTTGTTGCAAACGGCCGACAAAGTATCCACAGTCTCGAGGTGGCGTGAAGAGGCATTTCACGTTAGGCATTAACCATGAGATGTGGCTTCAACATTAGCTGTAAGGTCACACCATTCCCGTCCAACTCGAGTAAGCTTGGGATGGCCGGCACTGACCAACTACGTTGGTAATATACACGAGTATCCATTCGATTTCGGTAAGAGCCCTACCAAATCCATATGAACACGATTAAAACGAGCATCGAGAGTTTTGAATGAGCCTAAGGGACAATGGTTGTGCATAGTCATCTTGGATTCCTGGCAGCTCACACAAGAGTGTGCACACTCCCTCATGTCGTTATCCATGACTGGCCCAGAAAATCGTCCTGCTATGAGTTTAACGGTTGCCCGAAATCCTGGACGAGAAAGCTTGTGCAACGTTGTGTCGCTAATGTTTCGGCACGACCAGACGATCCCTGCCTGTAGATGTGTCACATAGTGAACTTCCCCTACTTGTTCGCATCTATTTGATCCGTAATTTCAGAGTTGTCAAAGATAACTCGTAACGAGTTTAGGTAGGTCGAACCCTTGGAAATTGTTCAGGAATGTTATACGAGAAAAAGCATCTGCGACTACACTGTTTGCTCAGAAATATGTTGTATTCCTGAAGTGCACTGCGGAATGTTTTCCAGTTATCGAAACTCTTGAGGGGGGGTACTTGTCTGAATAAGAGGTAAAAAAGGTGATAGGTTTGTGGTCTGTAAATAGAGTGAATTCGCGACCTTCTACACAGCGTTGAAAATGACGTATAGAACAATATATGGTTAAGAGTTCCCTAGCGAAAGTGCTTCACCTCGATTCAGTGTCTCGCAACCGTCTCGAGAAGAGTCCTAAAAGGTGCCAAGTGCTGTTGTGATAACTAGAAGTTTCTAAATTATTGTACATACTAAGTATCCCAGAAACAATGTGGTTTAGACCAATAAGAACTAGGTGAGTACGGAAGAATGTATTGTATTTGGAATTCGAAATCGGACAGTCATCAAGTACAAAGAAATCATGAGTTCATACAAACACCACAACTGTTCACCCATTGTTGTAAGATCATCCAGATTGCCAAGTAGGGTGTGTTTACCGCGATACTGATGGGTGCTTTGATGTCCTGGCTTGCGAACACGGTTGCTTTTGCGATAAGTTCCCCAACTGCTAAGGGTTCATTTTTGGCGTCGTCGTCCAAATTGGTAATGGTTTCACAAGCGACGCGCCATTCGGTATAAGACATCGACAGAAACTTACCAGGCTGTTGAACGTCCGTAGTCACTTGACTTTAGTGGGTTCTGGATAATCCGGATTTACCACCGCCTTGCTTTTTAGTGACCGGATTCATTGAGCATCAATAGTGTGTCCGAGAAAATCTGTGGAGTCGGTTCCTATTCGATATGTCTGAATATTTACGGCAGTGTTGCGTTTTTGTAGTCGTTCGACATCGAGGTTTAGATATTGGAGATGAGCTTCTCTGTTTGGACAAGCATTCATCTATATATGCGTTTATGGAGTTCAGACCTAGAAGGGCGTCTTCGCTGAATCCCTGTAAGATGTGTAACATTTCTTAAACCAAAGGGCATGCGCAAAAACTCATAGGGTCCGAAGGAGATAATGTTAGTGGATTACGGATGTCGTCAGCAGCAATGGGGTTTGGTTATACGCTTCAATCAAGTCGATGTTTGAAAAATCAGCTGTCGAATATAGTTCTTACTAAAGCTCACTGTCTTCTTTTTGAAGTAGTAGCAAGGTCACTACTCACCGTTTTGTATTTTAGGATCTTTTTTCCCTTGTGTACCTCGAGATTTACAGTTCCATAGGCTGCGGCCACACTAAATGTTTTCATCTGCATTTGTTGGTGTGTATAAAATGGAAGGGCTAGGTCATCTGAGAAGTCCGAACCGTCTAGTTGACTCCGAGCTCTTTATTATACTCTGTGTTTTCTCATCGATGTAAAGGTTTTCATAGTTCAGTCAACCACCAGAAGAAAGAGAAAGGAGGAGAGTAAGCAGCTTTGTCTTAAACTGGTCCTCACGTAGAGTGCGTCTGTCATTTGTTCTTCATGCACGACTTTGCAGTGTAGTCTGTTTCATGAATTCCGGATGATGTTGACCATTTTCTCAGGTACATCATAGTGTCGAAGAAGTTTCCATAATGTTTTCCTGTACACACTGTCAAATGCTTTCTCATTGTCAAGGAAGTTGATGTATAGTTACGAGTTCCATTTGATTGATTGTATATCGATGATCCGCAGTGTCGCGATCCGGTCTGTGCACGACCGATCTTTGCGGAACCCGGCTTGTTGATCTCGAGGCTGGACCTCTACGGAGTCGTTCATCCGATTCAACAACACTCTATTGAAAACCTTTCCTGGCAATTAAAATAATCCTTGGCGTCATTGAACAAGAAAAAAGTTTTCAGCGAGTCTTTGTTTTTTTCTCTTCTGCGCTTTTATTTGATTATTACTGAATTTTTTAAACTATTGTTTTGCAATTTTTAAATTTATTCAGTTATTATTATTACAACTTTGCTTCATTACTATTCAGTTTATTATTATGACCTTAAGTTTGTCGTTTTTCTTCACATCCGACCTATGAATTTTTTTCTTCCTTACCCCTTGATTAGTACGCAACCTCATTGGATATTTAGTTTCAAATCAATTTATGATGCAATCTTTTCTACCCCCTATAGACGTATATTTTTCACATAAGTATATATAAGAATGTACAACTGAAGTAAACGATATCTTCGAAAAGAAAACATTTCCTGATATTAGCAGTAATGCGATGCTTCTGTAGTTCTCACATTTTCTAAGATCTTCCTTTGGTGCGTTGATGAGGTATCCTTCTTTCCAGTCTGTCGGTAGCGCTGGTTCCTCCTCCCAAGTCTTCCTGAATAGAATATGGTTCAGGTGTACGATAGCCTCTATGTCTAACTTGAGTGCTTCGGCCGGTATATTGTCTCACTCTTGAGTTGTCTGATAGCCGTCATGATTTCTTTGATCGTTGGTGAGGTGACAAGTTTAGAAAAGTCTGTGTGTGCTGCTACAATATCCGGTGGATTCAACGGAGCTGGTCTATTCAAGAGCTCTTCACAGTGTTCCACCTGTCTGTTCCTCTGTCCTTGAATTCCAGTGATTTGCTTGGCTTCAATGTCCTTGACTGGTCTTTGGTTTACTTTGTTTCTCTGCTGGTTTCTTCGTTATATCACATAATTCCACATTCCCTTCTCTTGCAGATTTTCCTCGCCGTTGTTGCTGGTTCTTCCACATATTTTTGCTTGTCGGTTATAAGGCTTTACTTCACTTGCTTGCTTGCTTCTGTATATCCAATTTGTGCTTTGACTTTCGATGTTCTTGTTCGGCTGTTGTTAATTTTTATCTGTTTATTCTTCCTTCCTTGAGTCTTGTTCATAGTTTCTATAGAGATCCATTCCTTATGATGATGCTTCTTTAGGCCCAGCACCTCCTGACGCGTTGAATTTAATGCTTTTTTGACCCATTTCCAGTTATTCTCCTTTGTAGTGTTGTCTTCTTTCAATAGATCCTGTAAGGCTGTGAACCTGTTGTCGAGGGTTACTTTGAGTTAGTCAGTATGTCGAAGGAAGTCTGTTTGTTCACTTGTCCAGTGCTTCCATAGCTTCGGTTTCATCTTTTCCACAATCACGTGATCTGAAGCTATGTCAGCTCCTCTACCGGTCCTCATGTCTTCCACTGATATTGTGAATTTTTCAATGATATAAATATGATCTGCCTAGTTCTTCGTGGTGTGGTCCGGTAAGACACATGTTGCTTTGTGTCTGTGTTTGCGTAGAAATATTGTGCCGCCTATAATCAAGTTGTTGATTGCACGTAGATTTGCGAATCTCCCCCATTTTCGTTTCTTTCTCCCGATCATTCCATGTTGTCCCATGATATCCTCATATCCACTGTCGTTCATTTCGACTTTGACATTTAGATCTCCCATCAGGATAGTGAGGTCCTTTCTTGGGCATTTCACCATGATTGGTTACAGCCTCTCGTAGAACTGATCTTTATCATTGTCATTGCTATCGTTGGTGGGTTCATAACATCGGATAACATTCATTGTGATTTCCTCTCTTTTTGTTTTGAAGGATGCTTTGATGATCCTGGATCCGTGAGATTCCTATCCCATAAGTATCAGAGCAACTCCTTGAGTGTATGGAGCATTTTCCTCTTAGTGACCGGATTACAGTAGCATCACTTCTGTATCTAACATTTTCTGTCCAGCTTGGGTCCAATGAGTTTCGTTGATTCCCAGCACTGCCAAGTTGTATTTCCCCATCTCCCTTGCGATTTGAATGGTCCTCCCGATCTCACACATTTTCCTGAAGTTACATATACTCTTGAAGATTGTTGATCTGGTTTTTGGAAGCGGCATCAATTTCATGACTTCAGACAAATTTCGGCTTTCATCATGAGGGGTAATAATTCTTCATTCAACTCCCGGGACAGAGTTTAAATAGTTTAAATTGTTTATTCTCGCTAGCGTATTCCTTGCAGGGTTGTTTTCTACGGGATGCGGTTGTCAATCTCACGTCCAACCCTCTTCCCTTGTGTGGGCGTGGGAACTGTGGTAGTCCTAGAAGAGCCAGTTGAAACTTCATAAACAGACAATGTATTTCTTTCGTCATAGTGTTCTAGTGCATCTATGCCGATGATTGATATTAGTACATCTGCAACAACAAAAGCTAGTTGATGGATTCGCGCAATCTTATGTTAAGGTAAATAAACATTTAACAGTAAGCGTTGATCGATATTCCGTTTGCCACCAGTTAATTGAATACCAGATATTGTGGACGACAGTTAGTATGTGTGAGAAGGACGTTAATCTCTGCGCCACTGTTGTCGAGGTAGAAAACCTTCGTCCCCATACTCATGATGTATAACAAATGGCTATATCTACAGGATACGGTTGCGACTGACGCGTACCGGCTGAGGAGTTCCCGAAAGTGTCGTCGTGGGGGAAGATTTGAGGTTAGGGAATATTTAAAATTTCCTGCAACTTCCGAAAGAGTTATCATAAGTGTCATGGCACCAGTGGACATGATTTAATCCATCCTCATTTGCTGCATGCTTATATGAGTGGAGAAAGGGCTCTCAGTACTTTAGAAAATTACCAAGTCTGCTATACATGTTTCTATCACTGAACGAAGCCAAAATGTGATCGAACTTCTCTACAGACTGATCTAATTACTCAGTCAAAGACAGGTTATGTTAAGCAAGTATTTCATAGCAATTTTATTCTCCATGGTATTTAGCGAGGCACTTTATTTGCGGTCACTGGGGTATGGCTTCGACTGAAGTACAGTGGACTTATTTTTAATTTCCATTACATATCTCGAACTGCCAAAATTATGATTTGTGGACTTATTTGGTGTTGTCGAATCTGGTATCAAACTGTCCCTGAAGTCATATATCAGATCAAAAATACTGAATGTATGGGTATGAAGCCATTAAGAAACACTGGTTACAGTAAGAGTTTCCTGTGTAGTCTTTCAACACCATTTCCCTACATGAAGTTATTGTTCCATTATCCGTACCACAGTTTAATACAGGTTATTTCTAACATGTTATAGCGTACTGGATTCGGATTGGTTACTTCAAGGACGTCAGTCGCCGGTATCTCAAAATATTGACTTGGCCGCTTTGTAAATGTATCTCAATGATCAGTTTAACCCACCAATTACGTTACGGAGATCTGACCTTCAAGTGCTCCGACACCTCTTTTGGTTTTGGTCTGTACCTGAGTTCAAGTGAAATATGGTTAGTTTCGCAGTTGCCTCTTTTTTCCTTTTATCCTTTAGAAAAACTAATTCCATAATATTTTATTTAGCCAAGCGACATGCGACGAGCATGTATGAGTAAGAACCGTGAAATATCATGTTATCTTTTGACGAAGATGTCTTGGAAGGGGAAGTAAGTTTACCAATTTGGCTTTAGTTTTCCCTTGTAACTTCCACACGTTTGTACTCTTTTAGACCCCTTATAAATCCCTTTCTGATTTTAAGTGAATTAAGGGGGATAAAGTGCCTTTAAAAGTCGATTTTTGGAATATTTGTGTACAATTTTCTTATGGGTTGATTACTTGATGACCAGAAATTTCTGGCGGGTTCAGTTCTCAAGCAGTTTGCAAAGGAACTAACGATTCGAAATGACGTAGATCTATCTTGTCTCCCAGATGTTTATTCTATATCCTTCAGACTGTTCTATTATGAATTAAATAAAGAGATAAATAGGTCTCTTAGACCATTTTTTACTCACGATATTTTTAGTATGTTAGCTTGTCTAGTAAAAGACAAAATACAGTACGTGACATTTTAAATCTTTCGTCGCAGGATAAGCTGATCATCTGAGGAACTGTGGTTCTGCAAGCATATCGTATGTTCGAACAAAGCTCAGCTTTCTTAGGTTAAATTTCTTAGCTTACTTTGATTTCTTGGAAAATTTTGTTAAGTCAGTATAGTAGATTACTATTGTTTTGGGGATAATCGTAGTTAAAATCTTTTTTGGATATAGGTGTTCTAGAAAATATCAAACGAGCCGGGAAATTTCATATTATTTTCAGCTCTTATGACGTTATTATCTAACCAAGATGCTCTTCTAAGATTGTCAGACAGAAAGTTATTGTCTTTGTTAATTGATATAAGGTTCAGCCCGATAGTTTTAAGACCACTCTTCCCGACCAAACAACATGTTTTTATGATTTATCATTGATAACTGAATTATAAGTAATTAGCATTTGTTGACTTCTGATGATGCCCAAAGGTTGTGCAGATAACTTATTTCCGATTTTGTTTAACAGAACAAATGCAATATATCTGACTCCAAATGGAGAAAATGAGTGCATCAACACTGCCATCTATAATATCGGTTAAGGAGTACAATATAAGCAGTCTTCTTTTCTTTTATGACAAGATATTGTCAGTAATCTGGTAAAATAAGTACTTACTCTATCGCAATCCGAATTTCGTATTCCTTACAACCAGATTAAGCGTAGGTATCAATTACAGCAGTAACAGTCTAAATTCAACCGCGTGAAATTTACATTGTGTTTTAGTCCCTTCAAGTTGCTACAACTCAGTAGCACAGAGAGATGAGATTGTGAGAGCATATCGTAGAGTAGTAGAGTGGTGATCTGGAAGATGGCATAGAGAACATGATTCGAGAAAATATGAATTAGTGGAGTAAATTAGTTTTAGAATTTACTCCATCACGAATAATTATGGGCCATATCACCATTGGTTACAATAATCGATCAGACCCCAAATAGGGGGTTCAGCTCATCAATCAGTGTCCTCATGGGCTGATGGCATATCTTGGTTTGGGTGCCCCTAACTTCCAACCTACTTCTGCATCGCCCTTTATCTCTCGCCGGAATCATTGATGACCGTTCTCACGTATTACTTGTCTCAATAGCCTCCATCGTTAATGCTTTACTGCATCATCAACTGATTTGCGATCCCTTCCCAGTGACCACTGTTCTCAACATATAAAAATAATCCTTCGATGGCATATATGATCAAATACTAGTGACTGGCAAATATCCCTTATTTACAAATACCACATTTTATATCCATAAGGTGGGACAAAACAAACTGCTGCACATTATACTCGTTCTCAAATTAGCGAATGGCTAGCTTCCCTATTCTGCAAGTGATATTTTCATTTAAAGGGAGATAATATCTCGAACATCCATGCATTATTGTTTAAAGTAGCTAGGAGACCACATTTTGTCAGCTTTATCAAATAGAACTATACCGTTTTCTAATTCAGTTGAAGGCTAGGACATTGTGGTTGTTCTCAGCCTAGTAATCATTTTCTGTGGTTGAAAACGCCAGGTTTCACAAATCAAAATTAGTTGCGGTGACTCAGATTTATGCATTAATTATTTTCTCCCAAATTTTGTGTGCCAATATCACTTGATTCATTAATTCTGCAAATTCGTTTCTTTTTAAACCATTTTCTTTGCATTTAATCTTTTCCATGATCATATGTACTACTGTCTCATCTAGCTGTGACAATTTAGTTTTGCGGCCTGAATTCACGTTTATTGTTACTTACCTTTCGGAAACAATAATAACAGCTTGGGAATCCACTTAAGCAATATGTACTTGGCGCAATAATTTCTCAAGTTTAGCCATTATCACATAAATCCACACTTCAAACGTATAACGCAAAGTTGCAGTCTTTCTACATTTGATTACGCTTTACTAGTAACTTTTTTTAAAGCTGACTTGTATGTAGTCTACTCGGAATCACATCGTGTGTGATAGGTGACTAGTGACTCTAAAAAGCTACTCAAACCAAATTTTATCTTCTGTAGTGCATATTATTTTGGGCACGTAGTTGTACCTGATTTCATATAAACGAAAGGGATGAAACTTCTAACCGAATAGTTAACATTCAAAAGACTAAACCATTAAACACTTGCTTGGTAGAAGTTAACGCCTCAGAAGGTACATGAAAGTTTGGTTTTTGACTACAAAAACTGACATCTTATTTCATCACGCCACTATAGTCGAACATTTTATTCATAAATGCATGTATTTTTATTGTTTGGTGGTCATGTTTATGATTATTATATACAACAAATGCATAGTACATTGTTATCTTTTGGAAATGAACTAGAATTTCCATTCGGACTAAAAATGTGTTGGTTTCTATAGTACATTTTTGTCCTGGTCTTTAACGTGCTAAACTTTCGAGCAATAAAAATCAATTTCGAATCATACTTCAAGTATTTTGGTTTGGGTAACTGGATAGTATCATTCGTCGTCACTTAGTGTTACCCATTCATAAGTACCTAGTGAATGAGCAATATTTGGAAAATAGATAGCATAATAATTAGTTTTCGTTGAGTTTGTATTTCTCATTATTTCAGGAGGCTATTCTGAATTAGTTTAGAAAGGTTGTGTTCAAAACGTAGCTGATTGCAATATTCATGGTTCGGTATTTTTTGGTTGTTGACGATATGAACATTGCAATTTTCTATACTTTCTTGATAATAGAATAACTCTTGTGGGTCAGACTATGTTAATAAAGTCCCTGTTACTTGTAAAATAAAGTTATTCATTTTATTTTTTGTAATTTAACCTTTTCATGTCCAGTTACAAACGTCTTTTCACAATCGGCACTCTTGGTGTAACAACATACAACAAGGATACTTTAAGAGTGACAAACCAGGTAATCAGTTTACGCAAAATCTATTTTCTGTTAGTTCATGGAGTTTTTAACAGCACTCAAGACCTCTAACAGTATGGAGTTTTGTGTTCTGTTGTCCTCAAGTATTCTATTTTAAGTTATCAGTGATTTTACTTGATTCTAAAGATCTTTTTTTCTCTATTAAGTATGCTGTTTAATAATTGACACGTAACCAAGCTTTCTTTCTAACCTTTTGGGATGAATAATGCATTTATATCAAGTACGAAAATGTATTAATTAGCATTAACACTTATTGGAGGTTTTATAATATATGAGTTGGATAGATTTATTGTGAGGCTTCCTTTATTATATCGAACATCAGCACGTATTTCAAAGCGGATTACAAATATTCTCCCTTAACATGTTTGTCTAAATATGTGGATGTGATTTAGGTTGAAGTGTTGTTCCATCATCTGAAACATGGTAATTTGGAAAAGCTGCTGTGATAATCTGATTGCTAATGAACGTCAATAGATATGCTTTTTACAGTGTTTAATTTATCAAACATAACCTCATTTCTCTTCTAACAACTTTTAAACTCAATAATATATAAATTCACTTGTTGTTGTTTTATTTGTATCTTCCCATTGTTATTTAGGACTGCAATTGATCAGTCTCATTTTGGCATATGTGCATCCTGTGCGGATTGCCTCGATGTAGCCTTAAGTCATAAGCCTTTTAAGCAAAGATAGATAGTAGTTAGCAGTGGAATCCAGGACGCACGTTTCGTCCTATTCGGGACTCGTCAGGTGGATGTACCTGTATCCGAGAGTTGATGCATTCCTAAACAACAATGGGAAGATACAAGCAAAACAACACCGAGTGAATTCAAACTTCACCCCATTGCACAAGCAGGTGGCTATCAGGACTCAGTAGCTAAGTGGATAACACGATGGTGTTTGAAGCGAACGGTACTGGGTTCGAGTCCTGGAGTGGAAATACACTCTTGGACGCAGGTACATCTAGCTGACGAGTCCCAAATAGGACAAAACAGGCGTCCTTGATTCCACTGATAGCCACTATCCATCTTTCAATAATACATAGCCTAATGCTAATTTCATCAATCTGTACCTGATTGCTAAGTCATACTAAACCATTTTGCATTGAAAGATATAAGGTTTGTTTGAAAAAAGAATATACGTCTAGTCACTTCTTTTGGAATTCTGTAGGACACTATCTCCAAGCGACTCGGTAAAGTGAATAATCATTTGCGAAATACTCAGTCGTTCTTGAATTGCTTCTCAGTAGTCAAATACGTATCATCACTAATATTTGACAACGCACAATATCATGAATTGATTGAAATTGGATTCTCCAATTATTAGTCTTGAATATAACTCTTGCCTAGTTGCGAAAGTCCTGAAATCAATCAAGTTCATATGTGCATGATATTCTGAGAATTTAGAGTTTTAAAAATGGGTCAATGGCTTAAGAGTTTAACTTTCAACCACTAGATTACAGATTCGAGTTTCATCCTATCTACTTGGATTTGATTAACTAAGTAGTATCACTAGCTCAATAAATGAATTCTATCAATAAGCATTATCTTCCGTAAAACCTGAAACCATGATGAAACAAACGATAAATACTTTCTGGTTTTTCACTGATTTATTCATAGTTACTATCAGTTTACATAGCGAAATAAATACTCTTTCTCTCTTCTAAACTTATCATTTGTATTTGTAAAACAATCACAAATCATAACAGTGGACCTATGAAGAAATCTACGAGATTAAAATAGATCATAATATCAAGTCAAATCAACCACAGCTTAAACGTTTCATTTTGGATATATTAGACACTAATCGTAAACGTCATGAATTAACATTTGCTACGGAATTTCGTGTTGAATTATTAACTGATTTATTGGTAAGAATTTATTCATTTTTTGTTTTCTAAAATAAAAAAACTTGTTTTTCTTTCTATCATTGTTTACATTCCGTTTTACATATACACTGTTGTAATAAATGTAAATAATTTGCATATATGTATATCATATCAAGTACCTGCTTTGATTATCGGCTATAAGTCATGCCCGACCGTTGTTGCTACCTTGACGTGGTGATCGGGCTTGCCTATCGCGATGAAGCAACCGAGCTATACTGGCTGAAGCAACCGTTCCTCAAGGTCCTACCATGTCAGACAGGTCGGTTGAAGAGCGGTAAGACTAAAAGCAACAAACCTAAGGTCCGAAGGCGAAGTCGTACTGCTGACTGTACAGGGGTGTGACAGCAGTAAGGTGTTTCCTTCAGACAACCAGCATGACAGCGATACTGCCTTCCCACAAGGAGGGGTGGGGTTAGAAAAGGTCGACCCTAAAAATGCACACCTCGCCTTATCCCACAGATATCGGTCTCCGGCGGTGAGGTCTCAACAAGTACGGAGCTAACACAAAAATTACCCATAAAAATGGTTGTGTGTGACCGACCTCAGGCAGTTGTCCCTTGGGCACTGCGGTCACGCTCTCAGGTCACTGAGACCACCTCTAATCCAATTTCCTTTTCAGGTACCTCCAAGAAGAACCCTTCCACAGTGTGGGCAACCGGGAAGTGATACCCACCCTCATACCTCTAACAGCACTCAAGACCACTGTATTCATAAGTCATGCATTTTTTAAATGTCCTCAAATGCCCTGTTACAGCCAAGAGTGGAGAGAGTCAACTCTTCCTCTTCATATGCTCTCACATGGCCACGTACATACAACCACTACCAGGGAAGTCCTACTCACTACCTTCTCATGGCGAAGGTGTTGTTTACGAAATTGAGAGGACGAAAAGCGAGTGCCTGACGCTTAAACCGGGTTGGTAAATACGGAGGACCCACCTAGGGGAGTTGGAGAACCCTTATTCCAAACCATTGGTGCACATGACCTCCAGGATCCTAAGGAAACAAATGGCGTATGAACCTATTGTTGGTTACCGGGTACCATGGGACTGCATCTCCTGGTGTTGCTCAACTGCCTTGTGGATTATACCTTTAGGTCAAAGGCTCTAGGTGTGGCCCCTTAAGAAAACCACATGCTTCGGTTTGGGCACTCGGGCAGTATCTCACCTCTCACATAAATTGAATGACTTATGTAGCGTATATCTGTTTGGCGCCTCCTTGTACCAATGTTTATGTGTGTAAAAAGTAAATAAATGAATAAAATCTTTATGTGCGATTGTTAGCTTCGTAAATTGAGTTAAATGAAACAGGGTTATAACTAACTAACTTATGGTTAGTAATTGAATGCTATTACATCTCTTTGCATTTTATTTAATCACCCTGTGAAATTGAATTTCATCTGTATTTGTAATGAATATGCTACTTGATAAATTGGTTAGATTAACTAACGAGAAATTTAATATCTTCGTAGGCGTTACACCTTAATTATTCTCATTGTTTAAGAAATGAATAACAAATGAACTGTGTCAATGATATAGAAGGTACCAGATGGGTGTACGCCACATAAATCATTCAATTTGTGTAAGGGTTGGGATACTGCCCTGCTGCCCGAACCGAAGCAGGGTCCATAATATAGGCTGTAACTCATTCAACAAATATAGTCTTTTGTACTTATCTTTAAGTCTTACCTTCTATTTGAGAGTTAATAATTTTTTCTTAATATCGAACTTATATCACATCAAAGTCGATAAATAGTAACATTGATCATCTTAAATCAATTTAGACTGTAAGGAGATTTGTACATTACAAACTAACTGTAACTAAGTGATCATTAAAAATCACGAGTTCTATACTAGAACAAATTAATTATCGATTGTTTTCTGGTCTTCAATAGTTGTCTCAGTTAGACAGTCAGCTACAACGTAGTACTAAGCACATATGTGCTTCGGTCCAATTTGCCATACCTCATTAGCACAACAAGATGAATACCGGATTCATAGAAGTAATTAATTCAGTGATGGTAATATACAAAGGAAAGTTATCTAGCTACAAACAATCTTTAATGTAAACTATAAAATAACCTAAATTAGTTTGATTTGTTTGTTGATATTGACAAACACAAACTGAACAAATTTGTGATCAATTGAAGCTAGGCCACCATGGAAAACCTGGAAGCACTGCACGATCTTTTCGTCCTAGTATGGTACTTCTCAGCAGTGCGCATCCACGATCCCGCCCCCCTCGAGATTCGAACCCCTTCTGCTAATAATCATCTGTTCACTAGTGACGGACTTCAAGAGGCACTTCCTGGAGTCCTAGTGAGAAGCCGTAACCATTGGAGTTCAACCCAGTCTGTTGTGAGATATCAGCTCACTGAAGACAACGGTGTACGGTGGCGCAATTCTGTGGATTGGTTGAAGTTAGACATTAACACCATTGGATGCCGGCCGGCTCAGTGGTCTAATGGTTAAGCGCTCGAGCGCGAAACTGATAGGTCCTGGGTTCGAATCTTGCGAGGCGGGATCGTGGGTGCGCACTGATGAGGTAGTCTCACAATAGGACGAAACGGCCGTCCAGTGCTTCCAGGTTTTCCATGGTGGTCAAGCTTCAATTGACACATGATTTCAACTGTTGAAATTTCTGAAATCTCCACAAAACCCCTTCTGATAAAATTTGTGGTCTTTAAAATAGAGAGTTTTTTAAATCAAAGATGACTTAAATATGAAGACTTCTTAATGTATTTAGAATCTCTAACTTCCAAATTTGGAAATAAGTTTATTTCTCTATTGAAGATAACATTTTCAGAAATGTAACATTGTTTATGTAAATTTGAAATACAATCGCTTAGTATTTGAATCCTTGGTATACAGTATTCCAAACAACATTCAATTTATCAGACGAAATAACTTATTCATTTATCAAGTATAAGTTTATATACTGGACTTTGAAAGTTATACGGTTTACAAGAAGAATAATGATATGACTCGGTTATTTAAATCAAAGTAGATAAAGTGGAGTTCAAACATATGACTTATTGATTAAAAGCTATTATATACTAATCCGCTTTACTTGGTTAGTATATCGTTACTCATCACAACGACATACACTCAAATAATCTGGTTCATAATCAAGTAAATGAATCTGTAATTAAGTTTCACTTTCTGATCAAATAGGATGTAGCTATGGTAATTCATATATTGACCATTCCTTATAATGAATCTGTAGTTGTTATATATCAGAAAAAATATTATTATTATTATTTACACTGTTGATTCATATTACTGCTGGAACGATATTCACTTTTCATTCTTTTGTACACTTTTTTTATAGCATTTTCGGGATAAATTTATCAAAGAAAATAAATCAAATGTGGTAAGCTTACTGTTATTGTATATTACTTACTTACTTACTTACGCCTGTTACTCCTAATGGAGCGTAGGCCACCGACCAGCATTCTCCAACCCACTCTGTCCTCGGCCTTCTTTTCTAGTTCTGTCCAATTATTGTTCACTTTTCTCATGCCTATTTCCATTTCCCGGAGTAATGTGTTCTTTGGTCTTCCTCTTCTCCTTTGACCTTGAAGATTCCATGTGAGGGCTTGTCTTGTGACGCAGTTGAATGCTTTCCTCAATATGTGTCCTATCCACTTCCAGTGCTTCTTCCTGATTTCTTCCTCCGCTTGGATCTAGTTTGTTCTCTCACACAGTAGGTTGTTGCTAATAGTGTCTGGCCAACGGATCCGAAATATTTTGCGTAGACAACTGTTAATAAACACCTGTATTTTCTGGATGATGGCTTTCGTAGTTCTCCAGGTTTCTGCCCCATACAGTAGAACTGTCTTGACATTTGTGTTGGAAATCCTGATCTTGGTGTTTGTTGACGGTTGCTTTGAGTTCCAGATGTTCCTCAGTTGTAAATATGCTGCTCTTGCTTTGCCGATCCGCGCCTTCACATCCGCATCAGATCAATGATGCTGCCTAGGTATGTAAAGGTTTTCACAGCTTCCAAATCTTCTCCGTCAAGTGTGATTCGATAAGTGCACGTTGCGTTGTATCGGAGAATATTGCTTTTCCCTTTGTGTATGTTGAGACCTACTGCTGCTAAGGTTGCTGCTACACCGGCCGGCTTTTCCTGTATTTGTTGTTGCGTGTGCGATAGAAGAGCCAGATCATCAGTGAAGTCTATGATGATGAACAGGGTGGATATTAAGAAACCAATTATTCAAAATATCTATATGATACAATGTAGTAGTTGAGGGTAGCTGACACTCACTCATCAGCAAAATGTATCTGTAATCTTAAAGAAACAAATATTCCTTGGCGAATTTGATCTCATATTACTCAGTTTGATAGTCAAACGTATTACCATTAACCTACTCCATCTGCGACTTCCTGTGATTGATCCACTGAGTAGTGACCAATATTATTTATGCTAAGTCGTTCTCAGTGCTGATCGAATTCTATTGATCAGTCAGTTTTCAATAAACCTATATGATATATTTTATATCAAATAATGTGGTAGAAAGCGAATGATGACTGTATAGTTTATATAATTGTAATACTAAGAAATGGTATACTCAACAATGATATTTTGATTGTTCTAAACGCATACATGAGCAATAAATCTTAGAAGACATTGGGGATTGTTTTGGGAGTTAATGTTCCTTTACATTTCATTGATGTATACATTAATTCGTAAATAGTTTTGTAAATTATTGCATAGAATAACATATTAGACACTATGATAGTTAATAGACTAATGATAATGTTTATTTCAAAAGAATACGTGTCCTATGTTCATGGTAAGATTTCGACAAGAGAATTAGTATAGGATTTTTATGAAGAGATACATGACAAATATAGTCTTATTATATTATTGTTATTAGTTTATCGTCTATGACAGTAAAAAAAAAACAAACGTTGCTTTCAGTTACGTAAATACCTGCCCGCGAGATGATAGCAACCGATGGTTAGAGACCCTGAATGACATGGCTCAAAATCGTTTGCAATGACTCAGGTGCATCAACTCTTTGTGTTCTCCCAATTTCTAATCTTCTGAATTCTTCATGTCCCTTTCTTTTTTCTCTTTCCAAATTTATTTCACTGGATTATACTCATTGAATAACATTTTCAAACCCTGATCTTTTCGATTACTGCTTATACTCTTACTACCTCTACTAATATGGGATTTGAATCGACAACTGCATGTCTGTGCTAATGTGGTATGGCAACTTGAACTGATGTACGTACGTACGAAGTTCTACTTTGTTACTGACTGACTGACTGACTGACTGACTGACTGACTGACTGACTGAAATACCTGTCTACATTATTATGAAACTGAATTTCACGTTGACAATTAGTTAAGCGCTAATTTTTTTAAAAGTCATTATTCAATATTAACCCTAAATGTGTATATTTTGAGTAAATTAATCAATTTCTTGTTAATCATCATCTTAATTATATCTTATAGTTTTGTTACGAATAAGAACCCAAGTAGGGGACAATCAATTTTTGTTATTCAATGCATAAATTACAGAGTTCTTACGCGCTTCTCTCCCTCTAAATGCAAGACATTGCTTCAGAAATGACCTGCGTCAACGCCTGAACTAAGAACAGCGAGTCAAGCAGTCGAACGCGTTGACAACTTCACTTATCTTGAAGGTCTGATCATCCCAAATGGGTTGGTGTCTGACGAAATCTCAGCACGGATTCGAAAAGCTCGTTTGGCTTTTGCCAACTTACGTCACCTATGGCGAAGGAGAGATATCCGTCTATCAATAAAAGGACGAATATACTGCGCAAAAGTTCGTTCTGTTTTACTTTTCGGCTGCGAAACGTGACCGTTAAGAGTAGAAGATACTTGTAAGCTGCTAGAACTTGACCACAGATGCCTTAGAAATATTGCCGGCATCTACTGGGATCACCGGGTGAGTAATAGTGAGGTGAGACGCGGGGTATTAGGGAATGATGGTAAATCAGTTAATGAGGTTGTGAATCTTCATCGACTGAGGTGGTCGGGTCACGTGTTACGTATGTCTGAACACCGATTACCAAGACGCGCAATGCTGACTAGTGTTGGGAATGGTTGGAAGAAAGTTAGGGTTGGCCAATCCAAAACGTGGCATCAGTGCTTGAAGTCACTAACTTATAGTCTGAGCCATATTGGTGGACGCGGACTACTTGGTTGGGGTCTGCGTGACTATCCTAATCAATGATTGGAGACTCTGTGTGACATGTCTGAGAACCGACCACAATGGTGTAGGTGTATACACTCTTTGTCTTTCCTTAAACTATGAGATTAAAATTGCTTTCTAACTTTCTTTCTACGAACTAATTCTTTCTTCCTGTATGATATATATATTCTTATGTACAATCTTTCTTTTATATGTTACTACCATTGAAGTAACTGCTTCTATAGATTTGTTGTTTATCTTGTGATAATGAGGAATGTCAACTTGGACCGATGTATATATGTGCCTGGTCCTACGTTGTAGCTGACTGACTGGCTGATAGTTAAAGATTGCTTTCCATGTAGAATAGTGGGACGGGGACAGGAATGAGAATTTAAGTGAAGTGGAAGAAAAAACAACAAGTTAAAATACAAATAAAAAGGGAATCATTGTGTTGTAGGGAAAGATAAATTTCATTTACATTCAATTTCAAGTTGAATTACTTGAAATTTTTAAGGATTTAACTTTCAAATTCATGTACACAACCAAATGGATGATTTGATATAATCATCATGTTATTGCATTCATTGTAATCTTTCGTATTGTGACTTATAGCTGCTGACTTATATCATGTGATGAAACCACCAGTCAGACTACCGTTTTATCTAACTTATTATCTCTGAATTAAACCAATTACACCTCCAATTAGCACTAGTAACCTTGAGTCAGTTATTAAGTTTCTATTGATCTACAACTTGATAGCTTTCTCTCTATGCCTTTCCCGTCTGAGTTTTACACTCATTAACCAGCTTGCATTCTATCATATTATATTTCAAGAAGACAGTTTATGTACAGGCATATCAAACCACATCACATACCATAAAATAAAAAATCATAGTTATAAATGAATGTGCCAAAACTGGGTGTGAGTAGGGAACACTGTGAATAACAAACTGGCAACAGATTAAGAATAATAAATCATACAACAGTAGTTAATGTGTCAATCAAAAGCCAGAATATATATAAACAGTAGTCCATAAAATGAGTCTTGGAAGTTATCATTCCTTTATCCGTCGTTCGAATATACTATTTCTAATCAATATAGCAAGTTGCATTAAAATATCTTAGAATGAGTTACATATATACATACATATTACTCCTTCTCATTCAATTCATATAAACTAGTCAATATAGTCATTTATTCCACTTTCTATTAGTGATTATAAAACAGTAACTGAAGTGTTTTATTTCCCATTTAACAACAGTTATTTTAAATTATTCTTTTATTGAAAGCGAATACATGCTACTAAAGTTAGTTGGTCAGAATCAACATATGATGTAATCTTGGATATTGGTCCAATTTCAATTGATGTACGTAATCCACGTACTGGTGAATTATGGAAAACGTATGATTTTAAAGATATTGAATGCATTAGTAAAGTAAGTTATCATTAATTACTCTTTTTGTGTGTCTCTCTCTCTCTGTGTTTGTGTATTGTAAGTCATTAGAAATAGTTGAAATGTTCATATATCTGTAGGAATTCGAGTGGTAATGTGATATACACTTTCAATCTAGATATATAAAAATCCTATTTGAATAATCTTCTTTGAAGCCTTCACGTTGTGAGTTTGGCTAATGTAAGGTCTTGTATGAAACACTATTATGCTCAGAGTACTTTTTGTGTTTGTTATATTTGATCGAGTGATTTTTGACAACTTTTAATGTTTGGTGATTATTTTCTCCGACTAGCTGTTTCCATACAGTTTGACAACAGTAAATAATAATGAGATTTGGAAATGTCTCTTTTGGGTATAGTTGATATCATGATTAAATGAGTCTTTGAACATATTTAGCATATTTTATCCCAGAAACTTTCATATCAAGCATTACTTGCTAGTGTTGTGTTCGTGTGAGTAAGATGAGAAAAGTGATATGGATTCATAGAATAAATGGAATATAGCGCCGCTATGTAACCCAAATGCATTGTTCTTGTATTAATCTTCAAAGTAGATAGAGTGAAGATCAAACCTGGAAACCAGTGAAAGGAAATTGAAAACTTCACCTACTAAACGACCGCTTCAATTACAGTCTTATCTGCTCAAGATGAACCAGACTGAATTTTACTCACTGCCTTCTCATGGCGGTGGTGTTATTCACGAAATTGAGAGAACGAAAAGCGAATTTTAGTGTTTAGTACCAGTGTTTGTGTTTAGATAAATATTTAATGAGACAGTCATGTAAGTCGATCATGTTCATATCTTGACCTGATAGTATTTTGAAGAAACCGATGTATAAAGTGCTCATGATTTGGAAGTAGTTTATTCTGTGGCTTCCATTATTTGTACATCTTTCAGTTCAAATCATGGACTGATCTTAACTCAACCACCATTAGAAACCTGTAAGCACTGGACGGCCGTTTCTTCTTAGTATGAACCTCCTTAGCAGTGCCCACCCGCGAACCCGCACGCGGGAATCGAGCCCAGGACCTCCCATATCTGATGCAAAATCATGGATGCGCACTGCTGAGGAGTCTCTTACTAGGATGAAACGGCCGCCCAGTGCTTACAAGTTTTTAATGGTGGTCTAGATAAGATCAGTTCGTGATTTAAACTGTGAAAATTCTGCTACCTTCACAAATTCCCCTACATTATTTATATATCTGTCAGTGATTTGGTTCATTTAATCCGTTCAACGAGAAAAGTAGCTTACAATTTTCGTATGAGTCCAATCAAAGTATATTTCCTGTTTTTCAAAACAACATTCTATTAATTAGAGTGCGTTATTAAATTAAAATCATTTGTTTACTTATTTATACTGCTTATCACAGATAAATGATACTTCGAATGGAGTAGCAATTATTCACGGTGGGTTTGGACATATTGTAAGTCAATCTTTGTTTATTTATTGCACATTTAATTTCTTTTTCGTTTGCATCACGGGCTAAGCTTAGTCAGAAAACTACTAAAGACTAGGAAGCACTAAACAACTGTTTTATTCTAGTATGAGACTCTTTGGCAGTGCTCATCCATCTTCCTAAAAAAAATCTATCTCATGAAGTTTGGCTCTTACAGTGAGCTCTTAAACTTTCAACCATCAGTTTGTCGATTCTCCTCTACTTTACTGGTGTTGGCATGTGAGAATTTGAACCTGGTTCTCTGTTGACAATAACTGACTTACTCTTTGGTGTATCTGTTAAACAAAGCCTGATTTAACTTAACTAAAATCTTTGTATTTCGACTAGCCATTTTTACTGGGTACCTATATATATATATACCTAACCTGATTATTGGTCACTCATTTGCTCCAGCGATGCTCGGAAGACACTCAATATCACAAACCTGCAGCAGACATATCCCTAATGCGATTATAGATCATATTGCACAACAACAGAATAATACAGAACGAGCCGCTGCACAGTATACTTACTCTTTGGTCAGCAGACGGATATCGCGCTGCTCCAAAAGCTAAACCCATACATATAATGTATGACTCCAAACTGGGTGCACGAACCAACAGTAAGGAAGCTTATTATTTTGGTTTAATAGACTCTGATATTCATCAACTGACAGTATCCGTAACAAAAAAAGGAATCATAAAATCCAAATGAACATCATTCATTATCATAATCAAAAACATTGTTTACACTTTTAAGTTTGTGTACATAACACTGTGAAATAATTCTTCTTCAAAGTAATCAAGAGTTATCGATGACCCCTTCACTTATCAAGATATAAGTTAAAGCAGTTCATACACTGTTCCTTATTTCGATTCCTACCTATTTCAGATTCAATATTATTATTGTCATTATAGTACTGTTCTTAGACTAAAAACGAGTGTGTGAACTCAACTTTGAGTCATTCTGTTTATGTAAGGGGTCATAGTGACACTGTCTGATTTCCTAAACCAAATTAAAAGATACCGCGTTCCAACCTACGATCTATACGTTGGAAACTAAGTGATCGAATTAATAATTCATCAAAACACTTGATAAACTCAGTACTTTATTTTCATCAGCATTCTTCATTGGTAATAGTTTCACTCATCTTTTCATCATAGCATATATTCCTTACACGTGAACCGGATAATTTAATCAAAGAGGTCAACAAATCTGCCCATTCCAATCTCTCTGTATCATTTAGTCAACCGTCGAGTCCATTGACACGTGATTACTGCACAGAATATAGACTGGGGAAAGTCAAGTAGGTGTATTAATAATATAAAACTATTTGTTCCTTTTCATTGCATGTTTTTAAAATGTGTTTTCTGTTATGTGGCACGGTCCGCCTAGTCTGCTACTTATATATGCTCTTCTTGTATGGGTATCTAACTAGATGATTGCGTGAGAAAACCAAAGGTGATTAGGAAGCGTTTGTTGACAATTGTTTAATCACTGGGCGGTGATAAGTGTCATGTATGTCAGGTCCTTCTTAGTACAGATCGGATCCTATCGACCAAGTCGCAATGTGGCCACTAGTCTAGGTGACTCAACATTGCGTGTACTATGTTGAGATAAGATGGTGGTTGGAGGTAGTCAACAGAAAATCCTGAACCCGGGTTTCGTGCTACTTGACACTCGTCAGCAAGGTGTACCTGTAATCTTGGGGGATAAGTGGAACTGAGTATTCAATGTAATTTATTTACCCGACATACATTCTTCAAATAAAAATCTGATCATATATTTTATCGTAAATACTAAGGACAGTCAATTGAATAAAATATAAGTATTATAGTGTCATATACAAAAGAATGACGAGTTTTCACTCTGAGCGTTGTCTCGTTACCCTTGTAAAAAAATTATTACCTATCAACCTTCTTGCCCTTATCTGAAATTGTTATGCTCAATAACTTCAATATCATTTTGACACATTGTTACTCCACCTTCAATCATATAATGGTGGCCAAAATCATCTATCGAGAAGACGTATCCTGCTCTGTTGACCATCATTGAGAGAAAGCTTTCAATCGTTTCAAATAGTCCTGAACATCATACAAATCAGTGTGTCACATCTGATTACGTCTACCAGTTAGCGATTTGAGATAGTGTAACAGTATGCCAAGATTTCTTCATAGCCAATTAGCATATGAAAATCTATCCCAATCCATAAAATTATCATTTGATTATTTTCACTTATCTAGTATTGTAAAATAATTCCAACATTTCTCACTTCATAATTGTCAAACAGTACTTCCAAATATTTTTTTTATGGAGGACAGCTCACAGACTCGTTCGAAGTAAAGACCGGTGTCAAGCAAGGTTGCTCACTTTAACCCTTTCTCTTTCTCCTGGTGATCGGCTGAATTATGAAGACGTTAACATCTGGGGGGGGGAACATGGGATACAGCAAGCAGCTAGGATGCAGCTGGATGATCTAGACTTCACTGATGATCTGGCTCTTCTATCGCACACGCAACAACAAATACAGGAAAAGCCGGCCGGTGTAGCAGCAACCTTAGCAGCAGTAGGTCTCAACATACACAAAGGGAAAAGCAATATTCTCCGATACAACGCAACGTGCACTTATCGAATCACACTTGACGGAGAAGATTTGGAAGCTGTGAAAACCTTTACATACCTAGGCAGCATCATTGATCTGATGCGGATGTGAAGGCGCGGATCGGCAAAGCAAGAGCAGCATATTTACAACTGAGGAACATCTGGAACTCAAAGCAACCGTCAACAAACACCAAGATCAGGATTTCCAACACAAATGTCAAGACAGTTCTACTGTATGGGGCAGAAACCTGGAGAACTACGAAAGCCATCATCCAGAAAATACAGGTGTTTATTAACAGTTGTCTACGCAAAATATTTCGGATCCGTTGGCCAGACACTATTAGCAACAACCTACTGTGTGAGAGAACAAACTAGATCCAAGCGGAGGAAGAAATCAGGAAGAAGCACTGGAAGTGGATAGGACACATATTGGGGAAAGCATTCAACTGCGTCACAAGACAAGCCCTCACATGGAATCTTCAAGGTCAAAGGAGAAGAGGAAGACCAAAGAACACATTACTCCGGGAAATGGAGATAGACATGAGAAAAACGAACAAGAATAGGATGGAATTAGAAAGGAACGCCCAGGACAGAGTGAGTTGGAGAATGGTTGTCAGCAGCCTATGCTCGATTGGGAGTAACAGGCGTAAGTAAGTAAGTAACTTCCAAATATGTCATGTAATGCTTTAATGTGGTGTTTAAAACAAGTTTTTCTCATTCACTATTTAATATTGTTTTGTTAAATTCTTTATTACTCATTTTCTATTCTTTGTACAGTCAAGATCATTTAATTTCTCAAGCTGAATTCACTGTACAAAAATTATCTAATCGTTATGGTGCTACAAATCAAATGAAAACAGTTTCTCGTTTAATGTGTCTAACTGAATCATTGTTATTAGAAAGAGATCCAACTAGTTATCGTCCAGTTTCTGCTCATCCATTATGTGAAGTAAGTTCTTTAATTATTGAACTTTCATTCCAAGTGTTTCATTTTTCAATAAGATTCATTTCTTTTAAACAAGATTATTCCTACTTTACATATTTTTATTCTCACCTTGTTAACTTCCTTCATCGCTGTATGAATACGAAGAGTGGAATTTTGGAATAACCTACGTTTGTACTAGATGTTATGGTGTTTCTGATTGATTGCTCAAATATACAATAGACTGTTAGAAGGCTGTGATAGAAACAGTTGACTTGTACTTAATAAGATAAAACTCTGTGACTTGTTGTATTTTGTTGTTTGATGGGCTAATTGATGATATTAATGTAATTATGAGATAACTTTTTTTCACAAACTAACTCGAACACTTCATTTCTACCCGAAGTTTATCCTGATGATGTCGTTCAGGAGAACGATGAAATCTCCATGACCAAACCATCCAGTTCAGAGAACATAAATCCATTAAAAATAGACTAACTCCTTTTGGATATAACCATTTTCAACTCAAGAAGAATTAGACAGTTGTTTTATCCTAATTTGTGACTAACTCCTTCGATATTGTCTATCTATAGTATCACTTGAAATCTAGCAAGATCTATTTCAATCAACTTTTGTAGTGAATAGATTATATTTAAACCGATAAATTTACATTCGATAATCTTCATTTCCTAAATCTAAATGATTCGTGATATAGCGTGATCATCATCTTTCAATGTCTCACAACATTGTTGGGAACTCCATTAGTTACATTTTTGCTAGGTTTGAAGCGATTACGAGTTCACTTAGTCTGTGAACGGAACAAAGACTTATGACTGATGCGTCCCAGACCCGCTAACTAAAGTGAGAAGTCGAAGCTTGGAACGGGAGAGTATATTCCGTAAGCCAGAAGCACGAGTGAATCATAACAGATGCAAATCAAAACGTATATATACAGCCCAAAACCGTCCTTGGGATGGGTTACAAAATAGCATACTAAAAGATACATCGGACCAATAGCGTTAAATATTCTCCTAAGTGGGAAATACGATATGAAGGTGAAAAGAGAGCTTTTGGCGCGAAAACAAAGAAATTTAAATTTTCTAAATAAAATTACAAACCTAGGTCCTTTTCCAAGTGAGCTCTGAGGATCTAACGTTCCCAACAATTTTTAAAAAAGTAGAATCTCTGTAACTTGAAATTAGTCACTAAAGTAAGCTTATGTTTATATTTTAAAACTTTGACTACACTAACTGTGTATAATTTATTATTGTTTTTCATATAGATACATTTACTTGTTCGTGATCGTTTTCAACCACAAAGATTTTCTATTGAATATGTTCGTGGACAAATTGCCACATATTTTTCCACTAACAGGTAAATTGTACCACAGCATATTATTATTATTATTATTATTATTATTATTATTTCTGTTACAATACTGACCAGGTACTTACATTTAATCCTACTGAACAATTCAACGAATGCAATTTTATTTCATAAAAGAGACTTTCACCCCACTCATCATCTAGTTATCAATAATTGAAAAGATGAATACATGTGTAACTCATTTACCAATTTCAAGTTTATTTATTCCTGCTTGACATTTGATTGTTTCTATAAACGTTAGAGTAATAAGTACTATGTAGATATATGTGAAAATGAAGTAGATAAAGGAAGCTTTGAACTTAAGGTTAATTACTTTCAAAATCAATTGTTTTAACCAGGAGTAAGTTATCATGAACTAGAAATATATTACAGTGTGAAATACATAGTGATTAATAAATTAACAATATAGCCTAGTAGTGGATCAACCACAAAATGCATGTACAATTTCGTTTGGAATGCCCTATAAGTTCTCGGACACGTATTCTTTACCCAATTTTAAGGTAATCAGTTTTATCTTCTCATGTTCATTCAAAAAATTTTTTTAAAATATATCGATTGAAGTTCTTAACACTGATTATGAGAAACTTCATACCCCTCACCAATGAATTTTTACCTTTTGAATAAGTTAGTGACTATTTGAACTTAGTAGTTTAGTGGATAATGCATCGATGTTTAAAGTGATAGTTATTGAGTTCAAATTTCAATGTAAACATCAATACTGAAATGTAGGTAAGATCTCAGCTAATAAGTTCTGAACAAAACGAAACATGGGTCTTACGTTTCACTTCTCGTCATTATATAATAATATATAATCAATTTATAATTAGTAATAATGTAGAAATTGAATAAATTCACTTATGTAAACATCAATACCTGGAAAGTATGTGTTTAATTTCGCTATTTACTATTTATTTATTTGGACACATAAACATTGGTACAAGGGGGCACCAAATGCATATACGCCACACAGGAACAATGAGACCAATAGTGGTTATCACTAATTTGTGTGAGGGTTGTGATATTGCCCAGGTAGGTGCGCAAACCGAAGTAGATGGTTTTCTTAGGGGATCACTCCCGAGTCTAATCCACATGGCAGTGGATGCAGTCCCATGTTAGCTAGTAACCAACAGTAGGTTCATACGCCATTTGTTCCCTCAGGATCCTGGATCCTATATTTACCATAGGTTTTAGAATCAAGGTTTTCCAACTCCCCTAGGTGGACTCTTGGTGTCCACCAACCCGGATAAATACAGGACATTCGCCTTTCGTTCTCTCAATTTTGTAAACAGCACCCCTACCTCGAGAAGGTAGTGAATAGGACTTTCCTGATATTGGTTGTATATGCGTGGCCATGAGAGCATTTGGAGAGGGAGAGTGAACTCTCCCCTTTCTCGACCTTACTAGGGCATTTAGGGGTTCTTTTACTTCAAATATTGCTAAATAGACTAATTTAAATATTATTTTATGTTTAAATGATTAATTGTTTATCTTTCTCTTCTACTTCTAAATCCCCCTTATTTTGTGTGTGTGTGTGTGTGTGCGTTAGAGATGCTCTGTTAGCATCATTGTTAGACGGTGTACGTGCCAGTGGTAATCGTGATGTTTATGTGTCCAGTTCATTCTCTGATCGAAGTTTACGTTTTATTCCATTAATGAATTCAGCAACGGAAGAAGTTGAATCAGTACATTTAAGATTTTTACGTCAACGTCCAGGTACATGATATATCTATATGTATGCATGCATATACTAATACAAATTATATGTAAACAATTAATTGATCACTGATGAATATTGACTAATGTTATGTTTATCTAATTCTTTTTTAATATTGATCAAATTTCTGTCTATCTAGTTGTAATTTAATCACTGATCCAGGTAATTTGACATAGCCTATGATATGTATTGATATTAAGTGATTGGAATCAGTCGATCGGAAACCCTGTCTAAGTTTCACACTAGTTCGTACTTGTCCACAAAGCATACTTACAATTATGAGAGTTTTCTATCTACTACATTTAGCCATCAGTTTTATGGTAATGAAAGTAAACGATTGTTCACTGAGTAAGCACAAACAGGTACTCAAATTATCGACTATTAAATATGTTTTTCATCATGGCTCTACACTAATATATATACGTTTTACAATGTAATTATTACGTAACGTATCCACTCGATGAGTATTATATTATTATTGTAAAACGTATATATATTAGTGTAGAGCCATGATGAAAAACTAATTGAAAAGAAATTTCTTCGCTCAATTCGTTCCTTCTTAATTTACCAAATGGCAAAATGGGAATTTTCACTATATTGAAACGTTCTGAGCAAACATTTGCGTTGAAGGTTCTCAATGAGTATCTAAAGTATAGCGCAAGGCTCAGTGAGGCGATGACAAATGTTGATTTTATAAAGGAATGTATAGAAACCAACTTGTATCCAAAATTGTATTGGAAATCTTTACGTCGCTCTCGTGTTCAACCAAATGGAAGGACTCTCAAACGCTTCGCTCTTAACCAAATCGATTTTCCAAAAGAAATTCGTACAACCACTTTCTCTACCCTGGCCTTCAGTATAACATTTCCGTCAGAAGAACTATTTTTCATACTTCTTCCATTTTTATTTTTATTTTAAAATTTTTGTAATTTTGTTTCTATCGCTTTTGAGCCTTATAACTTCTCAACATTCATCTCTTGATTCTTACGTAACTACCATCCTATTGACCATCCGTTAAAATTCTGTTCCTTCTTTGTTTCTTATATTACACAACTTAGCAACTTCTTGATTACTTTGAATATTAATAATCCTCTCTCTTCCAATTACTGAATGTTAATTTAAAGGTCATTATGTAATTATTACGTAACGTATCCACTCGATGAGTATTATATTATTATTGTAAAACGTATATATATTAGTGTAGAGCCATGATGAAAAACTAATTGAAAAGAAATTTCTTCGCTCAATTCGTTCCTTCTTAATTTACCAAATGGCAAAATGGGAAGTTTCACTATATTAAATATGTTATTTCTTTTCGTTTTATTGATTTCTACTCCGAACTCACTGAAAGTGACTGATTCTAATTGTGTGAAATCAAGTGTTGTTTAACTTTACTGTGGTTCTCTATTCTTGTTAGTGAATCGGTTATATGTTATAACTTGATCTAGTCTATGTATACAGGATTGTTCAAGTCGCCAATCTAGCGGTATTATGAACTCGATCATCTTATCCAATCCTATTATCGTAGTATAGTAAATTTTTGCATTGTAATTAGCTATTTCATCTAAGTCACTTATTGTTTATATAAGTATTGGGCTTAGTAGTCCATGTTCTTCGTTTTCTTCAATAGTATTCATAATCAAATGTAGATGGTCTGGGACAAAACCTAAGCACAATAAATCATCCCTAACCCTTTGACTTAGTCTAGTCCATAAAACAGTGAGGCAAGGTTCACTGAGGTAATTCTCCTGTAACCGACGATCAGAGTAAGTTTTTGAGACATTTATTCTTTCTAGAACTTAAAGCTCATGTACACTGTTGATTTAGAATCAGGATTTTCTAAATCCCTACTACTTACTACCCACCAACGCCATCTAGGCACCGAACGATCACTTTCGTTCTATCATTCTTATTGGAAGCATTTTAGGGAACATGAAGACTGTGAATAAGACTCCTTTGGATCAGGCAATAAATGCTCACCCGTACTAAAACATTTAGTGTTTTCTTTTATAACATAATTCATAGGATAAAGATAAACTTTCCTAACTAAGTAAAATCCCTCTTGATTATCTTCCAGTGATTTATGCTAGTTTCTTTTCGTTTGGCTTTTTATAGAGGGTGTTTCATTTTGGGAAGTAGTACAACGTTTCAATGCTAACATTGCCTACAGTGGTTTATTACATGCCGTTACTCAAGACGTAAGAGGAAATGTTTGCTTAACATGCATATTTTTTTTATAGTATTTATCCATCTTCATATTTTTTTTCAGTATTTTAGTTCATTGGATTTAACGACAGAGGAGAGATACTCGTCAGCTTACGTAGTTCAAGCGATCAACATAAAGCCCTAGATGTAGATTTCTTCGTCGGTACCTTATATTTGCAATCATAAGAGAATTCGTAACTAAACGGTTAGGTGATTTTCAATAATTCACTACATGAGTGGATTATAGATTCTGCCTATTCAACCATGTCAGTAATGTTATCAGTCAGTTTAATAGTTGTAACATTAAACTGACTCCTGATGATAACATTCACATTTGTTCGACAGAGTACGACTATTTCTAACACGCTATCAGTGAATGCTATAACAGAGGAAGAGTTCAAGCAAATTACTTTTGTGGGGTTTGTGGAGATCAGTTTAATTTGTAGATGATATCCATCCTCAATGGACCTCTATTTGACTACTAATAAGACATAGTAAGCAGTCAGTCAGTCATAACGTATAACCGAACACGTGTATACATCAGTTCAAGTTGAAAAACACCATTAACACAACGAGATAAAAATATCAGACAAAACAACAGAATACTACAGATAGTAACAGTATGAGTGGTAACACTAACATACGATTCACGAAAATATTAATTAGTCAAATGAAAGGAATGATGAGGAATTCAGAGGTTCAAAAATTGGGGACGACAGAGAACTGATACACTCACACTGTTACAAACGATTTCAACGCACACCATTCAACCTCTCTAAACATTGGTTACGATAATCATGTGAACTACAACAAGATAGTCTATATTTGATAACATGACTCAGTTCATTTGTCAGGGACTTTATGGACTGCTGTCGTGTTTTGTTTTGGCCTCCTCCTCCAGTTTTCTTCCACCATACTCTTACCACTAGACAAAATCGAACATCGAAGTAGGTGGTGGTTTGCTATCCTTTTGAATCTGGGTTGATATTTCATCAGACACTAGACCATCAGGATTGATGAGACTCACAAGATCAGTGAACAGATCGACACACTCAACTACTTCATTCCCTATCATTAATCCAGACACTGGTACAAACCAATCAATACTGTAGCTAGATTTTACATTTGGAGGGAGAGAATCACATCCCAAACATGCTCGCATTGTTGCTTAAGGTGGACAGAATACTCTACATTTTGTCAGCGACTTCACTAACCACAACTACATTATCTGCGTATTCCAAGTCAACAAGTGGATCTTGTGTTGGGAGAACAACCTCTCAAATGTCAGATCGTAGTAGTGTTAACTCTAGAGATACATTTTATGTCAATGTTAAATAAAAATGTGTAAAGTGGACAGTCCTGACGAACACCACTTGAAGAGATGAACTCGGATGACAGTTTTGACTTGACCAGTAGTATTACAGTTGAGAACCTGTGCGTGTTTAAAGTAATTTCGGTACGCCTTTCTGTGATAAGAATGAAGGTCCTCAGTTAATACTCACGACTTCGTTAGCCATGGAGTGTAAAACTCTCAAATCTCACTCTGATGATATAATTTTGTAGGTTTAATGAGTTCACGAATTAATATGACGTTCATTCAGTGTCATTAGCGACGATTGTTTTACTCTTCACATGTCTTAACCTCTGTCGACCACAACTCCCCATCCGAACTTCATTATAAGGAATTAAGTCAATACTGAGCATTAGTTGCTTTTTTTTGAATTGTCTTATACTAGAACGAAACAACTATCTATAGTACATTTTTATTGAGTTCATGAACCGAGCACTGTTAGAAAATCATTAAAAACCTTGAATCATTGGACGCCTGCTTCGTCTTAGTATGAGAATCCTCAACAATACACACCCATGATCCTGCACGCAGGACACGAACTCAGGACCTTCCGTCTTGTGCAAATGCGTAGACGTGCACTACTAAAGAGTCCTATACTAGGATGAACCAGCCATCTAGTGCTTCGAGGTTTTCAGTGGTGGCTTAGCATTGATCAGTTCATGATCTTAATAAAAACTCAACAATCTCCACAACCCTGTACAGAATTTTTCGAAGGGTAGTTCAACTGGCCTGCTGCCCCGGCAACCTCGGTCAGACTGTCCTGCACTCCATGGCCGGTGACGACTGATCCACCAAATGAGGCGGAATTCCTCAAGAAACTCCAACTCTTGAAGCGCTACAAATCACCTGGCCCAGATGACTTACCTCCGGCTCTTCTTAAAGATGGTGGTGACTTTTTGACTAAGGAATCGGCGACGTTGTTTACAAAGGTTTGGGAGTTAGAGAGTGTACCAACGTCATGGAATGAGTCGATAGTTGTCCTTATCTTTAAAAAGGGTTCACGTCGTTCCTGCAACAACTATCGGGGGATAAGTCTACTTCCAATCGCGTCCAAGCTATTGGCTTCCGTCATACTTCGTAGGTTGTTCAAAACCCGAGAAAGATTGAATCGCGAGGAGCAGGCTGGGTTTCGTTCTGGTCGAGGATGTATTGATCACATCTTCACCCTCCGCCAAATGTTAGAACACCGCCATACTTTTTAAAGGCCAATAATCGTAGTGTTTCTTGACATCAGGGCTGCCTTCGATTCGATTGTCTATTGAAGAAGGGTGTGCCTGAGAAGTTTATTAACATCTTAAAGGTCCTATATACAAACACCTCAGGCAGAGTGAGGGCATACAACCACCTTTCTCCATTGTTCTATTCGAGCAGTGGGGTTAGGCAGAGTTGCCCAATCTCACCATTCCTTTTCAACTTTTCCATCGACGACATTCTGGAAACGGCTCTGATGGATGTAAGTAATGGCGGTGTGGATCTGTTGCCTGGAGAAAGACTTCTTGACCGTGAGTATGCGGACGATATTGTCTTACTGTACGATAATGCCCAAGGCATGCAATCCGCACTTAATCAGTTGGCAATCAGTGTCCGTAGGTATGGTATGTGCTTTGCACCTTCGAAGTGCAAAGTACTTCTACAAGACTGGCAGGATTCCAATCCTGTACTCACCCTGGATGGTGAGCAGATAGACGTAGTCGAGAAGTTCGTGTATCTGGGTAGCTGCATAAGTGCTGGTGGGGGTGTGAGTGATGAGATCAATGCACGAATAGTGAAAGCCAGAGCGGCTTATGCCAATCTGGGCCACCTTTGGCGCCTTCGTGATGTCAGTCTGGTTGTAAAAGGTCGGACCTACAACGCGTCGGTGAGAGCAGTTTTGCTCTATGATTGTGAAACCTAGTCTCTCCGAGTTGAGGACGTTAGACGACTCTCTGTGTTCGATCATCGCTGTCTCCGAAGGATTGCTGACATTCAGTGGCAACATCATGTCAGTAATGCAGAGGTCCGTCATCATGTGTTCGGGCACAGAGATGATAACTCAATTGGTGTCACCATCTCGAAACACCGACTTCGGTGGCTTGGACATGTTCTCCGAATGTCGTCCCAGAGAATTCCACGTCGTGCATTATTTGCCGACTCTGGGACTGGTTGGAGAAAGCGGAGAGGTGGTCAGTATATGACATGGTGTCGTGGTATGAAAGAAAGCTGCAAAGGGCTGGCTTGTGTTGGTCCTTCACAACTCTTTGGCTGGGGTCCAAGAGATGGTACAACACAGTGGCTAGAGATGTTATCAGATATGGCTCAGAATAGAAGCCAGTGGCGATCCTGCTGTAACCTTCTTTTACTTCATAAAAAGTGGTTGTGTCTCCCTCTTCGTTATTGTTCCCCTTTTTTACGCTCCCTACCTTTTTTCTTTTTCCTTCTCTTTAAATTCTCGTTGTTTTGTATGGCGCATAAATATTGGCACTCTCTTGTACCAATATGTATGTGTTCAAATAAATAAATAAAATAAATACCTTGTACTGAATATTACATATTTGTTTAAATTTTATTTTCTAGTATCTCTATGCTAGATATGGTAACTGATAGATTATATCTCAAAGTTATGGTTTTCTTTATCTAATTTTGTTGTTATTTTTCTTATCATATTCTAACTTATTTTCAGGGTGTTTTTGCAGAAAATAAAGAGAAACTAATCAAAGATGCATTGGTTTGTATTCTTACACAAGATACACGTATAATTGATGCAAATCCTTTAACATCTATTAGACGATCATCATCATCATCTTTACATTGTACTACTGATAATAACACTACTACTAATAATACCACTACTACCACTAATCTTAATTACGAATTAATTTTAATTGAAGCACAATTTCATGCATTACGTCGACTGGTTGCATCAAAAGCGGGGTTTAATGCTTTCACTCAATTACCGGGGTTAGTTTTATGTGTTTTTGGTTGTTAAGAAATAAAAGTGTTAAATTATTGATTTATTTTTATTTTCTGTATTATTTATTCGGGGATGTTTTGGCAATTGTTTAATATGTGGTCTAAATCATGGACTGGACTTTTAGTGAAGTAATCGTTGAATAATCATACAATGCAAGATAGCCGTTTCATCTCAATATTGGGCCCTTCAGCAGTACCTACTTGTGACCTTGTCAGAACCTAGAGGCTTGATGTGTGCTGGGTTTGAAGCTATTACGAGTTCACTTAGTATGCGAATGGAACAAAGACTTGTGACCGAAGACCCATCAGCTAGATATTCTGATGCGTCCCAGACCCGCTAACTAGAGTGAGAAATCGAAGCTTGGAACGTAAAAGTATATTCCGTAAGCCCAGAAGCACGAGTGAATAATAACAGACGCAAATCAAACGTATATATACAGTACAAAACTGTCCTTGAGAAGCGTAGCAAAAATAGCATACTAAAATACACAACGGACCAATAGAGTTGAAGATTCTACCAAGTGTGAAATACGATGTGAAGGTGAAAAGAGAGCTTTTGGCGCGAAAACAAAATTCAAATCCTCTGAATAAAATTACAAAATTAAGATATTTACCAAGTGAGTTCTGAGGATCTAACATCCCCAACAATGTATACACGCATTCCGTTATACGTTGTGACTGACTGACTTCAAAGTAGCATTGTGAATTGTGTGATTTTGCCTTTTTTTATTTTGAAAACTTAATTTATTCACCAAATACTTGGGTATGAGTCACTGAGCGATTGTAAGAACTAACGATGCTACCCGGTTACTCAAACCAAAATAGTTAGTGTGACTTAGTAGTTGAAAGTCGTACTGTTTAACTATCCAGTTACTAACTGTATTTACGTACATGTAATATATAACGATTATGATAATGTTGATAATTTTTAAATCATTTCTTTTGTTCATTTTTCTATACTCATATAGAATGCGTGTAACATTAGGTCAACTTGTAGTGAATGCATTAAAACTACGTGATGATGCTGTCACACATTCTGTCTTAGATGCTATTAATACTTTAATGCATCCAATGCATGATCAACCAGATATTAGACAAGAACAATTGAATAAAGCATCTATCATGTCTAGTGAAATATTTCTATCTCATCTTGTTGATATATTCACGTTACATGCTGTAAGTATTTTACCATTGTTATTGTTGTTTCTCATCAATTTTTTTTATTACTACTATTAAGTAATTGTACTGAGTGAAAAAAGTTAATCGGTTGATAAGTTTATGGATATTCATTGATTGTAAAAGTTGGGAAATGTTGTACTTATCCACAACAACCACTTGCCTCAAGGCACGACGTTGGAGAAAATGTAATTAAAGCTAGGGGTAGCGATATCAACATTTGACATGAGTTTATTAAGTAAAGGACTGTTAGTCTAAGCTATGTTTATAGTTTCCAACTACTTGGTTAGGATCCTCATGATCATTGTAACTAGTAAATCTTTGATGATACTGCTCTGAATCATCAGTTACTTAGAGGTATGTCATGGTAACATCTTCATTTCTTGTTTTATTTTCAAGTCCGATGCAGTTATAATATATGCTTCTTAATATCAAACCTATTGTGTAAATCCGAAGAATTAAATGAGTAGGAAGATTCATTTAGCAACTTGAATCATAATGTGCATAAATCATGAATAGATATACGATTGTTGCAAATTTTTGTGTACCGAATCTACTCGTATGAAAACATGTGAACAGGTAGATAACTCTCTCTCGAGAGCGACCTGTCGATGTTGTATTTGAGTTAACGCCTGAGGCAGCGTTCCCACAAATGCAGACAGACGTTGAACGTAGTCTCATTTACCGAAATCATTACTGCTCCGTGGTGTGAAGCATTCCCCAGGCAGACGCAATGTCGTGCCGTATACAAGATCAGCGGCGGAACATTGGATATCGGCCTTCAAGCTCGTTCTGATGCCTAAGAGGACGAGCGGTAAGGTTTCGTACCAATTGTCGTTTTCGTGTGCTCGGAGAGCACTTTTACGTTGGCGGTGAAACCTTTCAACTAAACCATTTGAAGCTGGGTGGTAGGCGGTAGTGCGTATGCGTTCCGTACCAAGCAGCCGGGTAAGTGAGGAGAATAGTGCGAACTCGAATTGTTGTCCTCGGTCAGTCGTGACAGTTGAGGGACAACCATACAGAGCTATCCATCGTTCTACGAAGCGGTGAGCAACTATCTACGCCGTAATATACGTGATGGGAATAGCTTGGGACCATCTTGTAAAACGGTCGATGCACGTGAGTATGTGATCATACCCATGCGATGGTGGCAGTGGTCCTACAATGTCTAAGTGAACGTGATCGAAGCGAGCATCAGGCGTAGCGAAAGTGTCAAAGGGGGCGGCTACGTGCCTGTGCACTTTTGATCGTTGACATTGTAAGCATTGCTTCGCCCACATACGAACATCTTTATTCATGGACGGCCAGACGTATCGTGCAGAGATGAAGCGTAATGTAGCTGCGATACCTGGATGAGACAATATATGTAGGGCATCGTATACGAGACGGCGGTAAGCAGAGGGTACGATGGGTCGAGGAAGACCGGTAGAAGTATCGCATAAGATGGTGCCTGAAGTCGCGGCTAGTGGTACTTCGTGATATTGAAGCGACGTAGATTGTGGTGCTTTTGTACAACAGGGATCGTTTGCTTGGGTGGCGGCCTTAGCAAGAAGATCGAGCACCGACAAGGTAACTGCATTCGCTTGGATACGTGACAGAGCATCGGCAACACAGTTCGACTCGCCTTTGATGTGACGAAGGTCTGTCGTGAACTGGAAGATATAGTCCAAATGTCTGCACTCTCGTGGTGAGTAGCGGTCAGACTTGCTATGCAAAGCATACGTTAAGGGCTTACAGTCGGTGAATAAGATAAATTGACGTCCTTCTACTGCGTGCCGAAAATGTTTGGTGGAGCAGTAAGCTGCTAGCAGTTCGCGACCAAAAGCTCTATATCTCGTCTCAGTGGGAGTAAGGCGTCGTGAGAAAAACTCGAGGGGTTGCCAACTACCGGAGATGTTCTGTTGCATAACGGCTCCTATAGCAAAATCAGATGCATCAACCGCTATACTAAGCGTGGCTGATGGGTCGGGATGAGCAAGAAGTGTAACTTGCACCAGAGCTGTTTTGATCTCTGTAAATGCAGTAGGCGTAGTATCGTTCATTTCTAATTTGCGTGGGTTGCCGCGAAGTAAGTCGGTTAGTGGTCGTAACCATTCTGCCGCGTGTGGGATGAAACGACGGTAGAAGTTAACCAAACCGAGAAATGCCTTCAGTTCCTTGAGTGAGGACGGCACGTTGTACTCCATTATTGCACGTACTTTATCCTCACAAGGTAAAATACCTTCTTGTTTAATGATGTGACCCAGAAAAATTATCTCCGACTTGCCTAATTCGCACTTGTCTGGGTTGACTACTATTCCATTATCTGAGAGACGTTGGAATAATAGTGTGAGATGTTGATAATGCTCATCTACGTTTGATGATGTGATTAGCAGGTGAACAAAAACTAGGTCTCGTACAATGCCATAGATAAACCTTTGAAAAGTTTGAGCAGCATTCCGTAATCCAAAAGGCATACGTAAGAACTCAAACAAACCGAAAGGAGTCGTGATAGCAGTTTTTTCGATATCTTCATGAGCTACTGGGATCTGATGATATGCTCGTACCAGATCGATCTTAGAAAAGATAGTCGTGCCCTTGAGCGATGCCGTGATGTCGTGTATGTGGGGGATGGGATAGCTATCAAAGCGCGTAACTACGTTTAAAGCTCGGTGGTAGTCGCTGCATGGCCTCCAACTAACCCCATCTTTTTTTGCGCACCATATGAAGAGAAGAGGTCCATGGAATGTGAGAAGAACGAATAATACCAGTAGCTAGTAAATTGTCAAACTCACGTTTAGCGAAAGCTAATTTGTCCGGTGCCAGTCGGCGAAGTCGTGCCGTGACTGGAAGTCCGCAGGTGACTATGTGGTGTACCACACGATTGGTCACCGATGACAACTCCTCGAGTGGTTTAGTTAGTGTGGGGAATTTCTCGAATAGAGCGTGGAATTTATCGTCACGCGAGTAAAAAGTGCCGAGGATTCGGTACGCGTTCATGTGGGCTTTGCAGCCCATGAATTTACTGTTCGACGAAGTATCGATTAGCTGCAGCCTACGTGAATCGACAAGCAATTCATAGTGCTGCAGGAAATCGATACCTAGTATGGCTGTGGGGACATCAGCAATGATGAATGTCCACAGATACCGTCGTCGATTGCCCAGGTAGACCGCGAGTTGTCGTGTACCGTACGTAGGAATGACTTAGCCATCCGCAGCGCGTAGTCGAAGCATTGTAGCTTGTGACTTGTAGCGTGGTGTCGAGTCCCAGTTGACTACGAAAACCACTACAGAGAAACACATGGCCGTTTATTTTATGTGCACGATTATCGCACAAACACTAGGTTCCTAGTAGACACTGCAGCCCAAGTCTCTGTCGTACCACGAGGTAGCAGCAAGTAGTAGCTAATCAATTATTACTAAGATGGGGAATTGTAGAAACTCGTAAACAATTCGGGATCGGTTATTTTGATGTTCGTATATATTTAAAAGATTATCATGCAATATCTATACTTGGACTTAATTATCGGTGTAGTGGAATCATTTTACATGTGCCATTCTATTGACTATGTTATCTCATGATCATTGTCATTTGTCTAGGATTGACAAGCAACCTTGTCCTTTATATGTTGAAAAATGTTCTCATGACTTACCTACCTGCTCTCCTTGGAATGATATTACAGTCTCTTGAAAGTTGTTCTTATTCTTCTCCGTTTAGAATAATTTGGTATTTGAAAATGAATCGATATGAATGTTGTTGGATTGTAAAATACGCCAACCGATCAAGACTTTACAGTTTATTTTATTCAACACAGTGAAATAATATTGTTATAATCATAATTTTTTCACTAGTAGATATATTTTAAAAAGTGTAACGTCATTTCAGACGATCCTCAACGTTGCTAATCATAAATGTCTTCGGAACATTGCTCATATGTCATACTACGATCAAGTGGGCAATGTTAAACGTAGGTATAGGGTACTTGACAAAAATGACAAACTGGTTGATATAGTAGTGAATCTTTATCAACTGTAGCTGTCGAAACATGTATTACATATGCTTAACCATCGCCTACATCGATGCTCGATGTTAGCGATAATGAAATCATTTCATGAAGTCATTGATTGTTAGTTTGAACCATGTTTGTAGATGCAAATCATCCATTTAGGATCCGCAGGATCATTGTGACTAACTGTTGAAGATGTTAGACGATTTGACTCGTATTCATTTCCTTGATCTTCTAGTTCTTGAGTCTCATTTTGATACAAGATGATGATGTTTTTTCTTTGAGATAATCTAAAAAGACGAAAGATTATTAGATACATCGTAATGTCTGTTACCTCTAATAAAAGACAGAATACCCTATCATTTTGTTAACTTTAAAACAAACAGTTGTTTTAATGTTTCATTGATTTACAGATCAATAGTCTGAATAACCAGTTTCACTCATTAGAATCTGAAGTATTTGCAGTGATCGTTTGTTTTATAAGATAGTTGATATCATGGAATGGCTTTAGTTAGACAACCATTACTGACCATGGTTTAATGTGAATGACTGCTTTTTGTTCGTATTAAAAAACTTCTGATCACTATCATCATCCGTTAGAAATTGAAGATAGATCTTTCAATTTCAATATTAGTTGATCTTAACCAGTCAAAGTTCATCAATAGTTCACTGACTTATCGTACACATAGTCTAAACGTTACATGTTTTCATGTAGAAAGACCAGTTTTCATTTGGTCTTTTCTGTATTCGGTCTTGACAGCGTAGTATTTGTACAATTGTGATGATTATTCCATCTAGACCATAATTTAGTTAATGTTATTTTAAATTACTACATTCACTATCTAAAACATCATTGTGATATAGAACTGTTGAAAACGCTTCGTAATTCCTCGAAAATGTCTTCATAAGAAGACGCAAAAAAATTTCTAAAAATACTTCAGCCAATCAGCATTATTTAAAACTCTCCATGGTAACCTTAGAAAACGATGTACTATGTTTTCATTATCTCGATCAGACAACTACTGATTTGGTTACGAAATCTAGAGTGTTTTCTAGAAGTTTCTAGGGCCCAAAGGTCATATATGATACAGCTCAGGGATAAAGCTTTTTCTTTACTTCGTGTGTATTAAATAGAATTATTTCAATTGTTGAATGATTTTATGATTTATTCTATTCATTTCAATACATATACATCGATAAATTGGATGATTTTTACTTTGTTTAATTTTACTTTGAATTTTTTAGTTACGTGGAAGTGGTTCACTAGTTCTTTGTGCTTTATTAGACTTCTTTACTTATGGTGTTTGTTTACCATATTCTGAAACATCTGAAGGTGGATTATTCGATAATTTACTACGTTTATTAGCTAATCGTGGTCGTGCATTGTTTCGATTATATCTTGTAAGTTTTTTTAATCGGAATGGTATCATAATATTGATAATAATAATAATATCTTATACCTTTTACTCCTCGTGGAGGAGCATAGGTCGTTGATCTGGATTCTCCAACCAACTTTCTTCTCGGCTCTTCTTTCCAGTTACCATTCATTCATTTGGTATCTGCTTCCGATTCTCGGTACAATATGTTCTTTTTTTGCCTCTTTTCCTTTCACCTTCAGGTTTCCAAGTTAGGGCTTACATCGTGACATATTTTGATTGTCTCCGTAATATGGGACTCCTTAACAGTGCGCATCCACGACTCCGCACGCGAGACCAGGACTCAGGACCTTCAGTCTTGCGCGCGAACGCCTAACCGGCATCCATCATGTGCTCACTAGTGACTAGCTTCAAGATGGATTTCTTGGAGTTCTAGTGAGAAACCGTGACCAGTGGAGTTCAACCGGGTCTGTTGTGAAGCAATTACTTACTGAAGACAGTGGTGGACAGTCGCGCAATATCATGGTTGGTTCAGTGATTTAGAGGTTAAGCGTTTGCGCGCGAAACCGAATTTCCTCGATTCGATTGCCCACGTGCGGGATAGTGGATGTGCACTATTGAGGAATCCCATACTTCAAAGAAACGACCTTCCAATACTTCCATGTTTTCAATGGTGGTCAAACATTGACCCATTCATGATATCAATCTAAACTCAACAATCTTCACAACCTTATACTGATGATTTCGATAATTTATGTCCTACCCACCTCTAGCGCCTTTTCCTAATTTCCCCCTCAGCTGAAACCTGGTTTGTTCTTTCTCATAGTAGGCTGTTGCTGATGGTAGACAATTGTTTATAAATACTCGTAGTTTTTGGTGATGGTTGTGGTAGTTCTTCAAGTTTCAGCCCCGTACAGTAGAACGTATTTTGTTGACTTTCGTATTGAGGATTTTGACTTTGATGTTGGCTGGCAGTGTGCGTCAACAGCTCTCACTTACTGTGCATTCTTAAAATAACATACAATTTATCATCATAGTTACTAACCCATATTTCCCTGTATATGTATGTTTCGTGTAATATTTAATCTTTATTGTAGCATCCAAGCTTAGCTATTGTTCGTGGTGGAGGTATGATAATGCGTGCATTGATTGAAGAAGGTGGAACAGATGTTGCTAAAGAATTACGTAGTTTAGCTTTAACTGAAGGTGCACTGTTACATCATTTTTGGACTGCTTGTTTTACTCAAGGAAATGATCCACGAAGTTTAGCTGTGCAGTAAGTTTTTATTTGATCTATGCTTTTTAATTAGATTTCCAATCTTTCTATTGAATAATTACACTCCTTATCAAGTAGATAAGATAATAAGAACATATTAACATTCAATTAATCTTAACTTATCACTGATGAGTAACTAATGTTCATGTGTGTCTGATTCTTGGTTCTGATCGATTAATGTACTTTTTAGCTACTAGTTTCAGTGACTAAACATCATATACACTTTATTTTAATGTTAGTTGGTTGAGGGTGTTCGTCAGCAAACTGTAGTTGGCACTCGTCATCAAGGCGCACCTATAACGTTGAGGGAATATATACTCTTTTTGAGATTGGAACACCTCAATCAGATATTACTATTGATTCATTTTGATCGTAATTAATCTATGATACGAGTAAGATGTTAATATTAATTACAGATAGGCCTTACTAATACGAAACCTAGATCCAGCGTTTGCTCCTGACTTCTTAGCCGCCTAATGCATTTTCGTCACATTTGTTTTACGCTTACGAATGATAGTCAGTAAGAACATGTTAATTCGTGACTGATAACTGTTTGAAATCATAATACTACAATATTAGTATAGTCGTAATCTTACATCGAACCAATCAGTATAATCTCTATCCCTGTTTCTAAGTTTCTAAGTGTTGAATACCTGAGGAAAAATGTCTATTGCCAGTGTTTCCAATAACCTATGTCATCTCTTACCATTCACTCACACATATTCTTTTCTGATTCCATATAACTTATCCTTTACTTTTAATGTCACAATTTGTTAACATTGTGTGATAATTCGCATAAAACCTCTATCTAAATCTCCCTAATGAATAATTCAAGGCATTTAACATCAAATTATAGTTTACGAAACGTTGAGTCACTTAGACTCAGTAGCCATCCATCTTTCAACGTAACCGGTGTGAGGACTAGGCAAACATGTCATTGTCTAATACATAGCGATCAATCAATGTAAATAACTTCGGTCGTTCAAAAAGGTCAATAGCTGAGTGGTAACTTCTTCAACAATCAGATCATCGTGTTGAACTGGTTTACATCTAACGGAGAGTATCAATTTGCGCATATTTGAAGATTGACTTAATAGTTTTTATAAAACTTAGGTTTCACTTTTCGAATGCCACTCCATTTGATAATAGAAAGCCTGCTAATATCAGCAACTTTCATAAAACGATGTCACCCTTAAACCCAAGTACCATAAAATTATACTTAGCTTAAATAATACTTCGACGTCTAACTAAAGCTCGTGAAAAGCGATCTTCGAGAAGTCCAGGCTGGTTTTAGACGTAGAAATGAATGTACAGAACAAATATTCACTCTTCGTCATGTTATGAAAAATACAAATTACTTTTCAACGTTCAACATTAGTTGTATTCCTTGATAGCACTGAACTTCGTTGGTCCTAAAGTTCTGTGTCAATGTCTTTTATTGAAAGGTCTACCAAAAATTATATTAAACTTGTTCCGGTTCTCTACTTCAACACTACTGTTCCAGTCAAAACTCATCCGAGTTCATCTCTTCAAGTGGTGTTCGTCAGAACTGTCCACTTTACACATTATTATTTAACATTGACATAAAATATATCTCTAGAGTTAACACTACTACGTCTAATGAAATATCAACCCAGATTCAAAAGGATAGCAAACCACCACCTACTTCGATGTTCGATTTTGTCTAGTGGTAAGAGTATGGTGGAAGAAAACTGGAGGAGGAGGCCAAAACAAAATACGACAGCAGTCCATAAAGTCCCTGACAAACGAACTGAGTCATGTTATCAAGTATAGACTATCTTGTTGTAGTTCACATGATTATCGTAACCAATGTTTAGAGAGGTTGAATGGTGTGCGTTGAAATCGTTTGTAACAGTGTGAGTGTATCAGTTCTCTGTCGTCCCCAATTTTTGAACCTCTGAATTCCTCATCATTCCTTTCATTTGACTAATTAATATTTTCGTGAATCGTATGTTAGTATTACCACTCATGTTGTTACTATCTAAAATATTGTGTTGTTTTGTCTGACATTTTTATCTCGTTGTGTTAATGGTGTATTTCAACTTGAAATGATGTATACACGCTCCAGGTTATACGTTGCGACTGATTACTGATTGATTGACACTAATAAATTTTGGTAATTGTCACTAATCTTTGTAACTATGATTAACAATTTGTCAATAGATTAGTTCATTAATTTTTTACAACTCTCCTTAAATAATAATGTAATGATTTATTAAATGTGATAGAGATTAGATTAGAGTATTAGATTACCTATTATCACTGTAATGATAACAATCATACATAAATATGTTCTCATTAAATATATACTATGAATGTGTATGTTTTTGAATGCCAATATCAAATTGTCAACACATGTTACATAAGTCAGTCGAAGTTAGACCACTGGTTAAGCGCCTGTCGCGAGACTGATAGGTTCTGGGTTCGAATCTCGCAGGGTGCGGGATCGTGGACGCGCACCGCTGAGGAGTCCCATACTAAGACGAAACGGTCGTCCAGTGCTTTCAGGCCTTCCATAGTGGTCTAGCTTCAAGTGACTCATGATTTCAATCAGTGAAATTTGTAAAATCTCCACAAAACCCCTTCTGATCATTATGTTTTTTTCTTCATGATTATTGTGATTATCATTGAATAATACGGAATTTACTAAATTATAACTATCTTGTCTAATAATTCAATAATTTGTTTTAACAACTAGTATTCATTAGTGTGTATTTTTGAAGACCTGAAGATTCTAAGTCTGTTTCTTTTTTATTGTGAGATTGTGAGTACCTTATGTTGAAGACTTCCTAGCTAAGACGAACCAGGTGTTCAATTCTCAATGGGTTATGATGGTAATCTGTAGAGAATGTTACCGACAATATTTAAGTTATATGTGATACAGCTTATTAAATTCGTGTTATTTTAACCTTTAATCACACGATTTTTCGTAAAGTTTACTATATAAATAACATGATACTTTTTGGTTTTAACCAATGTCTTCATTAGTCAAAGTTGAGTTGCTAATTTAACAAACCATCGCTTCAAATTATACACCAGATTGTTGAAAATATTATAGAAGATTCATTACACAGGTTGTATGTAATTGGTATATTGGTCAGTCAGTCAGTTACAACGTAGGACCAAGCACATATATGCGTCAATTCAAGTTATCACACCTCATTCATTCATTCAGTCAGTCAGTAACAATGTAGAACTTCGTACGTACCTACATCAGTTCGAGTTGCCATACCACATTAGCACAGACATGCTGTTGTCTATTCAAACACCGTAGTGGTAGAGGTAGTAAGAGTGTAAGCAGTAATCGGAAAGACTAGGGTTTGAAGATGTTTTTCAAGGAGTACAATCCAGTGAAATATATTTGGAATGAGAAAAAAGAAAGGGACATGAAGAATTCAGAAGATTAGAATTTGGGAGAACACAAAGAGTTGATGCACCTGAGTCATTGCAAACGATTTTGAGCCATGTCATTCAGGGTCTCTAACCATCGGTTACTATCATCTCGCGGTCCCCAACCAGGTAGTCTTCACTTACCAACATGGCTCAACACACACCTCATTAGCATAACAAGATGAACACCAAATTCATAGAAGTAATTACTTCAATGGTAGTAATATATCGTGTGCTGTTACGGGTATGAGGGCTGGTGTCACTTCCCGGCTGCCCACACCGTGGAAGGATATTTCTTGAATAACCTGAAATAGAAGTCGGATTAGTGTTGGTCTTAACGACCTGGGAGCGTGACCGCAGAGCCCAAGGGACAACTGCTTGAGGCCGGTCGCGCACGGCCTTTTCGTGGAAGGTTTTTAGTGTGTTAGCTCCGTTCTTCAAAGGGCCTTACCGCCGGACATGGAAATCCGTGAGGTAAGGTGAGGTGTGACATTTTTCGGGTCGACCTTTCCTAACCCCACCCCTCCTTGTGGGAAGGCAGCATCGCTGTCATGCTGGTCGTCTGAGGGAAACACCTTACTGCTGTCACACCTCTCTACAGTCAGCAGTACGACTTCGCTCTCAGACCTTGAGTTGCTGCTTTTAGTCTTACCGTTCACCAATCGACCTGCCTGGCATGGTAGAACCTACAGGAACATATGTTCCAGCCAATATAGCTCGGTTGGGTCATCACGATCGGCAAGCCCGACCACCGCGTCAAGGTAGCACCTTCGGTCGGGAAGTAGTAATATATAAAAGTAGTATATATATATATAAGTAATATATAAAATATATATATATATATAATACAGGAAGAAAGAATTAGTTGGTAGAAATAAAGGTATAAAGCGAATTTAATCTCACGGTTTAAGGAAAGACAAAAAGTGTATACACTGACACCAATGTGATCGATTCTGATCCATGTCACTCAGAGTCTTCAACCATTGGTTACGATAGTTGTACGGACCTCAACTGGTACATTAGTACAAAGTTATCTATGGCTTATTATCGATTCCTTTTCCCTATCCATCTGATGATACTGCATAACCTTGTCTTAGTATTTGACAGTTTGTATCAGTTTGAACAAGCATGTAGACAACATGTCTTTGTTGTTGACTAATATCAAGTTCAGTGTAGGATTACTCAAACAAAATGCTACCCAACAGGATTACATTATAATACTTTTCGTGCTGAAACTTCTGTGATTGTTAGAGAAATCCTAATTTGTGAGAAAGGCGTTTTCAGTTAGCAGCTAATTTACCACTGAATAGTTCAACCTTTTTGTGGATAGTATTATATGAATAGATTCGTCTAGGTTTTATGCTAATTGTAGTTTGTAGATGAAGACTATTTTTCACGCCAGGATTAAAAACACAGTTTCTTTATCCCTAAGCAATATGGTATTCTATAAACTTTTACACAAGATACACATATTAGTAAATTTTTTACATTTTGTCAGGATTTCGATAACTGTCGTTTGACTGTTGTATACATTTTGGGTGTGAATAAATGCTAGCTAATTGTTCGTCCTATTATAGTTTGCGTTTTCTCCAGCTGAGGTAGTTTTATTGTACGATATATGAAATCTCCTTTACATTCTTCGTTAAGAAAATTATCTCGTGTAGTTGTTAACCCCATAATTGAATAAGACGGTTATGTGTATTTGCATGTAACGTCTAGTCATGATTACATTTGCTTCAAGGAGGGTATCATACCATTCGATATTGAGGTCATTTACACATGATGCATGTATGTCAGAAGAATTTGGTCAATTACAGTCTTAAATATAAGTAGAATGTTCCAAACAACCAATAAGTGCGGATCCTAGTGTGAATTTTCTCTTCGGAACTCGAACCTGATATCTTTCACTTCAAACAACAACTCATTATCCACTGAGCTACCGAGTTCAGATAGCCAAACGTATTGACGTTTAAGTGAAAGATACTAAGTCACAAGCACAGTCACAGTGTAAACATCAACACTTGATAATATGTATGAATAATAGGTGATGAGTTTCAAGCAGTTCGAAATGTTCATCTTTCGATTCCATTCCTATTCACAATGACAATACATTAAAACATATGTCAAAGTAATCTGCTAAGTAGGAGAACATATCATAACAAAGATGTATCAATTACAGTCTTAAATTTCAACAACAAACAATTTAAAGACTTCTTTCCACTCCAATTTAATATTTTGAAGCTTAACTAACTAAACAATCATACCTGATATAACGTTTTCTGACATTTGACCATTTACTGTATGTCTTTAATTTATCAACATGACTGATATTACTGATTACTACTGATAAAAGTTTTGGTTTTCTTTTCAATTCTCTTTTCTTTTTATCTTGATATGTCACTTCATTGTATTCGATTGGGTTGGATGGGTGGTGAACAAGACAGCTTAGTCGTCAATTAGTTGCATTATGGTCTGAAAATAATCAAGATGCATGGGATTTATTTAAACGAATGCTTGTAAGTGATTATGTTTCATTACACGTTGTGATTATAATTATTTACATGCATTTATGTAATTTCGTTTTAAATTATATTCAAGCTAACTATGAAGAAATACTTACGCCTGTTATTCCTCGTGAGGGAGCATAGGCCGCTCACCAGCATTCTCCATCCAACCCTGTCCTGGGAAATCCTTTCTAGCTCCTTCCAGTTGTTATTCATACTTTTCATATCTGCTTCTATTTCCCGATGTAATTTGTTCTTTGACCTTCCTCTTTTCCACTTCCCTTCAGGATTCGAAGTTGGGTCTTGCCTCGTGATGCAGTTTGAAGAAAAAGTCTAGAGAAGGATTAACTTGAAGAAAATCTGACAACATTGAATAGGGTCTTTGTGTTCAATTGCTAGTTCTTATCAGTAAACTATTCATAATTGACTTTATTGTTAATAATTATCTCTTACTCTCAATATGTGATTAGAACAATACACAAACAGAAAATGTTACGTCTTTGACCTGTCTACCCAATAATATATAGGAGAGAATTTGTCTCGGTTTAGATTAAGGCCTTGATACGATAGGCTAACTGTTTTCACCTTAAGACTAGAAATGCCTGATTCCGAATCGAGACTAACTGCCTTGAGTAGAAAGACGAAAACTATTATATCACCTGATTGGTTTACAAGTGAAAGCGAGAGAGAGAGAGAGAGAAAAGACGAGTCGACTGAAACACTACTCGATTTGTTCTCGGTTCCTAATTCCCATTCAGATTAGCGCAAAAAGATCCATGGATAACATAGATGAGTAACATGACCATAATGTACAAACAGTAAGGAAAATACAATTATGTCTTAACCGGGCATAGCGGTAGGAAAATAGAATACAAAAGATTACGTTCAAATTACAATAGCTTTGGAAAAGGAAAGGCTATTTCAGTGAATCATACATCAAACGAAAGCTTATGGTCTGTTGAATAGACTAGGGACAAAAATAGATGTTACCCCTACTTCATATTGAATTTGACTTAAATATTATGACTTTGTTTAATCATACTTTGGTTTTGTCTAATTTCATTTAACATCAATCGAGATCACTTATTGATAAGTCTTACTAATTGAACGCTATATTCGGTTCCTAAGCTATTCTCGTAATTCCCAAGCTAGAACTACACAGCGACCTGAACACGAGAGAAAAGGCGCAAAATATGCGAGAAGTAGTTTACTCCAAAGGTTCGTTCTAGTATAGAAAATATAGTGTTTCTATAGTATTTTAGATGTCCTTGGGTTTCCCGAAGATTTTGGAACGCTACTAAATCTAGTAACAGTCAATCAGAAACTCTACATGTGACTTTTCACTTTCTTGATGTTTTTAGCTAAACTACAAGTGAACGCTGATAGGATAAAATGCTTCTTAGTGCTTCCCTGAGCCTTTCTTGTCTTTTGCGAGAAGTTTTCTGGATCATCCCAACACTTATTTGATATTAGAATTATGTAATATGTGTTATCATTCATATGCAAACTCATCATTTCATAGATTGCTTTAATCTTTGTTTTGTTGAAAGAAAACAATCTGTAAACCTCATTATCAACGTTACCTATTTGTTGATGCTATCGCGTATGCGAGCGAATTCTATTTATTTTATTTTAAATACATAAACTTTAGTACAATGAAGCACCAAATATATATGTGCCACATTTCGTCAATCGATTTGTGTGAGGCCTGAACCGAAACAGGTGGTTTACTTAGGGGATCATCTTCCGAGTCTTTGACCTAGAGGTCTAATCCACAAGACAGTGAGGCAACGTTTGGAGATTCAGTTCCATGGTAACCGGTAGCCAACAATAGGTCCATACGCAATTTTTTCCTTCAGCATCCTGGAGGCCATGTGCACCACAGATTTGAAATCAAGGTTTTCTAACTCCCCTAGGTAGACTCTTGTTGTCCATTAACCCGGGTAATGCACTGGATATTCGCTTTTCGTTTTCTCAATTTCATAAACAATTACCTCTGCCACGAGAAGGCAGCGAGTAGGACTTCCCTGAAAATGACTGTATCTGCGTGGTCATGTGAGAGCATTTGGAGAAGGAGAGTTGACTCTCCCCACCTTCGACTGTACAAGGGAATTTGGGGGCGAATTCTCGTGATTACTTCCCAACTAACGATCATCAATCACTGTATTTTAATATCTATTAAGATCAGTATCCTATCGACATAATATGCATTCCGTTTTATAATAACAAATGCATTTTTGAAAGGTTGTTAGCAAATTTGAGATAATCATTTTGCCTTATGTGTTTACATGGATTAATCACTGAGTTGTGACCAATGCCCTTTTTTCCTGCATCTTAATGTTGATTGGTCGATTGAAATTGTGGTCACCAATGTTAGGGAATTCACATTGAGTGGACAGTTTCTTGTTTTTATACGGTTGGAAATGACTGACACGAAACATTGGACTCATGTTTCGGGGCATTTTGCACTCATCAGCAAAGAGTAACTACATTCTTATGGATACTAATGCTCTCTGATAGTTTTAAACCTGCATCAACCAGTTACAAAGTCTGAGCTGCTATCACTGAGCCACTCAATCTGCAGTTGACTGACTTCCTATAGAATAATTATTCACACTTATTGATCATTGAGACTAAGTGAATCAAATTTGAATCCACCTAGGAGAATCAGCTTTCCTATGATCGCTGATTAGTCCCAACTACCATGGAACCTAGTTTGTAAGTTGATCGCTTTTCCTCCTTTTATTCATCGCTTGCATCAAAATGATAGTCTATATGTAACCCAATGTCGTATTAAACGTCAAAGTGTGATCAAACTACAGTACTACACTTGGTCTATTGGTTTACAAACAACTTACGTACACTTCTCAAGCAGTTTGATATAATTTCTTTCTTTTTAATTTCAGCCATTAGGTTTACTGTCATTCCTAGAGTCAACCGAGGAACCCCCTATAAAACTTATCAACATGTTACCAGATCGTGATAATTTACAATTAGCTCATGTAAGTGTATTTCATCTTTCTTGTTTTTGGTGAAGTTTCTTAGTCCAAACTGAATAATTTAATCATGTATTCTTCATTGTCCTTTTGGATAACATGTAGTCATTAATCAATCAACATCATGATCTACAGGACAAGTTGTCAGTCATACGTGTAGAAATTCGAATAACCCACTTTAGCATGATGTTTGTGCTTATGGTGGAGAATAATCAAAGCTTCAAGGGTAAACTACTGAGCTGAGAGAATGAAATTCCACCCAAACCATCCATCGAAGTTTCGAATCTTGACCATTATAGGATATTTATCATCGCATACGAAATCATTATTAGCGAATTCACAGTTTTACCAATGAGATGATATTATGCGATAACTCTGTGACGAAGTCATGATTGGCTGTCGTTACATATATTGGTATATCTACCTCGTCAAAATTTTATAACTCCTATTGTTTAAATGTCTAACTCTTTCAATCCCATTCTAGCCATGATGGTCCGCTTTCTTCTTCTTCTTCTCTTCCTCATTTTTACAGATACACCTATATTATGTTTAGAAAGTCTGTAGGACCTAACAAGACAAGACTATAAATACGCATCCATTTGAGAACATTTTCATAAAATAACTGAACTCTACCTATTGTCTACAGTGTAAGGACATTTGGTAGGGAAATGTCTTTATTTACAAACCCGAAAAAAAGTAGAGATCTATTTACTGATGGAGGGGGGAATCTTAAGCTGGCAACAAAATATCGATTTCACAATATTTAATTTTCATTATTTAGTTAAACTTGAATTATTGGTTTTCAATAAACCAGTTAAGATGCATTTTATGTTTGTTCGTTCACTTTATTACAAACAAAAGTCAAATCGATAAGTTTATCGTCATTTTTTCACCCACATGTAAGTTAATAATTTGCTGACAGTGTAACTAAATGTACACCCCCATACAGATGGATTTAACAAGACATTAGAAACTATTCTATTTATGTATTATTACTGAAAGGGTTGTGGATCATCCCGTTGCTGATAATCTTTAGTGAATTTTAATCAAACTTTATTGATATATGTGCATCCTGTGCAAATTGTCTTGATATAACCGTCTTTGACAACTTGTTATACAAAAGACGGATTTGTGGCTAACACTAGAATCCATAACGCGCACAGTTTCGTCCTGTTTCGAACTGATCGACTGGGTATACTTCCATCTCAGTGTCGACGTCCACAACGCGACTCAAACTCAGTAATTTTTTCCTCAAAAGCTGAATGTACTATATACCGAGTTACTACGTTGGAGGTTTAAAAAGAAAGGTGTTGGGTTTGAGTCTCTGTGCGGACGTCAACTCTAGGATCTATGACGAAGTGTTCATTCTTTAATTCACTGCTAACCACAATTTCTTCGTTCTACATAACAGAAGTTTTTAATACGGAAGTTCAACTACAAAAGCACATTGAAAATAAAAAAATGCCAAGCAGAGATTACATCCTATTTTGAAACTTTTGAGTACTACATATCTACACCTGCGAATGGAAATTTTACGATACATTAACGTATTGAGTTTTACTTCATGTAGAAGACCATCGTTACCCTCCATCAGGTTTTGCAAATAGAATTAATGCTGCTCATTACTCTTCCTTATTTCTAATAATGATATCAGTTTATATCATTAATTCATGGTGTAAAACCAATTACTGTTTGATTCACTTGAATCTTCTCATTGATATTTAGGACTTCAATTTATCAGTCTCTTATTGGCATATGTGTATACTGTGCGTATTGCCTCGATATTGCCTTAATTCACAAGCATTCTAAGAAAAGATAGGTATTGGTTAGCATTGGAATCCAGGACGCACGTGTCGTTCTATTTGGTACTCCTCAGGTGGATGTACCTGCGCCCAAGAGTTGATGTTCACTAAGTGCATAACGCGAACGGGACTGGGTTTGAGTTCTGGAGTTAACATCAACTCTGGCACGTGATAGGTAGATTCAGCCGACGAGTCCCAAATAGGATGAAACGCACGTCCTGTATCCCACTGTTATCCACTATCCATCTTTGCTTACAATTACTTACATACCTACCTACGCCTGTTACTCCCAATCGAGCATAGGCTGCCGACCAGCATTCTCCAACCCACTCTATCCTGGGCCTTCTTTTCTAGTTCTATCCAATTATTGTTCATTCTTCTCATATCTGTCTCCATTTCCCGGCGTAATGTGTTCTTTGGTCTTCCTCTTTTCCTTTGACCTTGAGGATTCCATGTGAGGGCTTGTCTTGTGACGCAGTTGAGTGCTTTCCTCAATGTGTGTCCTATCCACTTCCAGCACTTCTTCCTAATTTCTTCCTCCGCTGGGATGTGGTTTGTTCTCTCCCACAGTAGGTTGTTGCTAAGTGTCTGGCCAACGGATCCGAAGTATTTTGCGTAGACAACTGTTAATAAACAACTGTATTTTCTGGATGATGGCTTTCGTAGTTCTTTAGGTTTCCGCTTCATACTGTAGAACTGTCTTGACATTTGTGTTGAAAATCGAAGAAGCTTCCATAGTGTTGTTCTGTCCATGCTATCAAATGTATTTTCGTAGTCAATGAAGTTGATGTAGAGTGATGAATTCAATTCAATTGATTGTTCCACAATGATCCGTAGAGTTGCGATTTGATATGTACACGATCTATCCTTACGGAATCCTGCCTGTTAGTCACGAAGTTGGACGTCTACGCAGTCCTTCATCCTGTTTAACAATACCCTGTTGAAGACTTTTCCCGGTATTGAGAGAAGAGTGATGCCCCTGTAGTTATCACACTTGCTGAGACCGCCTTTCTTCGGTATTTTGATCAGAAGTCCTTCTTTCCAGTCTTTTGGTATTTGTTCCTCATCGCAAATCTTATTGAAGAGAATGTGGAGTATCCTTGCAGTTGCCACTACGTCTACTTTTAGTGCCTCTGCTGGAATGTTGTCTGGTCCCGCTGCTTTGCCACTCTTGATTTGTCTGATGGCCATGCTGATTTCTTCAATAGTTGGTGGGCCAACATCGATTGGGAGGTCCATGGGTGCTGCTTCGATATTGGGTGGGTTCAGTGGGACTGGTCGATTCAACAGTTCTTTGAAGTGTTCTACCCACCTGTTTCGTTACTCTTCAATGTCGGTGATTACCTCGTCTTCCTTGCTTTTCACTGGTCGTTCTGGTTTGCGGCGATTTCCAGAGAGTTTCTTTGTCGTGTCATACAATTGTCTCATGTTTCCTTCTCTTGCAGCTTTTTCCGCCGTCGTTGCTAACTCTTCCACATATTTACGTTTGTCGGTCCTGATACTCCTCTTCAGTTGCTTGTTTACTTCTGTGTATTCAGCTTGTGCCTTGGCTTTTTCTGCTCTTGTTCGGCTGGTATTGATTGCTGCTTTCTTGTTCCTCCTTTCTTGAATCTTATCCAGTGTATCAACAGTGATCCATTCCTTGTGATGGTGCTTCTTGTGACCCAGGACCTCATGACATGTTGAAGTGATTGCCTCTTTGATCCCCTTCCAATTGCTCTCCAAAGTAGTTCCTTCTCCATTGAGTAGATCATGAAAGGCCTGGAACTTGTTGCTGAGGACTATCTTGAATTTGTTGAGTTTGTCAGTATCCGGAAGAAAGGCCGTATTGAACATTTGTGATATTGTCCACCGCGTTGGCCAGTGCTTCTTGAGTTTCAATTTCATCTTGACGACCAGCAAGTGATGATCTGATGCTATATCAGCTGCTCACTTGGTTCTCACGTCCTCCATCGTCCTCCTGAACATTTTGTTGATGCAAATATGGTCGATTTGGTTTTGTGTAGAGTGATCCGGTGAAGTCCATGTGGTTTTGTGAATGCCTTTATGTGGGAATATGGTGCCACCTATGACCAGTTTATTGAAAGCATATAGGTTTGCAAATCTCTCACCATTTTCGTTCCTTTCTCCCAGTCCGTGTCGTCTCATGATGTCTTCATATCCAGTGTTATCCATTCCAACCTTGGCATTGAAATCTCCCATCAGAATAGTCAGATCCTTTGTTGGGCACTTCTCGACGATTGACTGCAGCCTATTGTAGAATTGATCTTTAGCATCTTAAGAGTTTAAGTTTCACTCAAACTAATAACCAGATAGTTTTAGGTGACAACAATTCCTGTAATTAATATACTAGAAATGTTTATTTGAAGTCATACAAATTAATTGTTTACCTGAAAAGATTATTTTCATCATAAGCTACTAGTACATAGTTCTGTCAAACAGGTTTAATATATTAGTTCGTTTTATATCACTATCCAAGGAAATATTGAATTTGCCTGTCATATTTGTTCAATTTTTTTCCATTCTCTTTCTTTCCATTTCTCCGTATTATACAGGAACATATGATGCGTATAGAAGAACGTAAACAAACTATTTCATATCAATTAGAATCAAAAATTGATGATTTGTTAACACATTGGCGTCTACGTGTTGGTCTTCCTATTCCTAAAGTAGTAAGTTATTAAATTTACATGAATTATGTCTCCAGCGATGTCTAAATGCTAGATGATATTGTTTATAGTCACACCATGTATGGTTACGGTAAGACTATAATTTATGGACGACACTAAAGTGACCTTGAAAATATCCACCTACTTACTGGGGCTAAATGACGGTTATAAACCAATAGTTTACAGTTGATGGTGTTTGTATTAGGAATTAGATTTAGGGTTTTCATCACGAACTGACATTAGCTAACATGTCAAAACGCTATTTAGTCAAATTAGTGGATGAATTTCACGCTAATATCCAAGACCTGTTATTCTAAATCTGATTATTTCCCCCCATAGATTATAGTCTTTCCATCTTGGATGTTTAATCTCTTTTTCTGTGTTACTATTTAAAGCTGTGAATACTGAGTTTGAGTCTCAGTATTGACATCAAAACAAAGGTAAAGACATGTACAATTAATGATCTCCGCATTGGACAAAACATGCATCCGAGATTCTACCGTTAGCCACTACTTAAATATTTTAAAATATGTGTATCACAAGTTCCATTATTGATAACCAATTAATTATTAACAATCACATCTCTTAGGTCCTTATTAAGTCAATAAGAATCTGGATGATTAACAATGGTATTTGTTGTCAACGTACTTTATCCAATGTTATCTGTTGATCATTACCATTTTCTTCGATACCTGATCATATTGATTATTTTGTTTTTGTGAAGATTTACTGATTATGTAACCAATTACGACAATATGTATCTATAATTTGTAACAACAATCTGCTGCAAGTTTATTCACTTCATATAATACACTTTAAAAAAACACTTATCGTTTTAATTAATTTAGTTTTGTTTACTTCAATTGAACATGATCGATTTATTTTCTGATAGATTGGAAAACAAAATCATATAAAAGAAGCTGAAGAACGTCCTGTTGTACTTCGTCGACCTCGTCATCTACTTCAATCATTACGCGGTGATTCGGTTAATTGTAAACCGACAACTAATTGGCGTTTATTTTTCTATCAATTTCAGCAGGATCATGCTAAAGCTGATTTAATTTGGACTATACGAGTAAGTTTTTATCACTATGGTGGAGAACGAGTTTCCGATATACCTTCTATCCTTATATTCTGTTCATATTTTGTTTGAGTGAGCTAAATTATATAAACTAAGCTGTGTTTTGGCCAATATTACCGGAAGACATCATAGTGCGATTTATCAATAGGGAGGGGGTTATGGAAACTGTTAAATTTTATTGAAATCATGGACCGATCTAACTTGAACAACCATTGAAAACCTGAAATCTCTGTAGAGTTGTTTTATCTTAGCATGAGACTCCTCAGTATTGTACAACCATGATTCCCCAACCGGAAATCGGATCCGTGATATTCCGTCTTGTGCCTGAACGCTTGACCTTTAGACCATTGATCTAAGTATCCAATGGTGTTTAAGTCTAACAGGGAATATTGCGAATCGATTAAAGTTAGACTTGGACAACACTGGATCCCGTCTTATTAGTCTAGCGGCACTATACCGAAAGTCATGGGTTGTAGGATCGTGGGTACACAGTGCTGAAGAATCCTATATTAATATGAACCAGCCGTCCCATTACTTGGAGGTTTTTAATCGTTATCTAAGTTATATGGTTTCTTGATTTCAGTAGTGCTACTTATTTGATGACAGATGGACAGAGGCATTTTTGAAGAACCAACTGTTGTTAATTTTGCTCTGACTGACAGTTATTGGCAGAGCTAATTAATACTTTTTAGGTAACTGATACTGTGCGTAAATTGTTTCAACCAGTGACGTAATATGAGAAAGCCCCCAAATGCCCTGGTACGGCTGAGAGTGGGGAGAGTCCGCTCTCCCTCTCGAAATACTCTCACATGGCCACGCGTATATAGCCCCTGCCAGGGAAATCCTACTCAGTGCCTTCTCGTGGCGGGGTGTTGTTTACGAAAATGAGAGGAAGAAAAGCGAATGTCCGCCAGGGGCTTTAACCGGATCCCAAACCAATGGTGCACATGGGCTCCAGTATCCCGAGGGAACAGATGGCGTATGAACCAATTGTTGGTCACCGGCTTCCATGGGACTGCATCTCCTTACGATGCTCCACTGCCTTGTGGATCAGACCTTCACGTTTTGTCATTGATTATGCCATAGTCATTGGTCTGATAAGAGTTTAGCGTTCTCATACTTAATGGAATATGTTATCCAGTCAAAAGTATATAAATTATAACGTCAGTTATATATTACACATTTATTATTTTTTAAGCTTGACCAATGTATCAATTAATTCAAAGTATCATATATCAAACAATTTTATGGAATTTTCATTCCTCAATTCTTAAAAAAACATAAATTACCCTACGTATCAGGGCTCAGTAGCTGAGTGGATAACGCGATGGCGTTTGAAACGAACGGTACTGAGTTTGAGTCCCAGAGTGAACATGAACTCTAAGGTGCAGGTACATCCAGCTGACGAGTCCCAAACAGGACGAAGCGCGCGTCCTGTATTCCATTGCTAACCACTATCCATCTTTGCTTATTATGCTTGTAAATTAAGGCAATATCGTGCCATACGCACAGTATGCACATATGCCAATAACAGACTGATCAATTTCAGTCCTAAAACATCAATGGGAAGATTCAAGTAAAACAATATCAAATGAATTACCTTACGTGTAAAAAACCGTCATGAATAGTTTAGTGATTGAGTTTTTAGACAACAAGTGAGAAAATATTATCTTTAAATGTAGCCACTTCCAGAGTAGGACTATAGCACCCGACGATAACATTAGTTGTGCTTCATATTATCATCGCAAATGTTCTGTCGATAGGAATTAGAATTACCATACTTGCCGTGGGAGTTAAAGTTTCTGAGTTGAATATCTTCTGAAGATTGTCTTTAAGCTTCCTATGAATATCTCTTCATAATCAAACAATAAACAATCCACTTACACACCATCGATAATAATAAAAACAGTTATCATATTGTATCGCTTTCAATGAATGAATATGGAGGATTCACCTAAGGGAGTTGGAAAACCCTGATTCCAAATCTATGGTGCACATGAGTTTCAAAATCCTAAAGGAACAAATGGCGTATGAAGCTGTTGTTGGTCACCGGCTACCATGGGACCGAATCTCTAGACTTTCAGCTCAAAGGCTCAGGATGTTACCTAAGTAAACCACATGCTTCGGTTTGGCCACGTGTACAGTATTCTGGGCCTCAAACAAATCAACTGACGAAGTGTAGTACATATATATTTGGTGTCTATTTGTATCAAAGTTTGTGTTTAAAATCGTTTTCAATTATAGTAACTGAGTGTTCACAACATTTAATGTCTATTCACATGGTTTTAGATTACAATGTATACTTCATCTATCTGTACTCTTTTATTCATCAGTTTTATTGAATGAGTTTATAGTAATTATTCTTATTGTAATTTAATTTCTATAAAATTATTTATTTGTTTAATTTACAAATAATAAATAAAAATAGACAAGAAATGAATTACGTGAATCAATGGAGAAAGAATTACAAGAATTTCAACAAGAACGTAATTATTTTGCACAAAGTCGTTTAGAAGAATCAGATCTACCAGATTTTGATCGATCAGAACCAATTGGTACTGGTCAACCTGAGCGTATATTTCCAATTGGTTTAACTAGTAAAGCTCAAAGTACACCAAATATTTGTAATAATAATAATAATAATAATAATAATAATAATAATAATAATAATAATAATAATAATAATAATAATGGGACAATGAATGAACATTCACAATTATCCACAATGGATCATCTTCAATCAACTATAGAAACTAATCAATTTGATAAACATGATGATAAAGAGATTAAATTGAATTCATCAAAAATACAAAATTCTAATGATCATAATGATACACAAACTTTATCAAGATCATCAAATCTTAATAGAAGAACACGAACATCAGTTAGTCCAACTAGAATACAAGCGGATCATTTAATTAATCAGGTATATCTATGTGTAGATTTAGATTTTATATAAATTTGTTATAAATTACTTCATGGTAATAATCATATAAAGAATTTTTTATAGTCTGAAATATTGGCACAGTGATTAGAAAATTTTTATATTTTGTGGCCTGTATGCTCTGTTAATGTATATGTATACCGCCAATTATCGATCGGATCAATGATGCGTAAAACCCTTTTGAACAGTTTAAAGTCTTTATAGGTCATTCTCCTTGCCTAACTCTACCTGTTAAGTCCAGAACACCAATCTCAACCTCTGCAATATAAATCACTTATTTCAAACATACTGGGTTTATATACGAAACAAACAGACCACATCATACCATAAAATAGGAAACAACATTTGTACAAGATTTGGCCAAATGTGACTGTGAATGTGGTAGATAGTAATTATTAGACAGAGCATAATTCAAGAATGGTAAATCGTATAATAACACTTCATAGGTTAAAATAAGGCGCATAATAAGAGAAACATGAATATGTATAGTTTAGTTATTCAACAATTATATGAATAAAATTTACGCATAGTATTGGTCCATAAATGGATTCCAAAAATTACCATTCATTATTCTTATCGGGATATAACAGAAATAATATTGACAAGCATCAGAGGACTAGAGTCTAGTAATCTTTATCATATATTCAAGGCTCTAATACAGATTATGATTATATCAACATTGTCTATTGTGAAGTCTATATCATTAGACTTGATCATAGATCAGTTTAACAGTTGAATACTTTATAAATTGACACTGTGCTTTGATTTAGTTTACCTTGATGATAACCAACTCACAGTGGTGAAGCATGGATATGTAGATCACTTTCATAAATAAAGATCCATTTCATTTTTGTTTTATACTATGTATCATCGTTTTTCCACTATTATTTCATTAACTGATATCTTTTTAACCCCTGTCAACTTATTGATTTTTTGCGTCACTATCTAATGTTATTCATCGCCTTTACCGTTTACATTATACGCTATCAATGCTCATAATCATTGTGGCAACTTTATCAATACACATTTAAATTACCTTAGTTCACTATGTGTTTCGAGTTCACTGAATTGATTTACCGTACATAATATTTATTTGATATACACTACCGGAACCCAATAGTCTCTACCGACTTGTTAATATGAGTTATCGATATTATAATGCGAAACTATAAATTGTTACCATGCTCTGCTCTTCATTAAAGGGGTTGATAGTATTTTACATAGTTGTGCTTTCGTACTTACTATTTCTTTTTTAATTCTATAGTTTCACGTAAATTGATTTCCTCTATTTGTTTGTTTACTTTCAATGATTTTATGATAGGCAAGTCTTGTTTCATGGAATTATAGAGAATTTAAAGTGAATTATCCAAGTTTAATCGAAGAACCACGTGTTGGCAACTATTTTTTACGTTTATTACTTGAAGAAGATCGACATGTGAATGAAGTAATTGATGCAACTACATTGACTAATGCAAATTCAACTAATGTGTTATCTATGGGTCTATCACGTATTCGTGATAGGTAAGTAAATAAATGTTTATGATTACGTTTATAGAGATTAGTGGAGACGCTTTTGTTACATCATGAACTAACTTGAGTTCAAACACTATTGAAATCCTAGAATGAATGAATAGCATTTTCATCCTATTGCAGATCTCCCCAACAGTGTCCATTCATGATTCCGTCAGTCATTCGATCTAAAAGATTCAGACTTCGTGTTTAGTGAGTTTCCAAATCATAGTCTTGTACTCACAACAGATCAAGGTTTTAATGTAAAACCACCACTATTGGAGTTCAACTGTGTCAGGAGTGACACAGATGACGTCGATAGCAATAACTGATCGTTCTGTAACATTGAGGGTTTAATCACAGAAATTTGGAATCGTGGAGCCTAAAGGGGTTAGATCTCTAGTCGATATGTGTATGCATCCTTCCTAAAGAGTTTGATATTAGTTTCGAAATAGTTGTTCAATTACTCCTTGTTTTCAGTTATTGTCGAAATGAAGTCAGTTCTCGATATAAATTGTTTTCAAATAAATATAATTCATAAAATTGAAATTAAACAAGGAATATTCAACATCAGTTTCACCTTAGCTTGAGAAGTTCCAACTACACTACTATACGACATCATGAGACTTGATCCGATGATTTTCATATCTCGACACGTCTTGATATGAATCACACTAACGCTCAATGACTTATCAAATTAATTCCATATCTTGATATAACCATACATCTAACGTTCTTCCAAATAATTCTATCCAACCTATCATTAAACGTTTGTGTATGCAGTAATTGTGACATTTATTAGATCGTTCTTAATGGGATTAGTGAATTTTTTTGCATTTTCGACGAATTCCCTAACCCCATTGATCCTCATTTATTTATTTATTTATTTGAACACATAAATACTGGTACAAGAGGGCACCAGATACATATGCTCCACATAAATCTCATTTGATTTGTGTTAGGGCTGTGATACTGCCCTGTTGCCCAAACCGTAGCAGTCGGTTTTCTTAGGGGGCCACACCCGGAAACTTCGACCTAAAGGTCTGATCCACAAGGCAGTGGGGCAACATCAGGAGATGCAGTCCCATGGTAGCCGGTGGTCTACGATTAGTTTATACACCATTTGTTCCTTCAGGATACTGGGGATCATGTGCATCATTGGTTTGGAATGAGGGTTTTCCGACTCCCTTCGTTAAAATCTCCGTGTCCCCTAACACGGTTAAAGCCCCTACCGGACATTCGCTTTCCGTCCTCTCAATTCAGTAAACAACACCCCCGCCACGAGAAGGCAATGAGTAAGGCTTCCCTGGCAGAGTGATCTTATGAATGCTAGGTCAATCGAGACAAGACGATGGACATTCGAATATAATGCTAACACGTCTAGAGATTATCAAAATACGATATGACATTAACCAATGGAATCATTGAATATTTAACAAAACTATGTTGATTATTGCAGTTTTTATGTTTATTTCACTGTGATGTAATGAAATATGGTAGATTTGCACGTGTGTTCTATATATCTTTTAATAAAACTGATCGATCTGATTTAGTCTTGTTTAATTAGTTACCATTTTAAGCTTATGATTTGTTACTATGTCCTTGTTCGTGTACATTATTTTCACCTTATAGTACTGCATTTTTCAATGAATTATTTCGACGTTACCTTCAATATGTTGCATCGGATCCATATTATTCCATTAATGATAATTCTATCAAACGTTGTACAACTGATTGTAACAATATAACACCCAATACATTACGTCGTCTTACAATGCGTTGTTTATGCTTACATGCTATGTCAGTTGTATATCACCGATGTCATCATGAGATTGGTCCAATTACAGATATTCCATTACTTACTTATTTATTAGATCGTACAACATTTGCATCTGAAAGAGATTGCCTTCTTTTACTCTTGGATAAATTAATGTTGAATAAGGTATGTTATTCTTGTAAATATGCTTCTCTTCTAAAGATTACTTACTTACTTACTTACGCCTGTTACTCCTAATGGAGCATAGGGCGCGGACCAGCATTCTCCAACCCACTCTGTCCTGGGCCTTCTTTTCTAATTCCATCCAATTCTTATTCATTTTTCTCATGTCGATCTCCATTTCTCGGCGTAATGTGTTCTTTGGTCTTCCTCTTCTCCTTTGGCCTTGAAGATTCCATGTGAGGGCTTGTCTTGTGATGCAGTTGGGTGCTTTCCTCAATGTGTGTCCTATCCACTTCCAGCGCTTCTTCCTAATTTCTTCCTCCGCTGTGCTCTGTTTTGTTCTCTCCCACAGTAGGTTGTTGCTAATAGTGGGCTGCTGCTACACTGGTCGTTTTCTCCTGCATTTGTTGTTGCGATTGCGATAGGAGGGTCAGATCATCTGCGAGGTCCTTCTAAAGGTTTGGGTCTATTAATTCATAAGTAATTGTAAATAATTAACTCATTCACCAGACACTCATATATGAACTATACTCTAAGTATGAGGTCTTATGATACTATCTGGTTGTCCAAACCTATGTGAAACGGTGTTCGAACCTTGAGCTCACTGAATGAAAGTCAGATTTCTTAACTGACTACGTTTATGTAAGGGTAAGTTATACTATGACAATATATCGTGTGTTTTTTAAAATCAATCTGTTGTTCGAAATCTATGTATTATTGTTTAGAAAATACATGTAACTACGTTTCTATCCAATTAACGTTTTGTAGAATTTTTCATAGAAATTTAAGAATCAAAATTCATCATACCGTTCCTCAATATATTTGATCAAATGAAAATTTTTAATATCAGCCGTAGTATTCTTTTCCGTTTAGCTTCAGATTCATAAAGTTTTGTGTTATTCTAATGCATAACCAACCGACATGACAATGTTTCAAGTTTCCAGCATACTATATATGTAGTGAACAAGATCACCAGATAGGGCAATTTGAACGTTTCCTTCTCTATCTTCTACTGAAATACATTCTATTCCTGACCACTACTATATACTACTTATGTGGATATAAGTAGCTCACACTACAACTATCCATATTGTCTAGATTGTAATTTTTTCCAATTTCTAAGTACATGAAGTTATGTCTTGTTAGCAAAGTCCATTTTTGAGAAGGGGATATTTACTGAATATGATCTCTTGTCATTTTTTCAATGATTCTTTTTCTTAGTATAGGGCTTTTAAGAGATTGTTAAATTTTAATAGTATACATCATAAACTTCGATTGTCATTGAAAACCAAGAAGCATTGAACAGGATGATGGGAGTACCATTCTGTTTATTACATCTTTGGTAGCTAATCAAGTCAAATTCTTTTCTTGTTGCGTCGTGAAGACACTCTCATTTGTTAGTTATCAAAAGAAAGAAAAGTCAACAGTATTATTTCTATAGGATATGTTCCTTTTTGTCTAAATGCAATTCAACGTTGATATATCTAATGATGAAGCCTCTCTATCTGGAGATACAACTCAATGAAGATACCATTTTGTGATGAACTATGAGATAAACTGACTAAGGCAATGAAGAAGATGTGTAATGAAACTAACATGGAGATAATATTTCCAGGAATTTTTCTTGTCACGTGTAACAATGTATGAGTGTTTAAAATGCTGACTTGAATTTTCAAATCCTTACAGAGTTTTCTTGGTACTCAACAGTCACATATTATCCCTACTTCTTCTAGACAAAGTTTACTTCACATCCAACGATGTGAATCCGCTTCCCATAAAAACTGATGTATATATAATCAATATTTTATTTCAATTGTTGAGTTCATGAGTCAAATAATGCTAGACAACCATGGAAAACCTGAAAGCACTGGACGGCCGTTTCATCTTATTGTGGGACTCCTCAGGTAGCTAGCTTCAATTGACTCATGATCTCAACAATTGAAATTACAAAAATCTCCACAAAACCCCCTTCTGATAATATTTTATTTGATTGGTGACTTTTCTTTAGACCGACTTATTGATGTAAACCTCAAATCAATGAACCAAATGATCGCAAAACCAATAAAACTAGCCGGTGTATCAAGTATTTAACATAAGAACAAATAATAATACCTGTTGCTTAATATACTAACGACTATAGAATATGAGTTTTAAGTCTCATTCATTTGAAAATGGCATTGAAACTAGACTGTTTGTTACATCAATAACATTGAATTCAATGAAACTGCGGTCAGCGTTTTGACTTTTTTTTCCAATGAGGTGATCATGTTTTGTTAAATATCCACATTTCTTATGTATTCATACTTTCGTTTAGAAAAATAAATGAACTTCTTATTGGTCTATTCAAGTCATTGAGCGCTCACTCGATGGTTAAGACCTTCGACATTCAGCCATTAAGTTTCAAGTCCGAAATCCATTTTATCTCTTTTGGTTTTAGCAACCAAATAATATCACTAGTCTTCATAATTAAACTGTGACTTTTAGCTAAGTATACAAATGTTTACGTGGTAAGTGAAGTAAATAACTTCATCTTCAGTAATCCTAGTTTTGTTTACCTTACTGAATATATGTGTATCTTTCAATTATGTTTCCTGTGTTTTAATTTCTAGAATAATGTTATGTCATTTGTCGATGCTGATGGTGTACGTGTTCTCATCGATTTAGCATGTTTAGCACATTTACATACAAATCGAGCACCTACCCCATTTCAATCCAATGTTTTAAAAGCTAGTTCTGAACAAGAGTTTTCTGGTACTGGTGCAAATACTCAACGAGAATGGTGGTATATTAATACAACACAAACAGAACAAACAACTAATGGATCAATAACCAAATCTGGACCTCACTCTATTCAAGGTCCAGTTAGTTTTTATGAAGTAAGTACTTTGTTTATTTAAATGTAAATTTTGTAAAGTTTAATGATAAACAGTATATGTCTATATTTGTTTCATGTAATGGTTTAGGTGAATCGATTTACAGTTGATGAATCCTTATTTACATATATTTTTCTTATTAGAACGGTACTATACAATTATCATTCTTAATTTATTAAAACTAATTTTTGATTGAGATCATGAACCGATTGATGCTAGACCAACATTGAAAACCTGGAAGCACTGGACGGCCGTTTCGTCCTATTGTGGAACTCCTCAGCAGTGCGCATCCACTATCCCGCCCGTGGGATTCGAACCCATGGCCTTCAGTTTCGCGCGCGAAAGCCTAACCTACTGCACCACTGAGCTGGCATCGGAAGGTGTTAATGTCTAACCTCAACCAATCCACGAAATTGCGCGACCATCTCCCATTTTACTGAGGTAGACACCTATTTCTACCCGACATGGATTAGATCCACTGGTCACGGCTTCTCGCCAGAACTCCGAGAATTTTCTCACGAAGCTAGTCACTGAGGAGTCCCACAGTAGGACGAAACGGCCGTCCAGTGCTTCCAGGTTTTCAATGGTGGTCTAACATCAATCGGTTCATGATCTCAATCAAAAACTTAACGATCTCCACAAGCCCTAAACTGATAAAATTAATTTTGTCAAAGATTAACATCATATCAGTAACCCATCCAAATCAAACGTTATTTGATAGTTGTTTTGCGCTAATTAGGGATTAATTTGCAACAACTCTGATAAACACGCTAGGGATCAAACTTAGAACCTTCATACCTCATGATGAGTGCATTATCTTTCGATCACTTAATTGGAATACCCCAACTCATAATAATACACCAACTTTAGCCAAACCGAGATTTCATGATCGTGATAATCTGTATTCATCTAGATGTTTTTAACACTTTTCATTCTGTGCTGCGAAACGTGGCCATTAATAGTTAAAGATACTCGTAAGCTACTAGTATTTGACCATATATGCCTTAGAAATATTTCTCGCATCTACTGGGATCACCGGGTGAGTCATAGTGAGGTTAGACGCGTGCTATTAGGGAATGATGGTAAATCAGTTGATGAGGTTGTGAATCTTCATCGACTGAGATGGTTGGGTCACGTGCTACGTATGTCTGAACATCGATTACCACGACGTGCAATGCTAACCGGTGTAGGGGATGGTTGGAAAAATGTTAGGGTTGGCCAAACAAAAATGTGGCATCATTGCTTGAAGTCACTAACTTCTAGTCTTAGCCACGTTGGTGGACGTGGACTACTTGGTTGGGGTCTGCGTGACTATCGTAATCAATGTTTGAAGACTGAGTAACATGGCTGAGAATCGATCACAATTGTGTAGGTGTATACACTCTCTTGGACCGATGCATATATGTGCATGGTCCTACGTTGTAAGTGAGTGACTATGGAGTTAACGCAGTATATTCGTATCGGCCACCGTAAGTCCAATGATCTCAACAGTTGTAATTATCTGATCACTAGTGGCTAGCTTCACGACGCAATCCTTTGAGTTCCAGTGAAAATCCGTGACCAACAGAGTTCAGTCATATTGGAATTGAAATAATTTTCATCAATAGCAAAATGGATGATGGCTGCTAAATATTGCTAAATGACTTAAAATAGAAGTGTAAACTACTGGAAAGCAACTAAGTAGTATGAAAGTTAAGTGCTCACTGTGATGTCTGAGGATTATAGGTTCAATACTTGATGAAGTCCTCGATGTGTGCAAGTTTCATATTAAAGCGAAATAGTTCTTTGGTTTCCGTTGGTTTCCAGTGATTGTCTAACCAAATTCAATTAGATTATCATAACAACTCAATGTAACTCATGCTTTATTCTTTTAAATAAAAAAACTTTCCCATATAGCTACAACAATTGATTAAAGATGGACGTATTAATAATGCTACAAAAGTATATGCTCAAGGTTTAGATGCAACACCTCGTTGTCGTCCAGATGGTTATTTAGCTGAAGATGATTTTGTTGATATCAAAGAAGATAGTAATAACTTCAATAAATCATCTAATCAATCACAAGAAAATCATTTAAATAATGATACTATATCATTAGATCATTCTGAACAAATGAATGAGAAAACTATTGCTTGTGGAATGTATGGTTGGATGCCAGCTAAACGTATTGTACAAATTCGTTGGACACTTTCTGATATTTCAGATATGAAATTATCAAATTCATCTAATCTGTCTACTCGTTCTAATCCAACTGTTATTAGTAATAATAATAATACAAATAATTCAATTACTGGAAATCATGAAATAAACGTTGGTTGTTTAATTGATAAATTAAGTTATACTGGTGGAATGTTTACAAATTATACAAATTTAGCAATAAAATGTATAGATATTTTACGTCGATTATGTGATAGTTGTTCATCACGTGATCTACATGGTGGTGTTGTACGTCCATTACCGAAACCACGTCGTGCTATCTCCGATATGAATTGTCTACCGCATGTAATTCAAGTAAGAATTGTATTATATTGATTACATTTTAGATATAAGTATGAAATATATATTACTTCATGTAGAATTTTCCTCCTTATATAGTCTATTCAATCACTGAACAATATCAGTCAGTCAGTCAGTCAGTAACAACGTACAACTTCGTACGTACGTACATCAGTTCGAGTTGCCATACCACGTTAGCACAGAAATTCAGTTGTCGACTCAAATTCCGTAGTGGTGGAGGTAGTAAGAGTATAAGCAGTAGTCGAAAAGATTAGCGTTTGAAGATGATATTCAAGGAGTGTAATCGAGTGAAATAAATTTGGAAAGAAAAAAACGGACATGAAGAATTCAAAAGATTAGAATTTGGGAGAACACAAAGAGTGGATGCATCTGCGCCATTGCAAACGATTTTGAGCCATGTCATTCAGGGTCTCTAACCATCGGTTGCTATCCACTGAACGATATGGTACTTAATATCTCAGATTAATTTATTGCACTTCACTTTAAAGTAGCCAGAAAGCGGTAACCACTTAGCATGACCTGTAATGAAACAACATTATAAAACTGTAAATTGCAAATGAATATGCATCCCATTATAATTGTCTTTCTGTTCATTTTACTTAAGGTTGTTAAATTACGATATATACCATGTGATTGCAACTAGACGACTCATATCTATCAATGCTTAATGTTAAGTAACTTTCAAAACGAATATACTATCTTCGTTTTTATTACTCTTCCTATCTTCAATTTTTCCAGTTTACTTCTATTCTATTCTTTTGAGCTATTGAGTTGGAATTTAAGTTGTTCAAACATTTGATCCTGTGCTTAGAAATCGATTTTTCGCACTACTCACTAAAAGTTTCAAACTAGAACGAAGCAACTGTTTTACAGTTAGTGAAGTGGCTGGAGTTATTTGATAGAAAACCATGAGCCTGAATTTGATAGTAGTTGACGTTCGTTGGTAAGTGGTACATGAAATCGTGAGGGGAGTGATATGTTCTCTGTAGGAGTCGAACCCAAGTCACCCAGTCTGACACTCTGAGACGTTACCACTAAGCATATCGAGCCCTCAAATTACCTCTTGTAGAACTGAGATGTCTAGTGTCCAATGTCATATTTGCCTGATCCATTGTTCAGGTCGAATTTTATCGGTAAGGTTGTAATATCGTGACTAGCCTAAGTGACTCGACGTTGTATGCACTTTGCTAAGGTGTTGGGTGATCAGAGTTAGTCAACAGTGAAATCTTAGCTCATATTTCATTCTTTTTAACATCGACCAATAAGGTATACCTGATATTTTAAAGGAACTGATTCTCTCTAGTCTAGTATTTCAATGTTTTCATTATATTAACAATGTCTAACAACTAATCTACTGTTCTATTTTATTATTACTATTACTATTATTTTATTTCATTAATATATTTAGCTACTACTGACTTTCGACCCACCATTGGTTGAACGTGTTGTCTCTCTTCTACATGCTGTTATGGATCAAAATCCTTTTCTACCACGACTTTACTTAACTGGAATATTTTATTTCATATTATTATACACTGGTAGTAATGTTTTACCAATTGCAAAGTTTTTAAAAGATGTTCACTTATTACAAGCATTACGCTTAGATGAAGTAAGTTTTACTGTATTATTGTTCATTGTTGTATTGATTGGTTTTGTCTTGAAATTTCTGTGCAAGTGTTATATACATATATATATGAGATCGAAGCAGCACCAACAGATCTTCCTACCGAAGTTACCTCGTCATCAATCGAAGAAATCAACATGAACATTAGACAAATGAAGAGCGGGAAATCAGCAGGACTAGACAACATACCAGCTGAAGCACTGAATTCAGACATAGAAGTAAATGTAAATGCTATACGTTCTATTCAGGAAGATTTGGGAGGAACGACAAATGCCGATAGACTGGAAAAAAGGATACCTCATCAAAAAATCTTAGTAATTATGACAACTATCGGTATCAACAGTGTTGCTGAACCGGATGAAAGATTCCGTAAGAATCGGTCGGACACAGACCAATTCGTGACACTACGGATCACCGTTAAACAATCACTTAAATGGAACTCGTCACTATAAATCAACATACTTGACTATGAGAAAGCGTTCGACAATGTGGATAGAAGAACATTATGGAAACGTCTTCGACACACTGCAGCACATGAGAAAATGTTCAACATCGTCCGGAATTCATACGACAGACTACACTGCAAAGTCGTGGATGGAGAACAGCTGACAGATGCATTTTAAGTGAGAACTGGTTTAGGACAAGGCTGCTTACTCTCCTCCTTTATGAAAACCTCGACATCGGACGGGAAACACGGAATATAATGGACAGTTTGGGTGTAACTGGACGGTTTAGACTTCTTAGATGACCTAGCCCTTCGGTCTTATGCACACCAACAAATGCAGATGGAAACAATTAGTGTAGCAGTAGCCTCTGCAGTCGTAGGCCTCGACGTACGCAAGGCAAAAAGAAGATCCTGAAGTACAAAGCAGTGAGTAGTGACCTTACTACTACAACCAGCGTCAATAAAACACGCGTATCTACAACCAGCTATCTAAGCAAGGTACCGTTGGCCGGACACTATCGTCATGAAGTTACTTTGGCATAGAGAACGCAAGCCCTAACTTGAAATCGTCAAGGCAGAAGGAAAAGAGGAAGATCACAGAATTCATTGTACTATGAATTAGAGGCAGAAATCGAAATAGTGTATAACACTTTGTAACAAGTGGAAAAGATAGCACATAACAGAGTTCAGTGGAGAATCCTAATTAGCGGTTTATGATACACGAGGTTTAATAAGCGTAAGTAATGTATATAATAGGTATCTTTTGCTTGCTGATGACTTTATAGATACTTCTTATATGCACAGATTACATCTTCACTGTAACTAGAGCAATAGAGAAGACAAGAACTATGACTAAATACATTGTTCCAAGGTTAATCAACGTTTAGAAAATCTTCATAAATCTTATAGGAAATTCAGGAAATATACTGTATTTAGTAACAATCTAAGTAATTATCCAATCAAAATGTGACACATGATCCTTTTGTTTTAAAGATGTATCCAAGCAACTTCTATTCAATGCTAATTGGTTAAAACTTTTACTACCTTTTTCTATGCCTCTAAAGACTTAGTGTGTTTGTTGACTCTCAACAATATGTATTTATGTATGCGTATACTTATGTGTGAATTTTTAACTTCAGTCAATCATAATGTAGATAAACTGAGATGCTTTCAGAGATAAGTGATGAATTGTCAACTTCCCGGATATCCAATCACTTAACAAAAAGAAGACACTTCATTCTAACGAGCTTCAGTTTGTTATTTCTAGACTACTTCTAATACACCGGCTATAGATGACATTAGTGTTTATCACTTACAAATTGACTTACTCGTCACTAAGCAACATACATCCACCGGTAAAAAGTAAGTTCTTGGCAAGATATGATTGTTTTAGTACTCATAATTTAATTATCGGTGAAATCTGAAATGCGCGTTTCCTCCTCTTTGAGATTCGTCTACTCGATGCACCCTCTTTCTATTACTAACATATACATAAACCCAAAATTTATCACTTCAAATACAACGTATTATCCATTACGCTACTGAATTCAAGTAGTCACCAACATAGATTAGCCAAAAATCAGTATGTTAATTTCCTCTCGTTATGCATCTCAATCAATCATGCATACACTCCTTTGCTATTTTCATGATTCAAAAGTTTTGTTTACTTTAGAAGAACACTTCTTATTGAGTTTCTTATCATATGACCTAAAACGGAATAAATATAACAAAATTATTCATTTGTAATTAGTAGTATATTATGTGTAGGTACTTATTGTATCTGTATGTCTGTATCTATATTGTCGATTTATTCCTATTTCAGGAAAATGTTGAGATTTTCGGGTTTTTTAAACGAATATAATTACTATGGCTGTTTACATACAATTAGCAGGTTGGTCACAGGTTCTAACAGTCGGTTATTGTAGTATCACAACGATCACTCATACACACAAATAGTGTGGTTAAAATCTTAGTATACAAAGTTCCAGTTGATAAATGAGTTATATTAGATCATCTTAAAAACAGTTAACACCACTTATGGATTTAATTAGTAATCATTGTTTCGTATCTTTGAACCTGTTAGGTCCTGATAAGCATAATGAATGGTAACTTTCGGGATCCATTTATGGACCAATACTATGCATATATTTTGTATTGTATAGTTGTTAGGTAACTAAACTATCCATATTCGTGTTCCCCTTATCGTAAGCTTTACTTTGACCTATGAACTAGTATTATACGATTTACCATTCTTGAATTATACCCTGTCTATTAACTACTACCTCCCACATTCACAGCCACATTTGGTCAAATCTTGTACAAATGTTGTTTCCTATTTTATGGTTTGATGTGGTCTGTGTGGTTGGTATATAAACCCGGTATGTTTGAAATATAAGGATTCATATTGCAGAGGCTGAGATTGGTGTTTTGGACTTAACTGACTGAGCTAGGCAGGAAGCAGGACCGATAAGTACTCTAGACTGCTCGTACGAAATTTATGTGTCATTGGTCCAATCGATAATTCACTGCTCTCTAATTGGCGGTATCGTTACGTTATACATTAGGAGGGCACACAAGTCACAAGTTATAACAGAACCTCACTTCACGTACAACATTCTGAACAACTGCATAGATGAAAATCATGACTCGTCAAGTAATACTTAAACACAGCAAATCTTTCTTTAGTCTTGTGGATTATTCAAATACAATTTTTACTTATGATATCTTCTGCATACTCGTTACCCAATTTCTATAGGATTTTGACGAATCTTCATACAAAGAACTACAGTTTCTGGAGTGACGATAAATTCCACTCTCCTTTACAATTATGACCTTGCATCTGACAGTTAACCAAAATGAGGCGGGAATTATTATTTCCACTATCGTAGTCTCGATCCTTTCTCTGGTCTACATGAAACTGTTAAAGTTTTCTACTATGAAATGACCACTTCATCATGCTATGGATGTATCAAGTGTAGCGCAATCAGTCATGATGGAAGAAAAATTATAACACAGGAAAAGATATAATTAGATAATGGAAATTATTCCAAGATATCTTCAATTGAATGACTAAATAGACGAATACATAACCGTTACTAGTTAACTACAATATACTTGGATAATTTGACGACGTGAAGTAGTTTATCCCTAGTCAATTTTCTGTTTGTTGAACAAGATTGGCGACTGAATTTATTCAGTATGTTTGTGTTATATGACTTTCGAATGAAACCCTGTGTTTGTCCATAAATTAGTACTAGTTAACTATATAATCCAAAATTTGTATTTCATTCCATTTGGCACTTGTTAGCAGATTGTTTATACCTGTAAAAATCAATACTCGGATATATATGCGTGTGCACCCGACTGATTAGTTCCAGATTAGACAAAATATGAATCACATACTTTACTGTTAAATAATTATCAGTAATTTTCCTTTACCAAATTGCATATTAACCGTAACTTTGTGTATATCTTGAAAAAGTATTGAACAGCTGATTCATCCTACTTTAACGTTACACAACGTTGACTAACTTGAACTTCTATGAGAACTCGAATATTTCGATGATACAAGAATCGTAATGTGGAAAGAATCATAGAAATTGATATTTTGTAGTGCACACTTTTAGAAATCAGTAATATAATTTCACTACTGTGATTTTGTGCACCAAAAGTCGCTTCCGGATCCATGAGCCAATGTTCTCTGTTGGTATGAAATCAGGGTTATTTCAACTTCCTTAGATGAACCCTCTATATCCTTCAATTGCCAGACATCCACTTTCCTTTTTCTTTTCATAAAAATATACCCTGTCCGCCACATAAAAATAGGGAATTGAACTTCCCCGACATTATATACTATTGCGTGACCGTATTTGATTTCAATAAAGGGACTAGGTTGTCCTCATACTCAATCGTATCTGAGTTTTCCGATGTGCACAACAGTGTAATTAAATTGAGTACCTAATTCCATTCGTTTTTAACTTTATTATTCTTAAATCATTTTAGTTCACTGGTTCATTAGGAATTGATTTAACCTCACGATCAATTCTGGGCAATATGTTGCCTGATGCTATGATTGCTTACTTAGAAAATCATCCACCAGAAAAATTCGCAGAGATTTTTCTTGGTGATTTCGATTCACCTGAGGCGATATGGAATTCAGAGATGAGGTAGGCTTCCTTTCGTTTTTTACTATTATGTCTAGTGTTTTGTTATGTCTTGTTGTATATATATAATCAGTTGCTATTTGTAAACGAATATCTTAAACTGTTTGATCGCGCAATCACTTAGCTGATTTTTACACACACATTCTTATATATCTAACTTAAGTAACTTCAAGTCGAATGTACACTTCCCTGTGTTGATTGTTTACACTGAGACCCGAACTTAGAAGTCGGTATATTATCCATTAAGGTACTGTATCCAGTTAGCTGCTAACTTTTTCGATGGATATTATGTTTATCTGATGGTGTTTATATTATTCAGTCAGTCAGTCAGCTACAACGTAGGACTAGGCTCATATGTGCGTCGGTCTAATTTATCATACCTCATTAGCACAACAAGATAAACACCGGATTCATAGGAGTAGATAAGTCGATGGTGGTAATATATAAAAGAAAGATAGCATATAAGGACATAGTACAGGAAGAAAGAATTAGTTCGTAGAAAGAAAGATTTGAAGCGATTTTAATCCCTTAATTTGAGGGAAGACAGAGAGTGTATCCACCTACACCATTGTGATCGATTATGAGCCATGTCACCCATCGACATTGAATTCTGATCAATCTTTGTTTACATATATGGATCTTGGTGGAATTGTCTGAATTTATTTTACATTCCGACATGAAAGACATTGTCGAGGCAATCTATACAGTGTATACATAATTTGACGATTTATTAATAATAATGGGATAAAGTACTATTCTTACATATAAGTTACTTAATGTTAATTCAGTACTAGAAACGTGTAATTTGTAAATTATGTTTATTCATTCTGTTTTACATAACGAAAATCACTGTTTTTATCATTAAAGATTATCTTCTCTTTAAGTTTTCGTATGCTACCTCCTGAATTGTTTAATCTACTAAAAAAAACGTCTGAAAATATTTCAGTGCTTCAAATTGTGTTTTGTCTCTCTTGTTAATTATTGATAATATTCATTTGCACAATTGAGTTCACTAGCTGATCTGAGTTAGACTACCATGGAAAGCCTGGAACCATTGGACGGCTGTGTTCGTTGTAGCATGGGGCTCCTTGGGAGTGAACAACCACGGTCCTGCGCGTGGAGATCGAACCTAGGACACTTAACCTTTGAACTACTGAACCGGCATCTGACAGCGTTAGTATCTAACTTGAATAAATTCATGATTTTGCGCAACTAACCATCGATTACCTGTGATGGATCACTGTCTCACACTCGACATGGATCCGGCGCTACTGGTCTAGTGTAGATTGGCTCAGCAGTGAACATACTACAACCACCCATACTAATATTCATTTTGTCAATATTATAGACCATTATTCAATTACATTTGATCCTTTTCAAATATCGTTGATTATTTTCGATTATTTCTTAGTTGATTCATTGATCTATTGAGTTCAATGTTAGGCATATGATTTTATTGTACAACAGGTTTGACATGCTTGGTGTGATTGTAGGTAGTTGACAGTGTAAACATTCAACCTAAGTTTTGTAATAATTGTTACCGATCACTAAAGCGTACCTGGAATCTAATAATGAACTCTATTGCCTTGTTGGTACATTGTTTCCTGTAGACTTTAAACAATCATATAACGTCCAAATGCGACTCATATGATTTTGCGTCACTTAAACTAACAACCTGATCGACACGATTTCAAAAATAGTATTGTTAGATCTGTCGAATCGTCTAGTTCACCTGATTGGGTTACGCGCGAAACCGAAGTTTCAAAACAGCGATTTGTCTACAATAGCGTTTCTTTATTGAATAATACTCAAAATTTAGTTACAAACCTCGATTTGTGAGGTGTCTTGGGCCTTTAAACGCGTCTTTCAAGTATGAAAGTTAAAAGGCTTCCTGTAATAGTAACATAAAGAACAATTATAACATACGATACTACAAAAGACAGCTGATAGCTGTCTATATTTGATAACAGTTTATGGACAACCGAGACCCGAACTAAGAGCAAAACAATATGGAAACTGTTGCGTTTAAACAAATGCATGAAACTGTGAATAACCGTTGCAGTGATTAAGGTACAGTAATTAAAATGATAAATACAATGATAAGTACAATTAACGTAATAAATATATGTGAACATTTCAAAATATTACAGTACAACTTGCGTCACAACATTGGTTCAAAAAATTGCTGGGATTACAACTGCATACTGAATGTTAATAAGTAGTACAAAACAATATACAAAAGAGTGGAAAGGAAGCGAGTGGAACAATCTAAGACAAACTTGATAAGTCGACAAGGACCAGACAAATATGACATTGGTCATTACTAATATGTAATCAGGATAAATGTTAAAATAGCTCTTCTAGAGTTGCATATGAGTATACAGAAGCATATTCTAAGGTGTTCTGTTGAAGCCTTATTATTTATTTATTTTAACACATAGATATTGGTACAAAGAAGCACCAAATACATATGCGCCACACAAATCTCATCCGATTTGTGTGACGGCTGTGATACTGCCCGAGTGCCCAAATCGAAGCAGTTGGTTTTCTTAGGAGGTCACTCCCCGAGCCTTCGACCTGAAGGTCTGATCCACAAGGCAGTGGAGCATCGTAAGAGATGAGTTCCATGGTAGCCGGCGACCAACGATTGGTTCATACACCATTTGTTCCCGCAGGATACTGGAGCCCATGTGCACCATTGGTTTGGAATCCGGTTAAAGCGCCGGACATTCGCTTTTCGTCCTCTCAATTTCGTAAACAACACCCGTGGTGCGAGAAGGCAATGAGTAGGACTTCTCTGGCAGAGGCTATATACGCGTGGCCATGTGAGAGTATTTCGAGAGGGAGAGCGGACTCTCCCCACTCTCGGCCGTACCAGGGCATTCAGTGGCAAATGAATATTCAAACCTTTCTCTATATGTTTAAAAGCAGTTTATTCCCGGCTTGAACTTACTCCAGTTAGATTGATTATTCATCCAGTTCATTTCAAATTCATCACTGTTTATTTTATATACCTCTAATCATTCATTCATTTTTTTTGTCTTACACATTTCCGTAATATAGACGTTATATGATCGGTCGAATTACATCACATTTAGCAGATTTCTCACCACGTTTACATAGTAATATACGTGCTATTTATCGATTTATCGGTATGCCAATTATCATTTATCCACAATTGGAAAATGAATTATTTTGTCATAATTACTATTTACGTCATTTATGTGATATACAACGTTTTCCTGATTGGCCTATACGTGACCCGGTAAATGTTTACTTACTTACTTATATGTTGTTGCTTTGCTTATTTTTGTTTTAACCATGTGTATTAATTGTCTATGATATGTATATATTTGTTTAGTTAGAACAATACAGAGTCCCATACTAGGACGAAACGGCCGTCCAGTACTTCCAGGTTTTCCATGGTGGTCTAGCTTCAACTGACTCATGATTTCAATCAGTGAAATACAGATATAACCGTATATGATTGTTTACGGTTTGATTGTCGTTAGACTGTACTACAATAGACAGTAATATATGTATACAAAAAGTACGAACTAATAGTGTACTTGACCAAGTGTACTAACTGTGTTAAGAAGAATAAATCAATGGTTTATAATCAGAAATACGTTCAAAACCTTGAAAAAATTGACATCGAAAGAACATTCGTCGTAGATTATGTCCAAATGATTAAATGAGGAAATAGTGGTCACAGAAGAAATATGAATGTTACAGATATGTCATGAATATAAAGACTTGTTTGCTAGAGTACTCTTGTAGCTTCTGCCCTATGTCATAAACAAGATTGAACCCGTTAAATAAAAGTGGTGAGTAACCATAGTTCATTCGAAATTATTTGTTTCTGTCCACTGCATGACTGCTATCCGTTTAGTGTGATAGAACGAAGCTATGTAGTATTTTGGTCAAAACTTTTAGCAAACAAGAATGGAGGTGTTCATTAACGCGTTGGTTCAGTTGTTTAATTGCACGCTCAATATTTCCTTTTTCATAAAAACAGCTGATTACATGTATACACATGAGTGTGCTAAAGTGGTTAACTTATCGTTTGATTGAGGAACCACCATAGGTCAGTTAGAAAATGATAGACATATGTTAGTTTCATTACACATCCCGTTCATTGCCTTAGTCAGTCTATCTCGTAGTACATCACAAAATGTATCTTCATTGAGTTGTATCTCCAGATAGAGAGGTTTCTTACCGACTGTTATCACTACACTTCCCTGTTTGCTATATGCATGTAATTCTCTAAAAAAAAGCTTTTTGGGTTACATATTTCAATCGACATATTATGAATAAAGTCTAGTTCCTTGTTTATGCTGTCTTCTGAGCATATTTCCCAACTCTACTTACTAGTCATCTAGCTGCGTTTATCTTGTACATATTGAAACTAGCTCTTTGAGACTAACTTCGGACGTTCCAAAATTGATTTGTTTTTCAAGAAGTTGTTCACACACTACGAAGGCATCAGGTGTTTGTTATGCAATATCATGAATTGAGTGAATTTTGAAGTGTTCACCACTTAATTTCAACTTGGTACTTTAAAGGTTAAACGTTCTCTGTGAGAGCTGAATGTTCTGGGTTCGACTGTTCTTCGAGTCGCGAGTCCGCACTGCTTAGGTGTCACATACTAGAATAAAACAGTTATTCAGTGTTTTGTGTTTGCGACTTTTTAGTTGCACGGTATTTGATGCGTATTCACTATTGAGTATATGATATTCTTTTCTCTCTGTTGTTTCAGTGTACGTGCTTTCGCTTATTGTACGCACAAACTAACACCTAAACGGGAATTTCACTCGTTTAACTTGACTTTCAACAATAAAATCTACTATCTACTAGTTTATATACTAAAAATTTCAATATCTGACTATTTAATCAACGCAATGGAAGTTATTTACCAAATACACATTTATATGCTTGATTTTTCAGTTACAATTTTCTTTTGTATAAAACCTTAGCAACACAATCCGATCACTTAAATCAAATTAGGTGTAGTGGAGCTTAGAATCTTCCAATGTCTTGATTAAAATGAATCACACATATTTTGTTTTCGAATCTGACTTGCATATTCTTCAACAAACTTTTGACTAAATCGATGATGAATACTATGTGGATTGTAAAACACTAAATAATAACTTTTGGATCTCTTTCGTATTTATATGTATCCGGGGTGACATTGATAGAGAAATGGTGATGATCACCTTGACTAGTCGTGGATGCCCCCAAATGCCTTGGTACGACCGAGAGTGGGGAGAGTCCTCTCTCCCTCCTGAAATGCTCCCACATGGCCACGCGTATATAGCCTCTGCCAGGGAAGTCCTACTCATTGCCTTCTCGTGGCAGAGGTGTTGTTTACGAAATTGAGAGGATGAAACGCGAATGTCCGGCAGGGGGCTTTAACCGGGTTTGTGGACATGGAGAGTCCACCTAGGGAGGGGAGTTGGAAAACCTTGATTCCAAACCAGTGGTGCACATGGGCTCCAGTATCCTGAAGGAACGAATGACGTATGAACCAATCGTTGATCACCGACTAGCACGGGACTGCATCTCCTGACGTTGCTCCACTGCCTTGTGGATCAGACCTTCAGGTCGAAGGCTCCGGGTGTGGCCTCCTAAGAAAACCACCTCCTTCGGTTTTGCAACCGTGCAGTATCACAACCCTCACACAAATCAAGTGAGATTTGTGTGGTGCGTATGTATTTGGTGCCACCTTGTGCCAATATCTTTGTGTTAAAATAAATAAAGAAATGAGACTGGTCTTGGATAATTCATTTACTTTGCAAAAAAATGTCCACATTTGTATGCCTTACTTCATCATACGTGTTCTTGTAAGAATGTATATGTAGCTTCTCCGAACTTTTCCTATGTAAACACACTTTTCCTTATGTTTAAACTTCTTTTCATCATTTTACTTTAGGTAGCATTATTACGTGATATATTGAAAACATGGCGTGACGAATTACAAAAGAAACCAGTGAATATGTCTTATGAAGAAGCATTAAGTGAACTTGGATTAGATCCAGCTCTGTTAAATTCGTAAGTAAATCAAATCACTCTTTTTTAAATGTTTGATTGATTCACATTCACTTCCTCACTGTTAAGAATGTTAGGATTCTGTTAATAATGGATTTGAGATGAGATCTTGAATGTTTAATTTAAAGTATGGTTTTGAACTGATGCCAATTGAAGTCGAAGGTTACAAGATGATGGAATATTATTCCACTTCTTAGCTCTTGATAACTTGTTTCATCTGTGCTGTAAGCATCTATTGGTCGAACCAAAGGGGCAGGATACTTTGTAATATCTCGTTCTGTCCTACTTTGACTGTGAAGTGTGTCCTCAATAAATAGATATTTTTAGATTACTAATATTTGATCATAGATGCCTTCGAATCACTAAACAATTATTTTCTAAACGATTGAGTGAAGTTAAATATAAGTTGCTACATGAAAATGGTAAGTTGGTCAATGGGGTTTTAGATGTTTATTGACTGAAGTGGTCCGGACATGCATTACATATGTCTATCCATCGTCTGCCGTGACGCGCAACTATACATAGTGTAGTAGTGAGTTGGAAGAAAGCTAGCAACTCCCAATCCAAGACATTGGACCAATCCATTTTAAACTGAGCTGTGTGGACATGTACAACCTACTCAATCACAGTCATGTTAATAACTCCAATCAGTGGTTGTATAAGTCCGGTAACATAATTCACAATCGGTTTCTATGGCACAGTTCAGTTCGCTGGTCTGATGTGGCTTGATGGCTTGAATCGTTTAATATCATTTCCAGGTTCTTCATTCCTGATGACTAACTGACTGGATGACTTAATCCATACCCACAACATCACGTGTGATTGTACCATATCACATTTATGTCTCACAACGTGCATAATACCATGTATAGCTTATCACTTGGTAACTATTTGCTTGCTGGTGAACTTGACTTGTTCCACTTGATCTTCTAATTAAATTCATTCAACCGTAGTGCGAAAAAAGTCAGGATTATATTAGTTGCAAAACTATTAGATTGCTTAATTGTTTCAGTATTACAAGTTAACTAACTGTAGTTTAAATAACTGACTCGATTCAAAATCCATTCAATCCGGAACTCATACGACGGACTACAGTGCAAAGTCGTGCATGAAGAACAGCTGACAGATGCATTCCAAGTAAGGACCGGAGTCAGACAAGGCTGTCTACTCTCTCCCTTCCTCTTTCTTCTGGTGGTCGACTGGATTATGAAGACCTCGACATCTGGGGGAAAACATGTAATACAATAGACAGCTCAGAACCAATTAGACGATTTGGACTTCGCAGATGACCTAGCCCTCCTATCGTATACACACGAACAAATTCAGGTAAAGACAGCCAGTGTAGCAGCAGTCTCTCTCTGAGAAGCATCGTCGATGAACAAGGAGGTTCAGATGCAGACGTAAAGGCGAGGATTGGCAAATCTAGGGCCGCATTCCTACAATTGAAGAACATGTGGAACTCAAAACAACTTTCAACTAATATCAAAGTCATAATCTTAAATACGAACGTCAAGGCAGTTCTACTGTACGGAGCTGAAACGTGGAGAACTACTACAACCATCATCAAGAAGGTGCAAGTATTTATAAATAGTTGTCTACGCAAGATACTCAACATCCATTGGCCGGATACCATCAGCAATAGCCTACTGTGGGAGAGAACAAGCCAGCTTCCAGCTGAAGAGGAAATTAGGAAAAGACGATGGAAATGGATAGGACATACATTACGCACGTCATCAAACTGGATCACGAGACAAGCCCTAACTTGGAATCCTGAAGGGAAGCGTAAAAGAGGAAGGCCAAAGAACACATTACGTTGAGAAATAGAAGCAAATATGGAAAGAATGAATAACAACTGGGAGGAGCTGGCAAGGATTATCCAGGACAGGATTGGATGGCAAATGCTAGTGAGCGGCCTATGTTCCTCCACGAGGAGCAACAGGCGTAAGTAAGTAAGTAATGCACATACTGTTGAAGAGTCTCAGCATGTCAGTCATTTTTGAAATGTCCCTTCAAAAAACTTGAACACTATTTGGCTAGTTTCTCCTTATATCATTTTTTTTCCTTGAATTAATTGGTTTCAATTTTGATCAGTTCACTTTGTTCGTTTTCATACACACACACACAAATAATGTAGGTCAAATGAAGAGTCATTTATTCGCCGAGCTTATTATCAAATGTCAATGAAATATCATCCGGATAAGAATCCAAATGGTCGAGTAAGTCGTTCTGATGATCAGTAGTAAATGCTTTATTTTTAAAATGAAGATAAATTTTATTGGGGGGTGAATGGTGATTATTAATATTTAATGCCAATATCAATAATCTACCGAAAATATAAGGGTTGCTTGGTAGTTGAAACATTTAGCTTTCAACTAATAACTTATAGTTTCAATGTTTACTTTTACTAAGTTTGTTTTTGACAACCTGACAATACAGTCAGTCAGTTACAATATAGAACCTGGTACGTATGTACATCGGCTCATTTTACCACACTATGTCCAAACAATACAGCGAGATGAAATTGTCAGACCAAATCCAAGAATAGTAGAGGCTGTAACATAATAAGTAGTGATTAAAAGGATTATGCATCGAAGAAGTGGTTCGGAAAGAAAATCTAAATTAGTGAGATGAAAAATATAAAGAAGTTATGGAGAATTCAAAAGCTCAGAATTTAGGGGAAGACAAAGAATGAATGCATCTGCACCATTGTAAACGATGTTGTGTCATATCATTGAAAGTCTCTAACCATAAGTTAAGATAATCACGTGTACCATGACCAGGTAGTCTACATCTACTAAAATGGCTTAGTCCAATTATCAATGACTTCATGGATTGATGCCAAGTATTAGTTGCGCTGCTCCTAGCTTTCTTCTAACCTACTCTCCCACACCAGACAACAGCACCCATCCAAGTATGTGGTGGTTGGTGTCTTACTAGAGTATGTAAATCAGTATTCAGTTCCTGGTTTACAGTTCGTCAATTTAAGTTGAAACAAAGCTGGCTGTCCATGGAAAAACAAAAGTCCGCTTCAGTTAGATTTATAAGATGTGGGGAACATTAATTTGGTGTTGCTTGCTTGTATTTCCCATTGTGGTTTAGGATTGCAATTGATCAGCCTCTTGTTGGCATCTTGTGCGGATTGCCTCGTTATTGCCTTAAATCACAAGCTTTATAAGCAGAGATGGATAGGGGATAGTAGTGGAATCCTGGACCTAGGTTTCGTGTTACGTCGCACTCATCAGCAAAGTGTACTTGTAATCTTGAGGGAACCGATGCTCCCTAACGGATTCGATCCCGCGTCGCCCAGCTTCACAGTTGCAGACGCTGCCACTGAGCTATCCGGGTCGCGACTGACTTTCTGTAGGACAGATGTATTTAAAATTGATTGATCATCAACCATGTGTCAAACAGCACGAAACCTAGGTCCAAGGTTTCCTGTTGACTACCTTCAATCACCATCTTATTTCAACAAAGTGCACGTAATGTCGAGTCACCAAGACTGTGGTGGCCACATTTCAACTTGGTTGTTAGGATTCGATCTGCACTAGGAATGACCTGACACACATAACATTGGTCACCACCCAGTGATCAATCAATTGTAAACATATTAAAGTCTATAGTCTATGGAATTTAAATTATTTTATGTGAATATTGTCGTTGGTCATCTGCATTTATCCATTTCTTTTGTACTTTTCTTAGGAGAAATTTCAATCGTTAACCAAAGCTTATCAATTTCTATGTAATCGTAGTAAATTATCACGTGGTCCAAATCGTCTACATATTCAATTAATGCTTAGAGCTCAAAGTATCGTTTACAAACGTTATCGTTCTTGTAAGCTTCTCTTTTTTTAATCGTTGAAATTTTTATTTATTGAATCTCCTTCCCGTATGAATTTGAATGTAAACTATAGATAAGTTTATGTTGATCTATTTTAAAATTCATTGCAGTACTCGTTGAAGTAAAAATAAGTTGAAAGAAAGCTAAGGAGTGACCAAATCAATATGTAAGGTAGTCTATGTTAGTAGATGTAATTCACTTGGTTTAGGTTGATTTGATAACCATAGTCCCGGTGGTTGGGGACTTTAGGTGACAGTCTGGAAAGCCAGTTACAATATAATGAACGAGAACCATACATTGTATACTTCATTTGCAAATCTTCTATCAATCGTCTCATTACTCACCGTTCCTTCATTGTTTTTAGTCCCCATTTACATTCCCATTCTCTTCAATTCAATCTTCACAACCTTGTACTGTCAGGATTTTGACTTTTGATTGGTGTTACATACTATGTATGTCTGTCGACATGAGTAGCATAAACCATAGTGCTAATTTCAGTTTCAAGATTATTATATTCGTTTTGTTTACACTTTTTGTGTACTATGATTGATTCCCCTATGATTCAGATCCGTTCAATAGTTTCATCTTGATGTTTTAATGTATCGTATCAACCTGGGCAAATGTACATAAATTTTGTGTTAACTTGATGTGATTCACAATATGACTAACTGGAATATATCAAACTTCTTCCTTTGATTACAAATTTGCAAAATAATTTATTAACTTTTTATTTGAAACGTTGTCTTCGTGATACAAAACAAGTCATGGATTTGAACCGGATTAGTTTCATATGCTTTAGTTTAGTTAGCCGACCTTAATATATGGAAGTTTCAGCCCGACATCAAGTATAGAGACCTATAGCCTCAACTCTCGTACATAATTATCGACTTAAATCGCGTTAGTGAATAACGGAATTAAATAAGTCAAATACGAGAATGAAGTTTGACTACATATAGTTCATACACTTATTGATCCGAATAGACAATCCTTGAAACAAAGCGAAGGAAACGGCGTGCAGTGGAGAAGGCGAGTGAGTCAACTCGATTTATTCAAGCTTGCCTCAATATTTATGTTCAGACAAAAATAAATTACAGATATAATGAATATGGTAAGCAATCAACACACATACGGTCATAAAATTCTTAACTAGGGTTCAGTCAGTTAGTAAGGTACAACGTAGGACCAGGCACATATATGCATCGGTCCTAGTTGCCATACCTCATTAATACAACAAGATGAACACCGGATTCATAAAAGTAGTTAATTCAGAGGTGGTAATATATAAAAGAAAGATTGCATATAAAGATATATATAGTACAGGAAGAAACAATTAGTAGTAGAAAGAAAGATTTGAAGCGATTTTAATCTCTTAGTTTAAAGGAAAACAGAGAGTGTATATATCTACGACATTGCGATCGATTCTGAGCCATGTCAACAAGAGTCTCCAACCATTGGTTACGATTGTCACGCGGACCCCAACTAAATAGTCTGCATCTACTAACTTGACTCAAACTAGAAGTTAGTGACTTCAAGCACTGATGCTACGTTTTGGTTTGGCCGCCCCTAGCTTTCTTCCAACCATCTCCAACACCGGTTAGCATTGCACGTCGTGGTAATTGGTGTTCAGGCATACGCAACACGTGGTACAACCATCTCAGTCGATGAAGAATCACAACCTCATCAACTGATTTACCATCACTCCCTAATATCCTGCGTCTAACCTCACCATTACATACTCGGTGATCCCAGCAGATGCCAGCAATATTTCTAAGGCATATGTGGTCAAATATTAGGCTTACGAGTATCTTCAACTCTTATTGGTCACGTTCCGCAGCCGTAATTTAAAACAGAACAAACTGCCGCGCAGTATACTCGTGTTTTTATTGGTAGACGGATATCTCACCTTCGCCATAGGTGACGTAAGTTGGCAAAAGTCAAACGAGCTTTTTGAATCCGTGCTGAGATTTTGTCAGACATCAACCCATTTGGGCTGATCAGACTTCCGAGATAAGTGAAGTTGTCAACACGTTCGACTGTTTCACTCCCTTTAGTTAGGATTAAAAAGCGAACAATTGACAAGGTTCAAATGTAGCTTGAGAAAAATGAATAAATTGGTCTATCCACAAGCTCGAATAACCTATTTGGGCTTAGCATAGTACCAGCCACTACAAGTTCCAAGATTTTAATCACTAAATTATGAATATGCGCTTTGAAAATAATACATTTGATTGTCCATCATAAATCTTCTATACCAGTTAATAAGTTTGGAAACTAAAGACTTAATCCACGGACAGCCATTTACAAAATAGTTGTTTGTACTCTAGATCCATCACTTGACCTGAGTTTGTACCCTTTCCAGAAGACAAGTCCACAAATTAACCAACAGATCACTTAAAATGAAATATATTATCTTACATTTTGGTCAATTTGAAAGTAATAATCATTCAATACATTGTTATTTTAATCCATCTCCTAATGACGATATTGATGATGATGATGATAATTCTTCCGCTTTTATATTTCCATTCATTGTATATAATATAGTACTTATTTCGGAGAAATACGCTGGTTATCCAATGCTTGTAGCGACTATACTTGCTGAAATATCTGATGATAAATTATTCTCGTATGGAACACAAAAATCGGAAGATCAAACTGAAAATACTGACTCTACTACTAATAATTCACAATCTTCAACATCAAATAACAAGAATCGATCCAATGAAACTGTAGAGAATGCTGTTCTACTTGTTGCTGCAACAGAATTAACTTATGAAACTGTAGTTACTAGTGTATTGAATGCAGAAGAATTACGCCGTGAAAATGGTATACCCGTGTTACAAAAAGCATTTTCACAATGTTCTAATTTTTTATCACGTACATCAAGTCGACCTGGACATATTGTAGTTGAAGTATGCGGACATATTGTATCAGTGTTGGCGGCTGCATCTCTATTTCCTTCTTCACGTCAATGTATACAAGAGACACCACAATTGTTGAAGGATACATTAAGATTATTATATTATAAAGTGAGTTTTGTTTCTAAATTTTAGTTTCGTCAAAGACTAATCAATCAATGTCCAGGGAACGTTAGAAAACTGCCTCATCCTATGTTACAATTCTCCAGCTGTACACACTAGTGGCTTTACACTGGGCCGAACATGAATATCTACAGTTTTCGTAGCAAGCTCGTTTCATAACAAAGAAATATTCTCCAAAATCCATCTAACTGGAACGTGTTTAGCTCAAACTATGAAAATGTGACTAAAATATTTTAAATTCTAGCTGTAATCATTCTAAGAATAAGGTGTTATCAATAATCCTAGTAATAACTGCAAAAAGTAGAATTCTTCGCAAGTGTAATTTCATAGTTTGATACTTACTTGCTTACGCCTGTTACCCCCTCGTGAAGAAACATATAACGCCCACCGGTATTCTCCATCAACTTCTTTCCTGGTCAATTCTTCCCATTTGTTTCCAGTTGCTATTCCTTCTTTTCATGCCTGCTTCTGATTCCCGACGCGATGTGTTCTTTGGTCTTCCTCTTTTCTGTTTCCGTTCAAGATTTCACGTTAGAGCAGTTTGATGATTTCCAGCGTAGTTTTCTAATTTCATCTTCAGCTGGACGCTGGTTTGTTTTATCCCATAGTAGGTCATCACTTATAGTATCCAGTCAACGGATATCGAGTATCTTGTGTAAACCATTGTTTATAAATAATTGTGGTAGTAGTAGTTATCCATGTTTTATCTCCATATAACATAATTTGCTAATCACTATGTAATTTACATTTGGAGTTAATATCTTACCATTGTAAATCGTATTTCATTACTGAATTAGTATTTCAAAACCATCCTCTCTACAGTCGTTTGATTTCAACAATTCAGTACTACCGATCATTAGCTTTCATAGTTAAATGATGTTGGTTTACATTTGGGCATATGAACTCGTTCTTTGTTAATAAGTTCAACTATGGATCCAAGTACTTGGTAAAGATTGCAAATGTTATCTGAAGATACAGTTTCACTGGTACTTATTAACCATTTACAATCTTTGTCTATCAACACAATTCATTACATCATTACGTCATCAACACTGTTAAACAAAATAACATTAACATCCAATATTTCCTTTTTTTTAAAAAGTTCTCTTTCACTTAATTTTCTTGACAGAATTTACCGAAACTTTGTTGTTTAACTGCAACTTGTATAGCATCATTTTGTATTGATTATTGGCTATGTGTAACATGTTATGAATATGGCGGTTTGTTTCTTCTCCTTCAACATGTATTGAGCTACGACTTCACACTGGAAGAAGCCGGTGTTGAAATTAATGAAGAAACTAATTCACAAGTAAGTTAATTGTTTTGATTTTAATGCTTTTATGTTTATTCATTAATTAATGATCGGCAATATCGAAACTGCGGAAGTTTGTTGTACAACGAACGCTTTGTAGATCGAATATTCGAGCTCTGTTCGACATGTATATTGGCTGTTTTTACGTCCCAATGACATTATTGAAGGAGATTTTCTGTTTAAGAATATTAACAGAAAACTGTGTTAGCATTGAAGATCTTGTTGACATTGAAGTGTGATTATACAGACTATAGGGTTAACTCCTTATAAGGCTGATAGTGCACGGATATTTTGTGAAGTATTCTCGGTATGTTACCTCAATCTTTTTCAGACGATACCCTGGCACTAGATACTGTATGCTTAAATGTGAAATGTGCAATATTTAGAGTCAACCATTGTTAATACCTCTTCTATTGTGAAGACAGCTTAGTTGTTAATGCTATTTATTAGTAGGACTCACCTTACTGCCATCACTCGTCATTATAGTTGACAACACTCTTTTGTCCTCAAAATAAATAGTTAAATTATAGTGAACAATATTAATCGACCGTAGCTGTTACCTTAATCCGATAGTCCGGCTTGCCCACCGTGTTGACTCAGTAGTCGAGCTATATTACCCGGAACACTTGTTCCTTTAGATCCTATCACTCCCAATCATGTTGGTTGGTGAACGATATGTCTAAAAGAGCAGTAGCTTAAGGTTCGAAGACTAAGTCACATTGCTGACTGTGGAGAGGTGTAACAAAAGTAAAGCGTTCACCTCAGACAAATATGATCTGTGACAATGCTGCACCTCACCTTACCCCACAGATTTCCGTCCCTGAAGGTAAAGCCTTTTAAAGCACCAAGCTAAAACATCAAAAGCCTCCCACCAAAAGACTACATGTGACTGTTGTAAATACTTTCCCCTTATGCTCTGCTGTCACTCCCAGTTCACTAAAACTGCCACTAACACATTTTCTTCTACAGGACCCTGAAGATAAAAGATGATTTACAATGTCATTCAAGTAAAAGATCTTGACAGTCAGCTCATAACATATTTAATGATTACACTATATTCCTCCCTAAGTCTTCTGTGAAACAACAGAACAATTTCTACAATACAATGAGTATTTTTATAGTAAAGGTGCAAAAAGTCACTACATTATTAATAATTTGTAATTTTCCGTTATCGATATGAAGGATTGCAAGTGATCAGTCTATGTGTCAACATTGGACAATTACGAACTTTTACTAATATCTCTACCCCCCACCATTATTAAATAAACTAGTGTCTATTTAGACTCAGCGGTAATACATTGATGTTTCAAGCGAAAAAGTATTGGGTTTGCGTCACATTATGTTGAATATCAACACTGGGATATATTAAGCTGACAAGTGTCAGATAGGACGAAACTCGAGTACAACAGATTTGATTGTCAGTCATTTATCAAATAAAAGTAACTATTATTAAAGTTTTTTGAACAAAGAATAAATTTACCATGTAGATTATTTGTTCTTTTTTTTTCTAAGGTTTTAGCAAATCGTCTAGCTTTATTATCATTATGGGCTATTGGTCGAATGGTAAATGGCTATGCAACTGGTCGTGAAGTAACAGAAGATGGTTATTTAATGCGTGAAGGACCAGATGTAATGGAAGCATTAAGTCGTTTATTAACACCACATTTAGCTAGAAAAATTCTTGAATTAAATATATATGATTCAAGTCAAATTGGTCGATTAAGCAATGGAAATAATGATTCACAAATTTTACATGATTTCCCTTTAGATACATCTAGAGGGAAGTATTTACGTTCATTAGCAAAATTATTAACTACAAATTCTGTAACACCATATTTAATATGGGATAATCGTTGTAGAGCAGAATTGGAAACGTTAATTGATCTACAAGTTGTTCGTTTAATTAAAACTGTAAGTATTCTATTCGTACTTACTTACTTACGCCTGTTACTCCTCGTGAAGGAGCATAGGCCGCTCACCAGCATTCTCCATCCAACCCTGTCCTGGGCAATCCTTTCCAGCTCCTTCCAGTTGTAATTCATCCTTTTCATATCTGCTTCTATTATCCGACGTAATGTGTTCTTTGGCCTTCCTCTTTTCCGCTTCCCTTCAGGATTCCAAGTTAGGGCTTGTCTCGTGATGCAGTTTGATGACGTGCGTAATGTATGTCCTATCCATTTCCATCGTCTTTTCCTAATTTCCTCTTCAGCTGGAAGTTGGTTTGTTCTCTCCCACAGAAGGCTATTGCTGATGGTATCTGGCCAATGGATGCAATATTATTATTATTATTTGTTCATTTGTACACATAAATATTGGTACAAAAGGGCACCAAATACATATACTCACCACACAAGTCACTTGATTTGTGTATGGGCTGTGATACTAACCGGGCGCCCAAACCGAAGCAAGTGGTTTTCTTAGGGGGGCACGCCTCGAGCCTTTGACCTAAAGGTCTGATCCACAAGGCAGTGAAGCAACGTTAGGAGATGCAGTCCTATGGTAGCCGGTGATCAACAATTGGTTCACACACTATTTGTTCCTTCAGGATACTGGAGCCCATGTGCACCATTGATTTAGAATGAGGGTTTTCCAACTGCTTTAGGTGAACTCTCCGTGTCCCCTAACCCGAGTAAAGCTCCTACCAGACATTCGCTTTTCGTCCTCTTAATTTCGTAAAGAACACTCTGCTGCTTGAAGGCAGTGAGTAGAGAATTATTATTATTTGTTTTTTCTGTATTCTGAAGCGGAAGATCTACTAATTAATGTGGAATCTTTTGTATAACTGAAGTTTCATGTTAATATTTTCTGGGCTTTATACATGTAGAATTCGACGTTGAGATACTCATTTCTTGAAATTTCACATTCCGAAGAAAATCGATTACTAAGTGATCTGAGGGCAAATTCTTAGTGTTGGGTGTTTTAATGGTGTGATGTGATAATAAAGTGTTCCCCATGAATGATCAGAATTCTCATTCGCGCATTTCTATCATAAGCAAAGAATAAGGTTGAAAACGTTTTTTCTAAAATATCTCACTTCCGTTGATGGATAGTTTTTCTGGTACCAATGGTGAACGACGAAACTTGCTGATAAATATGACTGAACGCTTGAATCGGTTTCTTAAGCTCTGTTAATAACCTCAGGATCGATGTACAGGACAACTTGAACATGAGAGAAAAGGCGCGAAATATGGAACGAACACTTTACGCAAAATCGAAGGTACCTATGGCATTTCAGAGTGCATTCGACTTCTGGAAGATTCTGGAGACCTACTAAACATAGTAGCATGAAAATGATCATCCAATTAGATATTTCTGAGAAACATCTGTTCAGTGCTAATTGGACAAATTGCTTCCTAGCTTTTTCAGAGACTCTCTTAGCATTCTTTGAGGAATAGTCCGGATCTCCCCAGCACTTTCACTGTGAAACTAATTGAGCACAAGAAAGTTGTATGCGTATACAACTGACTCAAAAAACGTGTTTCATCATACAACATGGTTATATTATAAGATCGTAAAGGTTATCAATTATAATTCAGTTTCTTTATCTCAGAGTTCTGATGAAATCACTCGGAACACTAAACAGATTTATCGAATTTCCTATTTTCACTTATTTGGAAATATCGTTTAGGAATGAAGAATATTTGTGGTGTAAAGGGAACGATTTTCATGGTTTCCCATTGTCTTAACTTCTATTGTTATTTTGCCCAACACTGTCTTTTTCTGATTTATTTTGAGACAATAACAAAAGTTTTGCAAGTCAACTCATCCAGTTCAAATTACACAATGTAATCAGTCAAAAGAAGGAGGATACTACTCAACAGTTCAGTCTATTCTACTCTGTTTGTGAAATGTGACCTTTAAAAGTGGATATAATTTGTTTTTATTGAAACTACTGAATAGGGTAATGCTGAGTTTAGATGCAGAGTACTAGGTAAGGTTGGCAAATCGGTTGATTAAATAATGAATCTGCATTGACTGAGTTGATTTGGGACATGTGTTACACATGCCTAACCACCATCTGTCTCGATGTGCAATCGTTACCGATATAAGATTGAATTGTAAGAAAGCTACGGTTCGACAAATCAAAACGTAACATCAACTGATTAACTCATAGCCGCTCCGAAGTTCAAGTGGACAGCAATTCTGGCATACAAGTATATCCACCTAACAAACCCCAACTAGAACAAAATGATGTGCGTCTAAGATTCCACTGCAGACCACTTTTTATCTATTCCATGTAAAGTTACCTTTATTTAATCATTTTGCTCAATTACTAAACCATCCTCTTTTATTTATCTTTTTCATACTTTTATTTGAAAAATAACCATTAGGGTGAATGTAATTTAAACTCTGTTCTATCATTTACTCATGAATCGTATGCTCAAGAACTATTAGTTGGTGAAGTGTTTGTCAGATTATATAATAAACAACCAGCTTATACATTGGATGTAAGTAAAGGTTTTTAATTGTTAATACATAACTGTGTTAATATAGAGGCTTTACTCGACTGAATTTAAATAAACAACCATTGAAAAATCATTGGTGTAACTATGTGTTAGTTAATAGGAGACCAACCATATTAAGAATATAGTAGTTATCTATCAATGGCATTAAATAGTAGTTGCGCAATGTCACGAGTTGTTCGAAGTTAGAAATCTGAACCATTGAATGTCAATCTAGTGATTTAAGGGTTCAACGCTCTCTAAGAGACCTAATGCTATACGTTTTGATCACTGATGTGATCATGAATGTGGAGTTATGACAAGGAATCCCATACTGTAAAGAAATGGTTACTCAATGTTACTTGGTTTTCAATGTCATTTTGAACGATGATATGTTCATAGTGTATGTACGCTAAAATAATCACTTGTTAAGTAGTAGATTCACGATATTTTAAAGAAAATCTATGACTGGTGAAATCTAATCATGATAGGAATGAGACAGTCATCTATCAATACATAATGGGTTGATTATCTTTCCAGATTACTAATTTTTATTTATTTATTTATTTCAAAACATAGATATTGGTACAAGGAGGCACCAAATACAAATACATCTGTGTGAGGGCTGTGATACTGCCTGGTTGTAAAGACCGAAGCAGGTGGTTTTCTTGAGGAGCCACACCCGGAAACTTCGACCTAAAGGTCTGACCCACGAAGCAGTGGGGCAACATCAGGAGATGCATTCCCATGGTAGCCGATGACCAACGATTGGTTCATACGCCATTTGTTCCTTCAGGATCCTGGAGCCCATGTGCATCATTGGTTTAGAATGAGGGTTTTCCAACTTCCTTAGGTGGAATATTCGTGTCCCGTAACCCGGTTAAAGCTCCTACCGGACATTCGCTTTTCTTCCTCGCAATTTCGTAAACAACACCCCCGCCACGAGAAGGCAATGAGTAGGACGTCTCTGGCAGAGGCTATATATGCGTGGCCATGTGAGAGCATTTGAAGAGGGAGTGTGGACTCTCCCCACTCTCAGCCGTACCAGGGCATTTTTGGGCTAATTAAATTAAATGTGAAAATATAGTCTATTGAATCGTAGCTTGATTGTTCTAAATATATTATTCCTCTCGTATATTTGATTATATTCTGAAACGAGTCTCCAATACGATGATGAAGAAGCTGTCTTCCAATGTGTTTTTTTAAAAATTCAAAATGAGTTTCATGCTTTCTGTTGTGGTAGAGTGAATAATGAGGAAAGTATAACTGGTGGAACTAATCTACGGATTAGTATTATAGATAACTGTATTTTTGTATCTATATCATCCCCCCATTACAAGCTCGCAATGGACCAACTAACTATTGTTATACGTCTTACCATTCCTCTGCTATTGCTGATTAGTTGTTACTGTTTGTTTCACCCTCTACTAGTTATGGTGTGACTTTATCCAAAGTATGAATTCAAATTTAAGGAGCGTTACGGTCTGATCATCAATGTATATAAGTTAATGTGTGTTCAAGGTAGATCTTGTGCTGGGTGCTGTAATCTGTTTTTAAATTCAAAGATGGAAATTAGCATACGAACAATACTCAAACTTACTTTAACCTCAGCTTAAGAATAATCGTATTGATTGGAACATATCATTCACAAAGACGCCAGACTATAAATGGAATAGCATACACGAGTTTTAAGTCGGAATTCTGATTGGAGAATTTACTGAGCAATATCGATTAATATCTCAGTCATAACACCACTAACACTGCTCAATGATGACTTCGCACTCGGGAATGGAAGTTGAAATCTCCGGTCTGTCGTGGGAACGTTCAACCTCCAGAACACTGAGCCTGCATTCATTGGTGTTAATGTTTAACTTCAATCAACCCACTACATTGCACGACTATCTTTAACGGTTTTCAGTTTGTAAAACTGTTTCACACCCGAAATGGTGGTACCTTCACTAGTCATGGCTTCTCACTTAGAATCCTGCGTTCAACTTTCATGTACGCGGTTGTGGATGCGCATTATTGAGAAGTCCCTTACTAGGATGAAACGGCTGTTCATTGCTTAGAGGTTTTCAATGGTGGTCTAACTTAGATCGGTTCGTAATTTCAATGAAATTCAACAATCTCTATAGTCACATACTGACGATTTATTAATTATGATTTATTGTAGCACCATATATATATATCCGGGTAATTAAAATAGTCTTCTGACTCCGATAGATCTCAGGTGCGTCATTCTGACAGTCACCACAAAAACTAATGCATTTTACGTTTGTTCACCTTGATTATGACAATTAATTGCTTACTGGATCTTTTCCTGGTAGTTTCCAAGATCACTGATCGGTTAAATTAGTCTCAACCCTTATTTCGATCCCCCGAATAAACATTTTTTGAGGTGTTATAGGCGAGTTGTAGCAGCGACCTAAAGCTTTAAAAGAAAGGAATGGTGCAAACAAAGGACTTCAGAAGTAAGGAGTCGACAAAAATGCTTCTCCTGATCAACACTTTCAAAAGTTTTTAAAAGTCTAGTAAAACAACTGATTACATTTCCATTACAGTTGCCAATTTGTAGTCTCTTTTCTAAAAGCTTTTTAAATGTTAGATTCATACACATAAGCTTACAGATACCCCTTTTTTCTATAAATAGTAATCTTCTGAGTAAAATTCCTTCCATACTTCTCCATTTTGTGATTTCTATTTGGAATTGAAGTATTAAAAACCTTCCGAGGTTATGAGAGATCAAATACAAATTCAATGTTTAATCCTATTCAATTACATAACTATTCTAAAGATAAACAATTTTATTGATTTTTTCTTACATCAGGATCCTAAAGGTTTCATCATTGATCTATTTCAATTTCTTACAAATGAATTACAAAATCTTAATTCAGAGAAAGTTTATGACACTAATCAACAATTAAATCGAACAAATCGAGTCGATTCAGAATTACAATTTATGAATAATATAAAAGAACAACATAATGATGAAGATGAAGATTATCTATCTGTGGGTGATACAATCAATATAGATGATGAAATTGATTGGGGTGTTGAAGCGAATCATATCACAAATCAATGTGTATCAAATGTTAGTTCAGCTTTAGAAGCATTAACGAATGTTATACGTCATAATACTGGTAAGTAGTTATTATCATTATGTTTGTGTGCATGTTCAGTATGTAATTAAGTGAGCAGTAGCTACTAACTTTTGACTTGGTAGGCGGGCATACACTGTTGAGCTAGCTATATTGACTAGAACACTAGTTCCTTTTACGTTTTACCATACCTTAAGCATGAAAGATCAAACAGTCCTTGTAGGTAAATGTGGTAGTTATGAATAAGTATGTCTGTATTTTTCATATCTTATTTTTTAGCCTAGAAGCAAAATACACCTTTCATAAGTTATGCTATTCTTTTAGACTACTGTTATACAGTATTAAGTAACCATCATCCATTATGTACAAATAATATTTGTCACACTGTTGGCATCGTCATTGGACTCTGATTTCATTTGTTTAAAAAAGATATGTCCAACTAGACTCAGTACCAAAACGTGGCATTAGTGTCTGAAGTCATTAACTTCTAGTCTTAACCATGTTAGTAGATGCAGACTACTTGGTTGGGGTCCGCGTGCCTACCTTAACCAATGGTTGGAGACTCTGTGTGACATGGCTGAGAATCTATCACAATGACGTAGGTGTATACACTCTCTGTCTTCTTTTAAACTATAAGATTAAAATCGCTTCATATCTTTCTTTCTACGAACTTTTTCTTTCTTCCTGTACTATGTGCTTATACACAATCTTTCTTTTATATTTTACCACCACTGAATTAACTACTTTTATGAATCCGGTGTTCATCTTGTTGTGTTAATGAGGTATGGCAACTTGGGCCGATGGACATATGTGCCTGGTCTTACGTTGTAGGTGACTGACTGACTGGCAGTACAAGTTATTATTCATAGATGCAGATTATCATAGAAGAGCCCCGAACTCGATTAAGAGTAATGCTGATTTGCATACTATTTTTTTAGTTTTGAACTAAATAACCTCAATATTTGACTAGTTCTGATCGTTGTCATTGACAAGTCGTCTGTTTAGTTGACCTGTTCAAATATTTGATAGATCTATTTTCGAACATTTAAAACATTTGGATTATTCTTTCTGGTTTAAATTTATTTGAGGTAAGTAGTTAGGAATTTATTTATTTAAACACATAAACATTGGCACAAAGAGGCACCAAGTAGATATACGCCAAATAAATCATTCGATTTATGTGAGGGCTTTGATACTGCCCGGGTGCCCAGACCGAAGCAAGCGATTTTCTTAGGCGGCCACACCCCGAACCTTTGACCTAAAGTTCTGACCCACAATGCAGTGGAGCATCGAGAGGAGATGCAGTCCCATGGTAGCCAGTGACCAACAGTTGGTCCATACGCCATTTGTTTCCTCAGGATACTGGATCCCATGTGCACCATTGGTTTGGGATCCGGTTAAAGCCCCTGGCGGACATTCGCTTTTCGTCCTCTCAATTTCGTAAACAACACCCGTGTTGCGAGAAGGCCATGAGTAGGACTTTCCTGACAGAGGTTGTATACGCGTGGCCATGTGAGAGCATTTAGAGAGGGAGGGCTGGTCCACCCCTCTCGGCCATACCAGGACATTGGGGGGCTAATAATGTGTACTCATGTTCTAATTTAAGATTTACATACTAACTGAAAGATCTACAGTTCATATGTTTTTCTCATCTATCCTTTGAAAAATTAGATGGCTACAATGGAATTGATTCGTCTTACATATATCTATTTGACGGGTTAAAAAGAAAGGGATAGTTTTAACAGCTAAAGTGGATCAAAGCTTTACTGAATAAGATTGGGTAGCGTAAACTGACTATTGGAAAGCATTCATAAAAAATATTTTTAAATATTTACAATTTGAATGTAAACTAAGGATGAATCTGTTACAATATCAGTACAATCAATGCTGAGTATTTCTCATTATATCGAGATTTTCGGTATTGAATGAAATTGCTATTACTATTGTTATTAAGTAGTGTATCAGAAATCTTTTGACAAATAATCGAATCACTTACACTTATGGCTATATTCCAGCTTGATCGATAGAATTCAATCAGCATTAAAAGACTCAGATAACACAACTTCGGTCACTACTCAATAAACACTCGATCAGGGATGTCCCCGTCCTACGAAGGTTAGTCGCGTCCTGAATAGCTCAATAGTAACATATCAAATTCTGATGCTGTGCGAGACTGCTTCGAATCCCTCTGAGATCATTAGTTCCCTTAAAACTACAGATGCGCCGTAGTAACAAATGCCAACTATAACAGCAGAGTTTTATGCCTGTTCCCATCAATCATTTAACAAGACATACTATTGTAAGTCACTTTGACCAGTGACTGATTTGTAGGTTGATCAATAAAATTTGATTAGTATTAATCAACTAGACAAACATGACATTGTTCATGCCATGTCTATGCTTGTATTTTTGTGTAAAAATAACCCCTCTTAATTCTTAACATCACTTTTTTAATACATTCTTGTTCAAGTGTGTTTTCTCATTTATTTATTTATTGTTTTCTTGTTTCATCATTATGTGTCCTCCTTACTCTGTTTCTTTTTATCATTTCGTTTATGTTCTATTTGAAATCAGGTTTAGAAATTCAATGTATTGGACATTTCTCCCTACTATTCTCTATACTTGATTTACACGATCATCCTGAAGTTCAACTACGGGCTTTAGATGTAAGTATTATTTATTATTACTATTATTATGATGTAAACACTTGTTATATATCAACATTAATTATTAGTGTAGGTGACGGATTGACTTCCATAGCATTATGGTATCTTTTGAAAACTAAGAAATACTAAGTATCTGTCCCATTCTGGTGTAGAACTTCTCATAAGTTGCAGCACCTGCAGCCCCTTCAGGGGTCGGACCTTGGACTTATAGGCTTCTCTGTGAGCGCTTAACTGTCAGTCAGTCAGTCAGTCAGTAACAACGTACAACTTCGTACGTACGTACATAAGTTCGAGTCGCCACACCTCATTAGCACAGAGATGCAGTTGTCGATTCAAATCCCGTAGTAGTAGAGGCGGTAAGAGTATAAGCAGTAATCGGAAACATTAGGGTTTGGAGATGTTATTTAGAGAGTATAATCCAGTGAAATAAATTTGGAAAGAGAAAAAAAGAGACAAGGAGGATTCAGGAGATTAGAATTTAGGAGAACACAAAGATTGGATGCACCTGCGCTATTGCGAACGATTTTGAGCCATGTAATTCAAGGTCTCTAACCATCGGTTACTATCATCTCGCGGATCGCAACCAGGTAGTCTACACCTACCAACATGACTCAGTCCACTTGTTAGTGACTTCATGGATTTGTGCCATGTTTTGGTCTGGCCGCCCCTAGCTTTATTCCGGTCTACTCCTATACCACTGAACATCGCACGTCGAGGTAGTCGGTGGTTGAGCATACGTAACACGTGTCCCAGCCATCTCAACTGATGGAGTTTCACCACTTCATCAATCTATTTGCCATTCTTACCTAGTACCCTTAACTGTTAGACCGTTAAGGTGACATACGTTAGAGCAAACTTCCAAATTCTATCCATTCGTTTTATAGAATGAAGATCATCTAATGTTGTTGGTTACAACTCTCATTTTTAATATGGCTGACTTGCATCAGTCACAATAATACAACTCCGTATATCGTATTTTTAATTAATCCGACTCCTGAAGTTTTATTAAGATGTAACCAGTAAATTTTAATCCATGTTAGGTGCGAGACAGTTATCTCTCGCAGGCAGTGTATGAGGGTTGTGCTGTATCGTGAATTGATTAAAGTTAGACATTAACATCATTGAGTCCCGGCTCTGTGGTGTTTAGGTTAGGCATTGTCGCACATGACTAGAGGTCTTAAATTCAATTCTCGATTCCGTGGCCGTTAACGTGCACTGCTGAGCAGTCACATACTAGGACAAGATGGCCGTTCAGTGCTTCTAGGCTGTCATTGTTGTTTCAGCTAAGGTTAGTTCGTGTTTCATACAGGAAATTATACAGTGTCCACAAATCCTGTTTACTAATTATAATCTAAAATTACAATGAAAAACTGATGGAGTAAGTCAGAATGAATAGTCCAATGAAATAAATATACCAACGAACACTCTAAGAGCATAAATCTTAGTCTAAAATAGAGAAAACCTTTCATTACGTCTCAACAGATTATATGAGAATAAAACACTTCTCATCTTGTAGCTATCTAGTAACCTTAAATGGTAAACAACTGACCGATGTCGTTTAGTGATGAATACTGTCTACAAATTAAAAACCAATTTCCCGTGCAAAACCTTTTCTATAGTAACTGATTATAACTAAATGTATATATTACTCAAATTTAGTCGTTCAGAAGAACGATTAAAGCTCCATTACCAAACCATCCATCTCAGCGAACAAAACTCCATCAACATATATTCAAAGGAGATGATCCACTGTCTCGAATCCTGGTGGATGGCCTAAGCTCCTCCACGATGGTTAACAGTTGTAAGTAAGTATAGGAAGTGGTGATCCATTTTGGATAAAGTTAGAATAGAAAATTAGCTTTCCCACTAGGTAGTTTTACAATGTTGAGTGAATTTATTTCACCTTATTAAATTGAATGCTTATGGGATATCTCATTTAAATGTATGATATGATTTATATATTTCATAGGTTATTCAAGCTGTTTCTACAAATCCACAATGTCTTGAAGATATGGCTGCATCTCATTTATTAACTTCGTTAGTTATGTTGTTCTTAGTTCTTCCAAGAGGTATGTTGTAATTGTTAACCAAACTGACTTAACATTAATGTTATACTGCTGTATGCTTTTTTTCTCTCTCTCTTTAACTAATCATTTTTTGTAATGACCATTAAATTCTGATTGATGTATTACCACCTTTTCACATTATAATCTACTATCCTCGGTCTAACTCATAATTCATGCTCTTAATAGTCGACTAATTCAACTGATTCAAATGGACAAGATCAATTTATGTGGCAAACTGTACTACAGAAAAACAATCATACTCAGACTATGATAGTAGATAATAACATATCGGTGATAAGTAGTATTTAATACTGTACTCACACTCCTACATACATCTGATTTACTGCTGATAAGCATTCCACTTCTGATTGGTAGTACATACTACTTATGTCTGTCGACATAAGTAGCATACATCACAATTCTATCAGCTTATTGACATTGACCAAATCTATGAAAATGCACTCATCATTGAACTTGAATGACAAAGTCTTTCTTTCAGAATTTTTAAAAAATAAGTATTCATAAAGAAAACAACAAATGCATGTCTGCTAAACATTTCCAGATATTTTTTTGGAGTATCTTGATCAAGTGTCCTTCTTTCTAGTCTGTTAGTACTTGTTCTTCATTCCAAATCTTGCTGAAGATAATGTGGAATACCTTCACAGTTACTGCTACATTTGCTTTCAGTGCCTCTTCTGGAATGTTATCTGGTCCCGCTGCTTTTCCGCTCTTGGTTTGTCTGATGGCCATGCTGATCCCTTCAATTGTCGGTGGGCCAACATTGATTGGGAGGTCCATGGGTGCTGCTTTCGATGGGGTCGGTTGATTCAAGAGTTCCTTGAAGTGCTTTACCCACATATTTCGCTGTTCCTCAATGTTGGTAATTACTTTGCCTTCCTTGCTTTTCACTGGTCATTCTGGTTTACAATAATTTTCAGCGAGTTTCTTTGTTGTATCATACAATTGTCTCATGTTTTCTTCTCTTGCAGTCTTTTCCACCGTCATTGCTAGATCTTCCACATATTTACGTTTATCGGTTCTGATACTCCTTTTCACTTGCTTGTTTGCCTCTGTGTATTCGGTTTGTGCCTTGGCTTTCTCTCCTCTTGTTCGGCTGATATTGTTTGCTGCCTTCTTGTTTCTCCTTTCTTGAGAACTATTAGCAAAGAAAATATGCTTTGCTAATAGTTGTCGATTAGAAACTGTTTGGTTATGATTGTTACATTCAGTACCGGCGCACCCAACAACTTGGTCAGGCAGACACCCTGTCACGACTTATCAACGAACACCATACGGCCGACAAAGATGCAGTTATTGCCTCCCTAATGACAGAGGACCATGCGCAATGTTACCTGACATCTGCTGTTCGTGCTTCGCTAGTCTCGGCAGCTGAAATACAATCTGCATCCAAGAACGACTCCATTATTAAGAGAGCGACGAAACACGTCACCAGTGACTGGCCGTCAACTGGACTCGATGGTGACTTGAAGCAGCTTTACCACAGTCGGGACTCATTATGCGTCGCGAATGAGTGCTTGATGCTTGGAGATAGAGTAGTGGTGCCAGAATCCTTAAGATCAAGGGTGCTAAAGCAATTCCACACTGGTCATCCTGGTATAAAACGAATGAAATCCATCGCCAGAAGCTGTGCTTATTGGCCCCTCATGGACCAACACATCGTGGATTTAGTAGGCAAATGCACACAATGTCAGTAAGCGGCGAAATGTAATCCGAAAGTGACGCCGGTCCCATGGCCACGGCTTGAGTATCCTTGGTCCAGGATACATTTCGATTTTGCTGGCCCAGCCAATGGGAATACCTATCTAGTCGGGGTTGACGCCTTTTAGTAATGGCCAGAAATCGTTCCCATCATGCCACCAACGACCACCCAAACGATGCAACTTTTGACGGAGATGTTCTCCCGTAACGGGCCACCAGATATAATCGTATCCGACAACGGTTCGCAGTTCACCTCAAATCAATTTCAAGAATCTTGCAAACGCCTATCGATCAAGCATTTCCGCTCTCCACCCTACCACCCGCAATCAAACGACCATACATTTAATAGAGCTCTAATCAAGTTGAAAGGGGCGGGGACGCCAGTGGAAACACTGCGAAACTTCTTATTTATTTACGGAACGACACCTAGTGATGTATTACCCGAGCAGAAATCCACATGGCAATAAAATTGAGGACGGCCCACAATCTGATGCTTCCGAAAACCATACTATCGCCATCACCGACCAAGTCCCAGAAGCTATCAACATACGAGTTCAGACGTCCGGTGTTCGCTCGTTACTACGGACCAAATCATGGTCCCTGGACTGAAGCACATGTGGTCGGACATTTAGACCATGTCATGTTCGAGTTAGAGGTAGGAAGAGACAGGTGGACTCGACATCAGAACCAGCTACGCAAGCGGTTAGCCCTAGTTCGCCCATCGACAGAAGGGAATCTCCCTCTTGACATCCTTTTAGATACCTGTAGTCTACCCGCAGTTCCAACACAGGAAGAAGCACATCGACAGGTCGATCTACGACCCAGAACGTAGTCACTCCGATGACGGCGACAAACGGTCAAAATGCAAGTGGACCCCGGAAACGTACGTTATTAAAAGAGAGGGGTGTGGGGGGATCTAACATCCCCAACAGAAACGAAACCTATGGGTTAGATTTTCTGATTGGTAGTTGAATGAATAAATAAACTCATATTTTAAATATGTTTCACAGATGTGAATTATTATTTTTTTACTCCCGAAATATTTGTTTATTTCTGATGTTGTGCTAAGTTCTCTAAAATAGATGGTTTATTTAGATGGACGAACTAATCTAAGAAAACAATTGAAAACTTGGAAGTACTGAATAATCGTTTCCTCTTTATATGAACCTCTTCAACATTGTGTATCTACGATCCCACCTGATAATGATTTAATCAGTCATTTTGTACAAGGTCATCAGCGCTCTACTTTTACTTCCAGAGCAACAATAGAATTTTCATAATTAGATTATTTATCTCAGAGAACTAAACAATACTTGAGCTATACATCTTTCTTATCAAATTTACTCTCATTATCTTATTTACTTTTTCCATTTTATGAAATCACTTTCATTTAGCTCATCTTGTACTTATACAAACTATGGAACATTTAATTTCTTCATCATTATTATTGAAAGAATTCATTTATGCTGGTGGTTTAATTTATCTAATGGAAATAATATGTCAATCATCACAACAACAAACACGTCATGCAACTGTAGATTTAATATCACATTGTTTAATTAATAAACAATTTGGTCGACGTATACAAGCGATTATGAATCAATATTTACCAAATGTATTTGTTGATACATTAAGAGATCAACCGGAAACATTCTTAGCGTTATTCGATGGTAAGTTATATCCAGAATGTGTATATATATATATGTGTATGTTTTTCTTTACTTTATTATCTAGAGAAGCAGATATTATTAATATTGTCTAGTATGCATAAATACATTGCAGAAGTTATCAAACTACACTACTAGGGAAGCTCTAACTTGAAAGCCTGAAGAGAAAGGAACAAAAAAGGCTAAAGAACACATTGCATCAAGAATCAGAGGGAGCCATCAAATAAATAAATAGTAATTGGAAACAATTCCAAATGAGAGCCCAGTATAGAGTTGATTAGAATCTTGGTTGGCGACTTATGCTCCACTAGTTGTCACTGGCGTAAATGAATGTTGGTGAGACTATAATTTATGGATAACCTTTGGGTGACCCTAAAGTGACCTTGGGAATGTCCTCCTACTTGGGTTAAATGAGGATTATAAATTAGTATGAGGAATTGGGATTTTGATTTGCACATGAACGTTAGGGTTAGGATTTTTATCACGAACTGATGTTAGCTATAATGCCAAAATGGATGAATGTATTTCACGCCATAATTCAAGACCTGTTATCTCAAATATGATTGGTTCGTCCAATGTTGATGTGAAAGACTAAACAATGGGAATATGGCTTGAAAAGACAGTGGAAAGTTATATATAAAGGGATACCGCAATCGAAGATCGAAATGAAGATTAGGATTCAATGCATTCGCACCGTTATGCAAGATTCTGAACTATTTTATGTAACGTCTTCATCTACTACCATAATGCACACCAACAGTCACTGACTCCATGGACCATGTTGTGCCGTAGTTTGGGCATCCATATTCATTAAACATGTTCTTTTTCACTACTTCTACTTTTTATTTGCTCATTTATCTTTTTTACATTTTTCAGCTGATCATGAAAACCCTGAGGTGATATGGGATTCTAATTTACGTAGTATGTTAACTAAAATTTTAAATGAACAAACACACAGGTAATGACTTGTTAAGTTGTGTATTTTTCCGTTTCGAATTTTTTACCCATATAATTCAGTTCTTATGGGTTTTAAGCGGGTTACTAGTTGCGAGATGTATTTCTCTACCTCTGAGTGCGAATCATATGCTTTAGGACTGACTGATCTACGTCAATGCTCTAGTATCAAAACAACGAATAATGTAGTTGAACGTCGTGATCATTATTAAATTCATCTTTCAATATCATCATCGTTGATGGATAGTTGTTGACTGACTAACTCCACTTTTACCGATTTTCATCACTTATTACATAGGTCAGCTGTATGTCTTACTGTTATCATCTTATTTGTTAACAGTCTTCATCAAACGCTAAATTCTCTTCTTATTTCAATGTGAAATGTCATTTTAATACTGCATCTGTGTCAATGATAAGTCTGACCATTTTTCGAATACTAAAGCAATTGAACACATTGATCATTAATGTAGTCAAGAAATTAAAATTATGCTCTTGAATCATATCCACTTCATTTTAGTTCAGTCCTACTTAATCAACTAAAGACTTAACTTTAGTCTAAACTTTTCAACTTGAAGGTTCAGTTGTAATACTAAACAACATTTACAGTCATAGCTGAGACAGGATCTTAACCTACCACTAGGTGGTAGTTAAATTTAAGTTCTTCAATCAATAAGACACAGTTTCATTCATTTGTTTACTTTTGAATAACTGATTAATATTTTTTGTGGCGAGCAGTGTCCAAAATTTAATACTGATACACGGTGTGCTATGCGCTAACCGCCCAACCTAACTGACTACTTGTATGAGAAAATGTACTGGACTACCGAATAAGATGTACATGTATATACCACTTTAATCTTTAGGAAACTGATCCATTTACTAGTCAATGAAATGAACTTATCCTTTAGGTCACTTCTGATTGCCACCGATTGACCTTTTCATTAGGCTACTTCTGATTGACTCTCCATATCATACTTCATTAATAAAAAGCATTGCTTCTTAATTGGTTTTTATTTATCTTAAATTTAATTATGGTTATTGGATGTTTGTATATAATTGATATACATAATCTGTCTAATAAATACACAAACTGTACTACTAAGCTTTTGACGATATTTTGAAAAGGTATCTCAGAACATTCATAACTTGTTGAGCACATTGTTTTTTTTGGACATAACTCATTAAAGATGGACGCGACATTCCATTGAGAGCCTACTTGAGCATCTGGGCTACCTGTTCCTGTCATCTAAATATTTCAACAAGTTATCTATTTTTGTTTGTTTTAATATATTATTATGTATATTAATCGCATAACCCATCCTTGTGCATTTCTGAAAAGTTTACAACCTTTCGTTGTCAAAGTTACTAAAAGCTCAATAAGAGATAATGTGGTCGCTGGCAATATGCAGAGAAAAGAATATACATTATTCAGATGTTTATTTACTGGACCGCTAACATCTAACTGGCTATCACTCAATATTTATCGTCAGGATCGACCCAGAAGAAAGAAACGGAAACTTGTTGAAATACTTTGTGCTGAGAATTCTATATTGTACCGAAAATATAATATTGAATAAAGCTTATAATAATAAAAAAAAAATAAAAATATAAATACTACAAAAATAATATAAATCGAAGACCACTGTAAACATTCTACTTTGATAAGAATTTCGAACGTGTTCAATTCCAATTCTTATCCCCATCATTGCCTATGTGATTTCCTGTGTACATCATTCTAGTGTTGGGAAAATTGTATGAAATAAACTAGACACTTGAGTTTTAAAAAAATCTTTCGAAAACTACCAACAATGCTTTGTGCTTAAATTGAGATAATGAAACGATCAATGTTAGACCACCATTGAACACTTGGAAGCACTCAATGACCGCTTCGTCACAGCATGAGACTCCTCAGGAGCATGCATCCACGGTCCTGCACACGGGATTTGAACCAAGGAGCTTCCGTTTCGCGCGCGAACTTCTAACTTCTAAACCACTGAACCAGCATCTAACGGTGTTATTGTCCAACTTGAACCATTCTACGATATTGTGCGGCCATCTCCCAACTACCTCATACTCGACACAGTCCAACTCCACTGGCCATAGCTTCTTACTAGAACTCCGAGAAATATCTCTCGAAGCTAGATGGTCCCAAGCTCGAATAAAGGAGGAGGGTTGGGCATGAGGTTAGCCACCCTATCCCGTAGTAAACTAACCATTAAAAAGTGCTAACCAGAAAAACTAATTCAAACCATTTAAACTCTGCTCTGGGAGTTAGAAAATCTTCGTGGAGGTTAACACATTTTAAAGATTTACGCTAAATTTTTTTTAAATTAAATGTATGTCCCCTTGAGTTTGTGTATTTGTTAGTCAGCTAGGACATAGGACCAGGTACATATATTCATCGGTTCAAGTTACCACACCCCATTAACACAACAAGATCAACATCGAATTCATAAAATCAGTTACTTCGATGGTATTAATATATAAAAGAAAGATTGTGTATAAGGATATAGTACAGGAAGAAAGAACTAGTTTATGTAAAGGTATAAAGCGATTTGGGACTCACGGTTTAAGGGAAGACAAATAGTGTATACGCCTACACCATTATGATTGATTCTCAGCCACTTCACACAGTCTCCAACCATTGTTTATGATAGTCACACAGATCCCAACCAAATAGTCTATGTATAGTCTATATACCGTTGGATGCCGGTTCAGTAGTGGTCTAGTGGTTAAGTGCTCGCACGCGAAACCAGTAGGTCCTGGGTTCGGATTTCGCACGGGGAGAGGTCGTGGATGCGCACTGCTGAGGAGTCCCACAATAGGACGAGACGGCCGTCCGGTGCTTCCAGGTTTTCCATGATGGTCTAGCTTCAACTGATTCATGATCTTAACCATAGTCTATATTTATTAAATAGATTTTGTAAACTTTTGAATTGATGTTTGTTTTATTTCAATATCTTAATCATTGACACACACATTGTCTACTTAATCCCTTTTTTAATAGTTTCTATCATTCACAACTTGAAGATCGTAATATCAAATGGAATTTATCCGATTCATTTAAAGTACCATATACAGAAGTAATCGCTAAAAAAGCTAATGAAGAGAATAAAAATAAACCAAATGAAATTGCTCAATATGTTGCATGTCTTGGTCCAATTCAAATAGCTAATGTCTATTTACATTTATATATATCACATCCTGGTTGGACATTACGTAATCCGGAATTATTTTTAAATGAATGTATGGAAAAATGGATTGAGGTAAATAGAAGAAATCTTATATTTATTTGATTGATTGTTATAAGGGAGTAGTTTTATCTTTAATAGATACATTTTTGTAAATAAACACATACATCTAGATGATGATTCTCAACAAGGACGAAACATTCATTTTGGGTTTTATTGCTCAGTCAGTCAGTAACAACGTGTTCTGTTCACTACAACACTACTCTAACTGTAAGGTATTGTTTAACTCATCTCTTGTTGCGATGTATTTTTCTAATGTAGGTCTATTGATTCATTACAATATACAAGTTCAACTGCATGTTTGGTTTATGGCTGTATATGAATTGTAACCTGGGAGTTGATAATTGAAATCTGATTGTCACAATCACTTAATCCACTTTGTTGACGTACTTTCAATGACATAGAAATCACTTTTTAACTATATATCTTGTTTTCTTATTAAAGTACAGTTGCAATACGTCCTAAACTATAATGCATTATCATACTTATTATTATTTCGCAATTCCTATCCCTGTATCTCATATCCGTTTTTGCTATTTTCTAGGCAATACATCAATTACCTAATTCGACTTTATTAGTTAGATTACTAACTCGAGCATGTAAAACTGTACTGACTGATCGTCCTGGTCTTACGGATTCTTTACCTCGATCTGGTAATGTACATAGAGTTTTAGAATTATTAGCAAAAGTCGATGATCCAGAAGGTGCTAAAGCGATTGTCATCATTTTACATCAGATGTCAGCAAGTAAAGTAAGTTTTAGTGGGATATATTTTATTCCTAATGAAAAGCTTTTACAAATTTTCTTATTTAGTCACTCAAGCTAAACAGTTATTAAGTGAAACATGGGAGTACAAGATAGTTGTGTTGTCTTAGTATAAAGTAGTCTTAGATACATACTGCTAATGAGTCTCGTCATAATAGAATCAATCAATCAGTTGTCCAATCCTCCCTGGTTTCCACAATATAAATTGTCTTGTAATTTACTTGTTAACAATAAGTTGACTGACATCATTTCATAGAAGGTTTGATAGTAGGAATAAAATGAATATTAAGTAACGAGGGGATTCGATAATAGTGTAGAGGATCACGAGTGCTGTTAGAGGTATGAGGGCTATTGTCAATTTCTGGTTGCCCACACCGTCGAAGGATATTTCTTATTGGGGAGAACCTTAGAAAGAAACTGGATTATTAGTAGTTTTAGCGACCATAAAAAATTACTGTGGAGCCCTTGAAACAACTACTTGAGACCGGTCACATACAACTTTTCTATGAGAAGTTTGTGATGTATTAGCTCCGTACTTCAGTAGGCCTTGCCGCCTTCGGTGGAAGCCTGTGGGGTAAGGTGAAAACTGACATTTCTGAACCTAACCTTCACTAACCTCATTTTCCTGTTGTGAGGAGAAAAACTGTTGACTGCTTTCCACCCTACAGTTCTGCAACCAGCCTACCTGGCATGGTACGACCTAATGGAACTATTTACCCGACCGCTATAGCTTGATTAAGTCATTACTATAAACAAGTCCATCTACGACGTCAAAATAGGAGCCACTATCAGGACCATTCAGTCACAACTTACAATCTGGTATGTATGTACATCAATTCAAGTTGCCATACCCTATCAACATAGAGATATGAAATCGTCAGGCCAAATCCCAGAATAGTAGAGGTTGTAACGAAATGAACACTGATTAAAAAGATTAGCCATCGAAGACACGATTCAAGATCTAAATTAGTAAAATAAAAACAAAAAGGGTTATGAGGAGTTTGGAATCTCAAAATTAGGAGTAAGACAAAGAATGAATGCACCTGCACTATTGCAAAAGATCTTGAGCCATGTCATTCAAAGTCTCTAAATATTGGTTAGGATAATCACGTGGACTCCAATAAGGTAGTCTATACCTATTAACATTTATAAGTCTAATTGTCAGTTACTTCATGGACTGATTTCCTAGCTTTCCTCTAGTGAACTCCTAACACCAAATAACATCGCCCATACAGGTAAGTGGTGGCTGGTCGATGGAAATTTACTACCTCTTTAATCGATTTTCTATTCTTACTTAGTCCCTTATTCCCAAACCAGACTCAGTGGTCTCAGAATGTACTAGCAACGCTTCGAAGACGCCTATAAACGAACATTGATAACCCACGAATATCCTCTTTCCTTAGCGGCCATATTTCATACTCATACGGTAGGAAGGAGCGAACTACTGTGCAGTTAACATATCCTTTGGTTGTCAGAAGGGTATCTCGCCTACGCCACAAGTGACGCAAGTTTGCGAAAGCTAACAACCAGCACCATTATCTTCCTTTTTACATAGAACGCAATTTCTATCACCCCATCATTTAACAAATTTTATCAGGTAGTTAAAGGCATTCGAAAAGAAGCTCAATGTCTATGTTTCACTCTACTTTTTACTTGTCAGTATGACTAATGTTTACGGAATTGATGTCTATTTAAGTGTGCTGCAGTCATGAATGCTACCACTAAATTACGTGGTCTGATGGTGACCTGTGATATAACGGAAATGTTTACGTTATAACCAATCACTAAGTGTTATTCGATAGCATACACTTTAAGGATTAAAAAACGTGGCACTGTAGTTCTATAATCACACTACCCTATTTTATAAATCATTGCTTAGTTACTGAGTTGTATTGATATTTTCTTGAAAGTTCGAGGGAGAGCTGTATTTAACAATACACGAACATAGCAACATCGTGTGAAATATCATATACGAGCACAGATTATCCATGAAGCAGAATAATGTATCGCCACTGTTATATCTGTACACGTAAACAACCATGGAGATAAATTCGATTAAGAAAATGTCGAAATTCCAGATCCAAGGAATTGTAAAAGTATCAGGAAGTTTCTAAAAATATGATATTCAAATGAGTTTACAGTCCACGTGTGATGTATAGCTGAACACCAATTACCACGACGTGCAATGCTAACCGGTGTTGGAAATAGTTGGAAGAATGTTAGGGGCGACCAAACCAAAATGTGACATCCGAGCTTGAAGTCACTAACTTGTAGTTTGAGCCATACTGGTAGATGCAGACTGCTTAGTTGGGGTCCGAGTGACTATCCTAACGAATAGTTGAAGACTCTGTGTGACATGGCTCAGAACCGATCACAATGGCTTAGGTGTATCTTGAGTGCTGTTAGACGTATGAGGGCGGCTATCACTTCCAGATTGCCTACACCGTGGAAGAGTTCTTCTATATGTACCTGAAAAGGAAATAGGATTTGAGGTGGTTTTAGTGACCCGAGAGCGCGACCGCAGTGCACAAGGGACAAGTGCTTGAGGTCGGTTACACACGACCTTTTTATGAGTGCTTTTTGTGTTAGCTCCTTATTTGTTGAGACCTTACCACCGGAGGCTGATATTTGTGGGATAAGGCAAGGTGTGCATTTTTAGGGTCAACCTTTTCTAGTCCGACCCCTTCTTGTGAGATAGCAGCATCGCTGTTATGCTGGTTGTCTGAAGATAACACCTTTCTGACGTCACACCTCTGTACAGTCAGCAGTACGATTTCGCCTTGGGTTTGTTACTTTTAGTCTTACCACTCTTCAACCGACATGTCTGGCGTAGTTGTTGTAGCTGACTGACTGACTAAAATTAATTAAGCTTATCAACGTGTCTCTGGTCTACTAATCTAAACGAGAGAAAAAAAAGTCAATCAACCATATGATTCAAAGTCAACTAGACATGACAATCCATTGGAATATGAAGAACAAATGAAAATAACCAATTACATAATAACAATCACTATAACAATTTGGCTTAAGACACATGGAATGAGCTCATCTCTACGTGAAATAATCAACTATGAATATGATCCAGAATAATAATGAAATATATACGCATTGACATTCATTAGTGTATTCATTGTGTATTTGTTTGTTTGTTTGTTTGTATTTCATTTCTTTTAGTTATGTGTACAATCAATGTCAGAAAGTAATACAATTAGTGGTTTAATTCGTATTGTTAATCGTTGTATCGGTGAAGAATTAGGTTTAATTGGTGAAACATTATTTTGTCTATTTGATACACAATATTCTGATCCATTAATTGAACAAGTAAGTAGAAGATTTCAGATTATATTTTGTTTAATAATTTATTCTATTGTACTTTATAAAAGTTAATCGTTATGTTTCAGGTTCGAGCTCTGTATTATCTATTCCCATCTAAACATCTACTCGATTCAGATTGAGACTAAAGCAAATTATAACAATTGTTGCGAACTGGATAATAAAAGCACCCGTAACACGGGTGATTGGAGAGCATACTGATGCCTACATAGAGGTGGTTATGTGCATCGTGTCGTTATCCATAAGTGGCATTTTGTGGACTCAACAACCGAAGTGCACACAAACAATATTGAAGCTACGTGATCGAGACTGAAAGAGTTTTTGTGAACTTATCATGGCTCCAGTGGTCGATTATTATGGAGTCATATGGATGACTTCTTCTATCGTATACATTATGATTTCAGAACCTCTGAACCTCTTTCTAACGCACAATTACAGAATCTCTTAGCCAAATCTGAGAATCATACAGTAAATACTTCATTTACAAAATGTCAATCAATCGTCTTAGAATTTATTGTTCATTCGTTTCCATACCAATCATGCTTTGTTCTCGTTCGCTTTTCTTCAATATTCTTAACCTTCTGCTGTCAGATATTTCACTTTCAATTGATGATACATACTACTTATATCCATAGAAATCAGTATCACACATCACAGTATGAATTCATTTTAATTCATAATTTCTTATCAACTGTTCTCACAACTCTGTTCATACTAAAATGTCACATTGACACATGATTATAATATGAACTCAAATGAATATTGAAATGATATTAGATTAGGAAATAAAAATTGATTTAATAATAACTAAAATATAATGAAATATGACATTAGTTTAATGAAGTTATTTATTTGAATACATAAATATCGGTACAAAGGAGCACTGAATCCATATGCGCACCACACAAGTCACTTGATTTGTATGTGGACTTTGATACTTCCCGGTTGCCCAAACCGAACCAGATAGTTTCCTTAAGCGGACACCCCCGATGTCTTCGATTTAAAGGTCTAATCCACAAGGCAGTGGATCAACGTCAGGAAATGCAATCCCATGGTAGCCGGTGACCAATAATTGATTCATACGCCATTTTTTCCCTCAGGATCCTGAAGCCTATGTGCACCATTGGTTTGTAGTCAGGATTTTCCAACTCCTTTGGGTGGATCCTCCATATCCACCTAGCCGGTTACAGAGACGGACATTCGCTTTCCATCCTCTCAATTTCGTAAACAACACCCCTACCGCGAGAAAGCTGCGAGTAGAACTTCCCGAAAACTTATAAGTTGGATGTATTGATCAGTGTAGAAGTTGTCAAGAAGTTTATATAAAATTTACATATAAAAGAGTGATCAATTGATAAGTATCGACAATTCATAATTGACTAGATGAAAGTTTTGAAGAGTTTGTATAAGTCTTGAGAATTAAACAAGCCTACTAGTATAAGACGGCCGTCCAGTGCTTCCAAAATTTTCAATGATGGTCTAGCGCAGGTCGACTCATGAATCCAACTGTTAAAATTAAGCGAATTTTAAACAGATGAATGAAATAATCGTGATAACGATGATTGCATAACAAAATAACCACTAATAAACTTTTTTGATTGAGTTCATGAGTCAATCGAAACCGGACCACCACGGAAAACCTGGAAGCGCTGGACGGCCGTTTCATCCTATCGTGGGACTCATCAGCAGTGCGATCCCGCTCGTCAAATTCGAACCCGGGGCCTTCAGTCTCATGCGCGAACGTTTAAACTCTAGACCACTGAGCCAACAGGCATCTGACGGTGTTAATGTCTAACCTCAACCAATCCGCGATATTGCGCAACTATCTTCCATTGTACTGAGGTAGATACCCGTCTCTATCCAACACGGATTAGATCCACTGGTCACGGCTTCTCACTAGAATTCCAAGAATTCCCACATGAAGCTAGTCACTTGTGAACACATTGTACTTAATAAAACAATGACTATAATAATAGTAATTTATTTTAACTATTCTGTTTTTAACAGCTATCAGTTGGACAATTATCTTCAGCTTTCCACTTTTTCACCTCTTTTCAGTATCAGATTTTAAATTTATGACAATCATCATGATTGTATAGCTTAAGTAAATGAAATTGTCGAAAAGAAAATTTTCTTCGCTGAACTGCTTTTTTACTTCTTTAACTATTGATGACTTGAATTACAGTTATAATCCAAATAGATTTCTTTTCGTCTACTTAGTTCAACTCACTTTCATTAAGAATGTAATACAAAACCATAGTACGATCGCCACTTGCTTATACTCTGAACGTCTCAAGTCACTGAGCTGTGAGGTTTTCAGTACTTTAAACAAGGAGTTCTGATGTAGCGACAGATCCCTTATTCTTATACAGCTATCTTTCACACCACGGTGACATTTCACAGGTTAAATACTTCGCCTTTTCCGCCTCGTACCAGGGTCAGTATTTAGTGAACTTTTTGAAAACCACAAGGATGGAATCCTTGAAAGATGCTCACGCTACTGGAGTCCATGATATAGGGTAGTGATACCGATTGAATGATCATCACTATGCCTTAATACACATCACTAAACTTCAGTATAACTAACATGGTAATGGCATTGGGTGTCAGTAATCTTTTGGAGACAACGATGACTAGATACAAAGCGTTATAAAACATTCTCCGCTCAAATGGGTCAGTTTTCACAAACATACAACAAACTTGCTCTCACTTACGCGTTGTAAGCTTGTACTTTTACAGTCAGACTGACATCGCTACATTGTTGAAGATGGTATGTAATGGTATGACTCCATCTAACTTTTACTATATCTTTGATTAGTCTCATTATTGCCAATGTGGTATGGCTTCTTGAGTCAACACACAGGCTCTATGTTGATGATGAGTGACTAACAAAATAAGGCAGAAGTACAGTAAACTTGAAGCATACAAGGTGAAATACAAAAACTTCACATTACCTCACCATATGCATTATGCGACGAAAACACTGTTGAGAAAATATATTGTCGATATTTAAATTGTGTGGTCACCAATTGTGAACTTAACTGATTATATTGTTGTGGTTATTTGTTGTTCATTCTCTCTCTCTCTCTCCCCCTATTTTTAGGCTTTAAAACATGATCTTATCGGTTTTATATTACGTATGCTCCAAAATGGTTTCCCATCTTCAGTACGAGAACCTGGACAAACTCGAGCCTATCTCATAAAGGCATTAAAAGCTATGCAATACAGTGCTGTATATGGTGCTAAGGTAATTGTGATAATGTACACATTTTAACAAACTGTATATATTCCACTCTGTCTAATAAATGCACGAATTATGGTTAAGATAAAAGGGCTTCATTTGACAAAATTAAGAGTATATCTTTCAATCTTATCCACTTCAAATTACTGGCAATTTATGCAGAATTCTGTTTTACTATCTCCGTCTACTGAATTCTCGGGCATTGATCTCCTTCCAAGAGATCCACTTATCGACTTAGAATACGCAGATGATATAGTTCTGTTCGTTGAAGACGCTGATAAAATGCAGAGTCTCTTGGTAGCACCAAACAGCAATGCCAGGATGTTTGGGATGCGTTTCTATTCCTCTAAATGCAAGTTGTTGCTTCAGGACTGGCCTTCATCAACACCTGAACTAAGGATAGGGAATGAAGTAGTCGAACGCGTTGGCAACTTCACGTATCTTGGAAGTCTGATCGGCCCAAATGGGTTGGTGTCTGAAGAATTTCCTGCACGAATTCAGAAAGTTCGTTTGGCTTTTGCCAACTTACGTCACCTATGACAGTATAAAAACGAGAGGTCTTTTACGTCTTTTTTCATCAATAACAGAGTTCAACGCTCTCGTTTCTTTTCTTTTATATATTACAACCACTTAATTAACTAATTCTATGGATCCGGTGTTCATCTTGTGCTAATGAGGTATGGCAACTTGGACCGATGCATATATGTTCCTGGTCGTACGTTGTAGCTGACTGACTGTTTCCACTGTACAATTGATCACCGATAGTTACCAGAAGTTTGACTTTTGAGATGTCACATTTCTCGACCCTTAATATTTTGTTAGAATGATGTACACAGGAAATTTTCCCCGAATTCATTACACTAGCAATCATTCGGACTGTAGGAAAACTAAAGGTCTCTTACGTCTTTTTTTTATCAATAACAGAGTTCAACTTTGTTGTTTCCTTTTAATAACTTCTACGGTCTTCACTCTCTTCATTGAATCGTTTGATCCAACTTAAAATAGCTTTATGCTTTAGAGTATTTCCTCCCCAACTTCTTCTGGATTCTCCGAGAGTTTTTCTAAAGTTTCACCAACAACCTTATTAGCACAATTTGTATATTTAATAAACAAATCATATATGACATTGATGATCACAATACTAAACATGATAAATTGAATTGTAGTTAGATAAGTGTCAACTAGTGAATTATATTTCAGTAATCGGAAATGCTCTGGATGAAGAACTTAAGTAAATCCCCTATATCAATAGTTCTATAAGTATTTGACATTTGATTCTGACTGCATTAGTTTTAATGAACTTACCTAACTGAAGGTGCTCGATCATGCATCCACACCAGACCACGAGTGGGTACACTATCCTCGACCTCTCCTACAACCATTAACCAGCTTAGATCAGTCACTTCTCGATATATCGATAGCCTATCAAATATATCTTCGAATCTCTTCGCTACTGATTTCACTGAGTTAGTAGTACGTTTCGATTATAAAAGATGTGTTACTAGTTAAAGTGCTGTCGAATTCCAAACACTTGTAGAGCATCTTGATCCTACTTATCTCCTTGATATTTCTCCTCCTTTTTTTTTTTTTGTTTAAAAGGTGACTTCAATTCTTGAAACATATCCTAATTGGGCAGATTATCGAGATCAAGGTCATTCTTTATTTATTGCTAATGTACCACAATCAATGACAACATATTTAACAGCTGGTCCAGCATCAGGTAGTTTACATAGTGGATATTTAACAACATCACATGAAATAACTCCGTCATCTTTATCAAAACCTTATTGATGAAATAAAATGATCCATTTCATCATTTATTCATTCAATTATATACTTGTACTCAGGATAATTAATCTTCATTGTAATTAAGTGAAAACAATCTCTTTCTCTCTCTTTTTGTTTTCTTTTTGGAATCATTTATTACTATTCCTACATTACATAAACATGAATACACATCCACACACACACACACACTGAATCTACTGTCGTGTATACATGTTTTTACAGTTTGCTCTTCAAATGTCTTTACATTAAGTGTGATGGTATTCATGCTGATGTTGATACTGATGAGGATGAGAAGGAGGATGACGATGATGATGATGATGTTAGTACACTTGTAATTACTGATGATATTTGATTAGATAGATATGCATGATTTCAATCATTATGTAACACTAGAAATTCAATCTCACCACCACCATTATTATTATTATTACTAATTTGTATTGTTTTAATATTTAAGTTGCTAAATATTTTTCTTATGAATTATGATTATGATTATTGTCATCACTCAATGTACAGAATAAAGTAAAGTAGATAAAAGGAAACAAAATTGCAATTGTGTGCGCGTGTGTGTGTGTGTGTGTAGGAGGGGTGTTGTTATTGTTTTGATATTTTCTAAATTGTAAAACAAAATGTGCTTTTAAATCATTTCAATATCCTTTATAATAATGAAACGATTGTATTTATAATATGTAATAATAATAATACTAATAATAATGTTATAATTCTCTCTTACGATTATAACCCAGCTATTCCTATTGCTTAGTATTCTCGGACACTGATTCACTCGACAAGTTCCCCCAAATTAGAACACGGTTGAATAGGAAAAGAGATTATATTCCAAATAACAAGGTTAGATGGAAGTAAGAAGCACAATAGGGAAAATGTTAGTATGTTTATAGTTTTTCACATGAGAAGATTTCTAGAGAGCTTCACTAAGTATTGGCTAACGCTGATTGGATAAGAATTAGCCAATCAGCGTGCAACAAAGCAATCGTCCATTGAGCATGCTCTAATCCAGTCTATGTCCCGTTAACAAATAATATAAATATGAATACGTTTAAAGAGTGTTTGCTTCTTTGTTACTTATTACTGTCTTTAGATTAGTCCTTTTTGTAGGCTAATGAAAGTGGATGTTAACTATTGAAATGGATTATGTAAAGATTCAAGTAGACGATTTTGACTGGACGAGTATTAATTTATTTTAATAGTTAAGAATTACTTATTTATGCATGTTACTTCTCGTGGAGGAACATAGGCCGCTCATCAGCATTCTCCATCCAACCCTGTCCTGCCCAATCCTTTCCATCTTTCATCTTTTTCATATCTGCTTCTATTTCCCGATGTACTGTGTTCTTTGGCCTTCCTTCAGGATTCCAAGTTAGGCCTTGTTCCATGATGCAGTTTGGTGATTTCCTTAGTGTATGTTCTATCTAATTTCATCGTCTGTTCCTGATTTCCTCTTCAGATGGAAGCTGGTTTGTTCTCTCCCACAGAAGGCTGTTACTGACGGTATCCTACCAAAAGATGTTGAGTATCTTGCATAGACAACTATTTTCAAATACTTGTACATTCATGATGATTATTGTAGTAGTTCTCCACATTTCAGCTCCGTACAGTAGAAGTGTTTTGACGTTCGTACTGAAGATTCTGAATTTGATATTGATTGATAGTTGTTTTCAGTTCTATATGTTCAACTATAGGAATGCTTTCCTCGTTTTGTCAATCCTCACATTTACATCTGCATCAGATCCTTCACGTTAATCGATGATGTTACCCAAGTACGTGAAGGATTCTACATCTTCCAGAGTTTTGCCATCAAGTATGATGGCGACTACATAGTATTAATCCACCTTTTCACTCGGTATTTCAGCCGATGAACTCAGTTCATGATAAATGACATTGAGTAATCGCATGGTACTACCAATACATATATGTATTTCATTCGACTTCGTATATCTATTGTGGACTAATCAAGTTAATATAACGTGGAGGTAAAAGCTCGAGTATATGGGTATGATGGATTAAGTTGACTAGGCTAAATTCACAATAAAAATAGTAAAGATTTATAAATTTGATCCACCACAGTGCAGTTAGAATCAAAGAATACGTAAACGTACTTCGTTAATGCATATAGTTAACCGATAATCTTTAGTGTTTTCTTTTAGTACATAAATGTGGTCGAGTTAAATTTATTTTTACACTAATCAAAGTAGCTATAATATCTGATTATCACGATATGGTGATTCAGATTCTGCATTAAGCTCAAAGTACGACTTCAATTTATGCTCTGATGTAGCACCATTCCTCTTCATCTGTAATGGACTTCCTCACCCACATTGGTGATGTATAGTCAGTTAAAAAAAAATATGCGCTCATCATACGTTATATAAATGTAAGTATATCCTTAACAGGGTACGAAATTGAAATTTTTGAAACTACAGCATTCATAGAACAGAAATCGTATGAGTTTATATCAGGTTCTTCTCACTAGTTGTCATACTGAGTTTTATTCAATTAATTTTTTGTCAAACGTAATCAAAAAATTTTACTGAAAGACCAGTATTAATATGTGTGACAGAGTGTACAAAATACAGCAGACTTTCGCTCTCCACAAATACTTGAAGTGCATTTTACAAACTGGAAGTTTAATGGTTTGCATTTCTCAAACTTCTGTTATATCCTTACTCAACAAAAGTGCCATTTTCTATTCGAAGTATCTGTCCTAAGCCTAACATCCGGTAGGTTACTTTTTTGAATTTGTTGTATGTATGTATGCACGTTGTCTTCCTTTCACAGCTATAAACGTTTAATTAGATCTGTTTAACAACTCTACTATTATTACTCTAAATTCTTTTTAATTATAGAAAGTATGATGCTAACATTATTGAAAATTGTGTATTATTGCATTTTTTGAAGAAACCCGAAATGGTTTCTTCACAACACTTATGTACCCATAAGATGTTTGTGTATAATAATAATAATAATAATATAAATGTTGATGATTACCCTGCCATCCTTGCTTAAAGGGGATTTTCTTCTTCATGGCCGGAGTATAGCAGAAGCTCCCCTGACACTAGTCGCTGTTGTCCAATTGCATCCAATGTGTTTCACTGATCCCAAGCACCTCTAGGCTGTATCTTCTCATTTCTGCAGCAATTTGGAAGACTCCCCAGGTCTCCCACATTGTACGAACATTCTATGTACCTAAATAAATGGTTAATCTGGTTGTCAGAAGGGTCATCGGCCACGTGACTTCCGAAGGAACTCAGCTTTCATCATGAGGCGTCATAGTTCTTTTAAATGAAAACCTTCTGACTCCCGGGGAAGAGTTTAAAAGATTTGAATTATTTTTTCCAGTTAGCGTCTTTTAGCGAGTTAGTTTTCTACGGGATTGTGTCGCTAACCCCATACCCACCCCTCCTCCTTCATCCGGGCTTGGGACCGGCAGTAGCCTCTGAGGGACTCCAGGAGGAGTTATTGAATGTAAACATTGTTATCATGAAGAACGAATCTGTTTGTTGAGGATTAAATCAATACATATCTCATTTTATTTTCTTTCTAGCATGAATAATCAATATAGTAGTGTTCCTGCTATATTTCAAACAGGAAGACTGAAATATATCTGTGCAATATGTCAAATAAGTGGGTGACCAACAACACGAAACATCCACACATGTGTAATGTTCAAAACTTGTGTGTTATCACTCACATAAATAACAGAAATTAACATGAATTTTAAAGTATCGTTATCTGTACATGGAATAGGATATCTCATATAGATATTCGGTGAAAATTATTTCCAATTTTCTGTTTAATTATTCTATGTGATGTGTGAAAAACACCAAACTTTTTATGGCAGGTCATCTATTTCCACCTTCATATTATGATTAGAAATTGTTCCATGATAGAATATAAAGGCTTCAGTGGATATGATCCATCCGACGAAGTAAATGTTCACGTTTCTTATGGCAGTAGGTCCACAGATATCTCAGAATAAAACTAGTGAAAACAATTTTAAATTGGTCGACATATATTTGTTGATGTATAATATAGTGAAGTTGAAACCTGCTACAAATGATGGCAGTGAAGACCGTGTGTGACCATTATTGAGATGCGTAAGTTGTTTCACAATAGTTCGATTATCGTTTCATAACAGTGAAGTTACTGTACACAGTTTGACGTAATGAAATCATCATGAAAAAGGGAGATAGCACTAGTATACAGTATAAAGTATACATTTTATTGATGATATTGGAGCGAAATTCACGGAGTAGCTTTACGATAGGGAGCGAAGATATTTTCTCCAAAGCTGATTTTCAGATGCAAGACGATCTTAATTATAAGCCGTAATATATTTATAAATAGACGTTTCACATTTCGTAATCAGTGCAATTTTGACGCTTGATTTTGAGCAAATTAACCAATCTCCATCATTCTAAAGAATGGTATGAAAATGTGTAGCTTAATGGTGACGGGTGCGATGCATATTCACTTGCATTGTAGAGCAAGTGAGAACATAAATGCTTATGATTTGAATGAAAACTGAGTAGCATGCTGTCATATTATGGAAAACGGTTAAGAGTGTGTGATTGAACACTTGTGGAAATTTCATACACATAGTTCCCTTTATCATTTTGAAAAGAGCAAGAACAAACATTCTAGTAGAATAGCATGAGTTCATTTTTATTTCGTTGGTTCTCGTCAGCTGCTTACAACCTGTGATATTTAAGAATCATAATTACATAATGGGTTTAAATCACTTACATGAAAGAGTCTGATTGGAAGTTATATTGAAGACATATTCGAATGGTATAGCAAGGGTGTAAATAAATTTAATAGACTGAATATTGTAAATATATACCTTGTGTGATGAAAGAACATTGTGACAACAGTTCAAACGGTTAGAAACAAGTAAACCTTGATAGGAATAAAATGAGTAGAGTTCAGTTGATAGAATAAGATAGTTGGAATAAAACTCAATGGTGTGATAAATGAAAGAAAGA